AGTCTTACAACAAGAGGTTGAAAGATGACATCAAGTCTGTCATGGATAACTTCACAGAGATAATCAAAACGGCAAAGATTGAGGAAGAAACTCAAGTTTCTCGGGCAACCCAAGGCAAGCAGGACAACTATGAGATGCATGTCAGAGCTGCAAATATTGTTCGGGCTGGTGAGTCTCTTATGAAGCTTGTCTCTGACCTAAAACAGCTCCTCATCCTCAGTGACTTCCCTTCCGTCAATGAAGCCATCAAGCAGCTGAACCAGCAGTTGCGCAGCCTTCAGGAGGAATGCGACAAGAAGCTTACTGCCCTGCGTGATGAGATCTCCATGGACTTCTATGAGCTGGAGGAAGAATATTACTCTTCCAGGTACAAATGAAGCCATGGACGGTTCCCCTGTAGTAACCACAACAATTTCCTGTTTCTGACATGGGGGGGGGGGGTGGCACGTTATGTGTGAAAACAACAACAACTGTCCTTGTTTTAAAAAGCATCCCTAAATTCTCAGCATCCCAAAGAATCCTGGCCCCAAAGCAGTTTTATTGAGTACTTTATGTATGGCGTGAGAGGTGGCTGTTCTGGAGGGCAAGTGCACCATGTCACTAGGACTTTCTGCACGGAGATGTGGAGATCTGCTCCCTCATCGACACTGTGATCTTGTCACCTAAATGACTTGCAAACAGGAATCAGGATCTTGATTAAATTGCAATCCTAACCATGTCTACTCAGAAGTCAGGACCGGATTTAGGTTTGATGAAGCCCTAAGCTTCTGAAGGTAATGGGGCCCTTTATATGTCCAGCTGTCCTTTGTCAACAACAAGTTGTCGCTGGTTTTTATTTTGAATATATGCTATACAGTCATACTTTGGGTTACAGACGCTTCAGGTTGCATTTTTTTGGGTTACAAACCGCCGAAACCCGGAAGTACCGGAATGGGCTACTTCTGGGTTTCGGCAGTCGCACATGCGCAGAAGCGCTAAATAGTGCTTTGCACGTGCACAGAAGCGCCGAATCGCAACCTGCGCATGCACAGACGCGCTGCTGTGGGTTGCGAATGTGCATCCCGCACGGATCATGTTCGAAACCCGAGCGTCCACTGTATGGCCATTTATGGACCTAATAGGTATCTAAAGCCATTTATACATAGCAAAACATGTATTTTATCAAAGTACATCCAGTCCCCCCCCCTTTACATTTTTTGGAGACCCCCAAGAGAGTGGGGCCCTAAGCTATAGCTTGTTTAGCTTATATGTAAATCTGGCACTGTCAGAAGTAAATCCTCTTGAATTCAGTGGGGTTTGTTCCTAGCTAAGTGGGATTAAACTGCTTTGAATTTATTAATTTTTTACAATCAAGTGGTGTATAAATTTTATGAAATAAATAATAAATGAAGGTGCCAGCTTTAGGCCACATTCATACAATACATTGAAAACACTAGGATGCCATGCTGAACAGTTATTGATTCCCCGGGAAAATTATGAGAGCTGTAGTTTTTTGAATGGTGCAGAGATTACAGCAGGAGTCAGCAAACTTTTTCAGCAGGGGGCCTGTCCACTGCCCCTCAGACCTTGTGGGGGGGGGCTGGACTATATTTTGGGGGAGGGGTTGATTGTTAAGCCACTCTGGAAATTGTAGGTCTGTGAGGGGAACAGGGGCCTCCTAATATTGCTTAGCACCCTTAACTATAGCTCCCAGAGTTCTTTGGGAGAAGCCACGATTGTTTAAAGTGGTATCATATGCATGGTACGAGCGTGCCATAGTCAAACAACAGTATCTGAAGGGCTGCAGTCCAGAAGATATGGAACTTTGGGGTTTAGGATGCAATCATATGCACACTTAGCTGAAAAGGACCACAGCTGAATAGAGTGGGGCTTGCTTCTGAGTAAAGATACATAAAGGTAAAGGGACCCCTGACCATTAGGCCCAGCCGCAGACGACTCTGGGGTTGCGGCCCTCGTCTCGCTTTACTGGCCGAGGGAGCCGGCGTACAGCTTCTGGGTCATGTGGCCAGCATGACTAAGCTGCTTCTGGTGAACCAGAGCAGCGCATGGAAACGCCCTTTATCTTCCCACCGGAGCGGTACCTATTTATCTACTTGCGCTTTGACATGCTTTCGAAGTGCTAGGTTGGCAGGAGCTGGGACCAGGAGCTCACCCCGTCGTGGGGATTCGAACCGCCGACCTTCCGATCGACAAACCCTAGGCTCTGTGGTTTAACCCACAGCGCCACCCGCGTCCTTAAAGATACATAGGATTGGACATAATAAGCATTTTTTATTCTGTCTGTGATGACTGGACCATGAGTTTCCAGTTTGGGAATCTTAAGATGTGTTCAAAACAAAGCAATATTTTAAGGACTGTTTTGTTAGGCGACATTATATTATGTTATATTACACATACATATATCCCATTAAAAATATTTGCTGGGGGGGGGGAAGTGCCCAAATAAATTGAACAATTTCCACATAAATCAATAGGATCCAAAACAGAAATAAAAAAACGCTGCTGCAGCAAAACTCGGCTCCCAAACAAGCCCCGCCTTAAATGATAGCCCAGCCAAAGTTTCCTACAGACCTCTGGGTGAACGTTGGACTCCAACTCCCATCAGCCCCTGCTAGCATGACGAACGGCAAGGAGTTATGGGAGTTGTAGTCCAGAAGAAATAAAATTCAGCGGGAGGAGGGGAGAAAGGAGCGTTTTCAGGGGGAAGCGGCCGCGACTTATTCCAGCGAGAGTCAATTGATTCCCCCGGGCAAAAATGCATGCTCGTAAACCGGCCAAAGCGACCAAGAGCGGAAGAAGCTCCGCCATTGGAAACAACGGAGGGAAATCCTGGCTTCTGATTGGCTAGGAGGGAAGTCTCGGAAGGAGAAAAATTCTTTGTTGCCGCGAAGTGACCAATCAGGGAGCCGCTCGTTGTTCGTCGACGTTCCAAGGCGTTCCGAAGTGGGAGGCGCGTCCTTTGATGTCCATGGCTGCGGGAGTCGCCGCGATGGGGCTCGGAAAGCCGCTCGGACCGTGGGGTGAGTTTGGGGAGAGGTTGGTCGCTTTGGGGACTGAACGAGGAAGCATGCCGTGGAGGCTATTTAAAAAAAAAGGCGGGGAGGGCTAAAAGCCCATATATTTTTACCCGGGAGTAAGCCTTGTTGAACATAGTGGGGGTTTTTTCCTTGAAAAAGGCGTGGAATAACTTATTATTATTATTATTATTATTATTATTAAGGCTAAGGGTGTAAATGAGAAGGGTTCTGGGGAACCGGCCCATCGCCTCAAAGTGCTTCCTGGTCTACATTGCCTCCTAACTCTGCTTAATAATAATAATAATAATAATAGTTTATTATTTATACCCCACCCATCTTCCGCTTCGAGCAAAATATTAAAATACAATAATCATAAAATATTAAAAGCTTCCCTAAACAGCACTTCCCACTTCCTACATAGGTGGTTCTAGATTCAGGTAGGTAGCCGTGTTGGTCTGAAGCATTCGAGATAAATAATAATAATAAAATTGTCTGTAAGGTGCACCTGGACAGTTTTTTAATTTTTTATTTCAAGTGCATAGGCGGTGTTTATCCTGTGCGTCTTTTGCAAGCCGCCTTCTCAACATGCTTGCTCTCAAGTAAGCCCTCTATTTCACTTTTAGCCATACCTAGAAGCTATGCCTTGCTATTATTTGCTGTTTATTAAATTTGCATATCGCCTTTCACCTGTAGATCTCAGGGTGGTTAGTGGGTCTTTAGATTTTGTGAGAGGGCTACAGCTCATCCTTGACCCCTGGCTGTGTTGCCTGGGACTGATAGGAATCAAAGTGCAACAACATCAAGAGAGTCACCCATCCTCTATCGCTGCTTCAGGTTGTCCTCAGAATAATCGCCCTACAGTTTCTTTATCCTAGAATCATAGAAGTGTAGATTTGGAAAGGTCCCTGAAGGTCATCCAGTCCAACCCTCTGAAGTGCAGGAATCACAACTAGATCATCCCTGACAGATGGCCATCCAATCTCTGCTTAAAAACCTGCAAGGAAGGAGAGTCCACAATCTCCCAAGGGAATCTGTTCTGCTGTCAAAACAGCTCTTACTGCCAGAAAGTTCTTGCTGATGTTTAGCCACAATCTCCCTTTTTGTAACTTGAAGCCATTGGTTTGAATCCTACCTTCTGAGCAGGAGAAAAGAAGCTTGCTCCATTTTCCATGTAACAGCCCTTGAGATATTTGAGTATCTTGTCTCCTCTGTCTACTCTTTTGCAGGCTAAACTTATCCAAATCTCGCAACAGTTCCAAATAAGGTTTTGTTTCCAGACCCTTAAGTGCAGGCATAGGCAAACTCGGCCCTCCAGATGTTTTGGGACTACAACTCCCACCATCCCTAGCTAACAGGACCAGTGGTCAGGGATGATGGGAGTTGTAGTCCCAAAACATCTGGAGGGCCAGGTTTGCCTATGCCTGCTTAAGTGTTTCCTGCCACCACCACCCCCCCCCCCGCCCAGTGAACACCTAATTTTTCCTGGCATCTTCCTGTGTATGCTTTGCCCCTCAAAAAAAACTACATTCCATACTTGTGTGGACTACGGATGTCTAGGAGATGCTTGATTCACTTTCCAATATTCATCATTTTTGCAGCCACTATTGAGCAGAAAACAACTTCTCCTTATTCATTCATTAGTTGGGTTAAATAATACAATGTTTATACTTTTATCTAATAGCAAAATACCTTTTTTGTGTTTTTTTTAAAAAATTTGCTTTTCTGTTTTATCATATCAGTGCATAGTATGTTACACTCAAGCCTGTGGTAGTAAGAGAGAAAGAGAAAAATAAATAAATATAAGACATATATCTATAAATAATAATAGTAACATATTCCTCCAGTTTAATTGACTCTTATGAGCTTTAATTTTAATTCCCCTTCCACTCTTTCTCTTGTTTCCTATCTGTTGTCTTTTTGACTGTGTTTTCTGATTCTACTAAATTATTTTCATTACTTTACACTATTCCGCTTTGTCACATCTACTGCTGAGTATTTTCCCCCCAGTCTGTTACACTTATTTTCTTCTTATATTTTCCATATGTTCTATATATAACGTCCAGTCCTCTTTTTAAATTCTTACCGTCAATATTTCTTACATCTATTTGTCATGCTGCCACGTTCTATACATTTTAATATTTTAAGGTGCCATTCTTCTCTTGATGGCCCTGCATCTGTTCTCCACTTTTGTGCTACGAAAATTCCTTCTGGGAATATTAACAATAGAAATCCCCAAAAACAAAACTGCTCTATGGATGTATGTGACTACAGCTGTCCGAATTCTAGTAAAAGACCTTTTGAAAACCATTTGTGGAGCAGTTCAGTTTGTGGAGCCCTGCTGTTCATATGAGCCAGAGCATAAGGTGTTTTGGGGGAAACACTATTTTTTGCTGTGCCAAGGCAAACAGGTGCAGCTGAGGGGTTTAAACCCACCAGCGAAGTGCACAATTTTGGGGATTTTCTTCAGGCTACTGCCAGCGAGATACCCACAGGTGGCCATTTTCCACCCAGCTGGTGCATTGGTTAGAGTTGCACAGTGATTTAAATGTGAAGCTCAAAATCTTCTGTTTTGCAGATTTTGGCAGCACCGCGGACATCATCAGAACAATACCACAGGATCTGTTTGCAGAGCTAGTAAGTAACTCCTTTCTCCCTTTTAATCATGGATCATTTTATAGCGATTTTGCTCCATTGCGTGCCTTACGGTTTTTTAATTCCCTTCCTAGTATTTCTGATGCGCAGTTTCATGAATGAGAAACAGTTTTGCTTCAGAGGATGGTGGGATGGAGCCATGCTGTCTCCTCACATGGGACTGGAATATATTTTAAGACTTGAGATGCACTCCACTGAAAACAGTGGAGCTTACTTCCGAGTAAACATGCATAGGTGACACAGCTCATAAACAATTCTACCCTCTACCACTTCACATTTAAGGAAAGCTTCTTTATTTGTCTCCAGGATAAACTTCAGATTTGTTTGTATTATTTAACTTAATAATACAATTTTAAAAAAATACCATATTGGCCTGAATATAAGCCACACCCACAAATAAGCCGTACCTTTAAAATTTGGGCGAGGGGAAGACAATACCTGAATATAAACTGCTCCCTTAAAATTCTGCAGGCACTCACACCCGTAAATGGCAAATGTAAGAAGAAAATCCTATAAGTAGTAGAGAGGACCCGCAAGTGGGTTAAACACCTGTTTGTAGCACCGTAAACGCAAATAAAAAATCCATACTGCACTGTAAAATACGAGGAAAGCGACGAATGACATTAGAATTAATTGCACAACAGTCTCAAGCTCGCAAATTGGCGATAAAACTTTTTTTGTTCCGTTTTACCGTATGTCTGTTTCAGTAGCGATATTGTAAAAGCCAATTTTCGTAAGGTCACGAATTTAAGCCGCACTTTAACTTTTCACGGTCGGAATTTGGAAAAAAAAAGTGTGGCTTATATTCGGGCAATATGATGCTCTCCAACAAATCATTAGAGTTGAAACCGTTTTAGGTTCTAGCCTGTTAATATTATGGCCGCATTTGCACATAACTCTAAGAAACCATGGTTTAATGTGAAAATGATGGTTCCTGGAGAGGAGACAGCAGCCACTTTGGCCAGTTGATGTAAGCCATAGTTTGGCATAGTGTTACGTGCAAACCAGGCCCTTATCGCTTTATTGGCAAATGTAGAGTGCTTGGCCAAGTAAGGACTATTATGTACAGACCCCCTTCCTAGGACAGCCTCTGTGGTTCAGCTGTCCAAGGGGGCTGGACTAGGTGAGCCATTGGGTCCTTTCCAACTCTACATTTCTATTAAATGTTTTTTTAAAATTTTAATTTCATTTATAGAAGTATATACAGTGGTACCTCAGGTTACATACACTTCAGGTTACAGACTCCGCTAATCCAGAAATAGTGCTTCAGGTTAAGAACTTTGCTTGAGGATGAGAACAGAAATCGTGCTCCGGTGGCGCGGCAGCAGCAGGAGGCCCCATTAGCCAAAGTGGTGCTTCAGGTTAAGTACAGTTTCAGGTTAAGAACAGACCTCCGGAACGAATTAAGTACTTAACCCGAGGTACCACTGTACTGCTATATCATTAAAAAAAATAATCTAGTGGCTTACAATAGTACCTGTGTGTAAGAAAAACGCATAAAAATGTAAAATCTGAGACCATCGATTTCCATTATGGAAAGACGTAATCTTAATTGCTGGCCTAAGCCAGGTGGCATAGGAAAGTTTTCAGCAGATGTTTAAAGGTTGAAACAGGATGCATGATGAATCTTTTTTGGCAGAACATTAGCTTTAGTTGATTGTTTACCGTTTAAAGGTAAGTTTCATATTAGCAAGTCTAATACAGACCCATTCTTGGAAATACGGATATGCGAGAGAATTTACAATAGAAGCAAAGGACATCCTTAATGCCCTTTTATTTAATCTTTTTTTTATTATATATAGTTTATTATTTATACCCCGCCCGTCAGGCTGAGTTTCCCCAGCCACTCTGGGCGGCTCCCAATTGAGTGTTAAAAATACAGCATTAAATTATTGGCCGTCCTTTAGTACAGTAGCTCGCTAGAGCCAAAGAAGCCTAAAAATAAATCTTCCCTTTAACTCTCAGTCTCAGTTATTTAAATGTGTATGCATTAATCAGTCAGCTAAAACTTCTGGTTAAAGCTTGTAGCCGTGGGTAGATTATGAAAATTGTCCAGGCAAGGCCTTCCCTACCATAAGGTTGATGTCGCTAGCTGATTGACAGTTGCCATGTTTTTGAATGATCTTAAAACCAGGGATTCTTCTACCGCCATTTTATCACTCTATTGCCATTGAAAGCAAATGAATGCTGTTTCGTTCCGGGGTTTGGGGGAGGGGGAATCCTTTTAATTTCCACAAATTGCATTTGCAATTAGCAAGTAGTTGTCATCTAAGAACCATTTAAAATCTTTCTTTGCAGTGTCAGCAAATCATTCAGAATCTTCAGTGTCAGATCCCAGCTGTGAACACAGTGGAACTATGTCAGGTAAACTGAATCGCTAAAACAATATTGCATGCATTTTAACAACACCCATTATTAATTTGTCCTCTGCTACAACCCTATGAACTGCGTTTCTCTCCTAGAGATTTCAGGCAGCTGGGATTGAAATAGTCACTAGTGACCTGGAAAAGGTTGTTAATGCCATTTCCTTTGTATTCAGGTAAGCAAACATAGTCCTCGGATCTCTTTAACTATATTGCTACTGCTTACTGCATGGAAGAAAATTAGTATCTGTAATTATGAGCAGTGCTTCTGTGAATTAAAAATACTGATTTACCCTTATAGCCTAGTTTGTTAGCCTGCCCTATAATCATCTATGATATATAGGGATTCCTCATACATATTCTTTGGTACACCATTGGCCCAAGGCAAACCATGATGCTCTGCTTAACCTCCTTTACAGTGTCCTTTGTGAGATAATTCCAGAATTCACTGGAGGAAGAGCAAGCCACAAGTATGATAAATGATCTAATTTTGTTTAATTGTATTTTATTTTATTTGTGGGTTTTTTTACAAAAACCCTGCTAAAATAGGTGTAAAACAGTCTTCCAGGGGACAAGCAAAATTTAAAATAATAATAATAATAATAAATTTTATTTATATCCCGCCCTCCCCAGCCGAAGCCGGGCTCAGGGCGGCTAACAACAATAAAACAGTACAAAAGTACAGCATAAACAACACTCTAAAATCATTCATTATAAAATTAATTAATTCAAGCCACTGGCAACCATTGGGCCAGAGTTCCGCGAAGATTGCCGAGGGAGGGAGTCAGGCTGTGCCCTGGCCAAAGGCCTGGTGGAACAGCTCTGTCTTGCAGGCCCTGCGGAAAGATGTCAAGTCCCGCAGGGCCCTGGTCTCTTGCGACAGAGTGTTCCACCAGATTGGAGCCACAGCCGAAAAAGCCTTGGCTCTAGTTGAGGCCAGCCTAACTTCTCTGTGGCCTGGGACCTTCAAGATGTTTTTATTTGAAGACCGTAAGTTTCTCTGTGGGGCATACCAGAAATCAGCTCTTTTCTGTTTAAAATCTAGCAGTGAAGTCCTCCTTTCCCCTCCTTTCCTTTTTTTGTTTTGTTTAGCACAGCAGCAAAAGATAAACTCTCGCCAGAAGATCTGTCCACCAGGCTAGGAGGTGCAGCTGGTACTCTGCCCAAACAAGCTGTCCAGGTTCTTCGTCACGTCTGGAACGAACAGGGCAGCTCGATCGCAGTGTCGGAAGATGCCAAAAATGTAGCAGTTGTTGGACGGGTAAAACAATTTGTTTCAAAGGAAGTCTGCACTGGGGTAGCCTCCTTCGGCAGAGCATGGTGTAAAATTCTAGTTGCATATTGTTGTTGTCCCATGACACAGTGTCCTGGTTTGCATACCACATTAAACCATAGTTATTTAGAAAAACCCCCTACTATGGGTTAACATGAACGAGCAGCACAATGTTGCATGCTGTGCAAAAGTTTCCAGGGCTCTGGCTATCTCTGAGCTGCAGATGTAGGAATGTTGTTTTGTGCAAACTGGGGCTCGTGGTTTGTTTGGGGGAAGCAAACCATGAGCCTGGGTTCAGACCAAAAAAAAATCATTATTAATTAAATGACCATTGGTTTCTAAGCTGTGTTTTAATGTGGCATCCAAGGTTTGCCGCAGCTCTGTTGACATCAACGACAACTTGGTTCACATCTGAATTAGCACAATCTGGTTTGCTGTGAACCAGAATATCAAGGAGGGAACAGGAGCAAGCGTGGGGAAGAAAGTGCGCATGTGCCCAAGTCTGTTTAATGGAATGCCAAAGCATGGTTTGGTACTGCATTTGAACGCACTACCTGCGCATTCTGCCAGCCTCAAAGAACTTGTATTGGTCACGGTGTCTGATTCTCTCCTCTCCCTCTTTATTTATTTGCAGCTTATTGATTTTCAGTGGAAGCTGGGGATGGCAGTGAGCTCCGACAGCTGCAAATCTCTGAAGTCTCCTTATGTTACGATGGCAGTAAAAGTGGCAGATGCTTCAGGCCACATCACAAGCAAAACATTTGAAATGACGGTCCCACAATTTCAGGTTTGTATAATAACATAACCCCTTCTAAAGGTTGGCACTTGTTCTAAGGTGGTTACAAATCAACTGGGTTGCAATGGAGAGCAATGGGCCGGCTCATAAAAAAGTAATCCCTAAAAGCACCTTGGGAAATAATTGACAAAGATTAGACCAGAGACAAACACCAGCCGGCTCCCTATCTCCGTGGAAATCCGATATCATTAGATACGAACAGACTCAACCCTCACTCACAAATCAAGCAAAAGCAGTTGTTTCCTTGAAAGACGCACCCAACCTACCCCAGAGCCTTAAAATTGTCTCCTGGAATGTTAACGGCTGGGCGACAAAGCAAATGGATCCTGAAGCAATGAATCTCATCTCTTCTTTCGACATTGTATGCCTCCAAGAGACCTGGTCCCAACAAAGTATTGTTCTCCCAAATTATTGCTCCTTTAGCTCCTGTGCTCGTAAACTAACCAACAGGGGTCGCCCCTAAGTTGGCCTCGCCTGTCTTATTTCAACCAGCTTACCCTCACTATTTGCGAGAAAATTAAATCTTCCCCTTACTTTCTCACCATAAAGATTCATCTCCCAAAGACCAAAAGCCCATGGTTGATAACTACAGTATATCTGCCCCCAGCAATTAATGATTTCGACCGCAATGAAAGGTGGTCTGAACTCTCGTCTTGGCTCCATGATCTCCAAACAACTAACCCAGGACTCCCTCAAATCCTCTTAGGCGACTTTAATGCAAGAATAGGTCCCAACGACGATGATATAATATCTCCCGCAGCACTCCTGGACAATCCCTGCAGCCCCCTGGGAAACAGATGCTCTCTTGATCCTATAACAAACGCTGCCGGGAGGCTGATGGCCCAACTGGCCATGGAAAACGATCTCTGAATCGCAAATGGTAACATTACTCCCTTGTCCTCGCAGCATTTAACGTGCATCACTTCCCGGGAACCAGTGTTGTCGACTACATTTTATTGACGCCGGAGCTATTCTCAATTTCTACAAAAATGGAAGTGGCTGAATATTTTGGTGGTGACCACCTTCCATTGACTCTAATGTTAAACCTAATAGAGCCACTCCCAGTCTCCTCAAACTATAGAACCATGGTACAAAGCCACCCTGTATACAAAACAAAGAAATGGACAAGCCTCAGCTCCTCTCTTGCCCTGGACATACAAAAATCATTTGATATGTCTGCAGTTCCCTCTGATCCAATCCTGCCCGCTGACCAATACCGGAAATTACTTGATGCTTTCTCAACAACTTACATAACCACCACCTCGCCTACTTACCAACGCCTCTTCTCTGAATCGCCCTGGTTTGACAAGGAATGTAAAGCCCTAAGAAGGCGAATTAGGAAAATGGTCAGAATCATCAAATCTTCCAACGACCCCCAAACCCGTGCAAAGCTCATAGATATTAAAAGGACATATAGAAACATGATTCATTGCAAGAAACAGCAGTACATCTTTGAGGCTTGGTCCACTCTTCGTTCGGCTGTAGAGAGGCATGACTCCCGCTCCTTCTGGCGCCTAGTTAGACTCTTCGGCACCATTCAATCCAGCTACCCAGATTTCCGCGGATGAATGGATTGCCTATTATTCAACTAGTTTCGCTTCTCCAAACCATCTTACAGATCTCCTTCAATCCCCATTGGACCTCAGTTCCTGCTCTCTTAGTCCCACTTCTTCAATAAACTTTACTTCAACTCGCATTTTCAACATCATAATGTCAATGCAAAGGAGTAAGGCCCCCCGGCCCAGACATGGTCCCGTTGGACCTTTTCCTGACTGGATCCTCTTTGGTGGAGCGAACACCTGACTCCTGTATTCACCGCTATCTCCTCCGCCCTAGACATCCCCGACTCCTGGAGAGAAGCTATAATAGTTCCGATCTTCAAAGGCGGCCAGCCAAACATCCCTAGGAACTATCGCCCCATCAGCCTATTATCCATCCCGGCGAAAATATTTGCCGCTGTTTTACTGGAGGAACTTCTCTCATGGGTCCAGGAGAGGAACATTCTACCGCTAGAACAGATTGGCTTCCGAAAGTCAGCGTCAACCATGGACCATTGTCTAACTCTCTTTCACCTTGCCAGTAAATACACTGCTCCAAGGCAAGGCCACCTATTTGCCGCTTCATGGACCTGGAGGCCGCCTTTGATTCCATTCCTAGGCAGAGATTATGGTCCAAACTTGCCCATCTGGGAATTGATCCGCACCTTCTCTCCCTAATTATCTCCCTTTATTCAAACGCCACAGCTCGCGTCCGAACTAGTCCAAACGGCTCCCCACTACTCCATTTCCAACGGCCAAGGCGTCCGACAAGGCTGCCTCTTGGCCCTTTTACTGTTTAATCTCTATCTTCATGATGCAATTTCCACTTTGAAGCTAGCATCTAAGTATCCTCCTCACTTAGCAGGCCACCCCGTTGCTTCCCTTTCTATGCTGATGATGCCGTCATCTTATCCAGAACAGCTGCGGATCTAGCAAATGCAGTTAATGCATTTATCGCCTATTGTAAGGCGGAAGCTCTTAATATTAATTATAAAAATCGAAAGTCCTCCACTTCACTCGCTCCCGCAAACTCAAGTTGGAGCCGCTTAAGATCACAGGTGGCTACTTAGAAAAGGTAAAAGCCTTTAAATATCTAGGATTAATATTCACCTATAATCTCTCCTGGACCACCCATCTACAATCTGCCTTTCTCGCTGCAACCACGACCTCTAACGCCATTGTCCGATTTTACCACCAGAAGGGCGGCAAACACCTTCCAGCAGCAATTCAAATATTTAATGCCAAAGTCGTCCCTAAATTATTATATGGATGTGAAGTATGGACTACAGCAATATCAGGTAACCTGGATCGTCCACTTCATATGTTTCTGAGATCTCTTTCCGGCGTCCCGAGATGTGTCTCAGGTGCAGCCCTACGACTCGAGTTCGCCCAGCCTTCAACTGCTAGGACGAGCATGGAGCCGAGCCATTTCCTACACTCTCCACCTATTAGCATCGGATGCTCGCATTAGAGGTGGCTTTTCCAATCTGATCCTAAGAGATATTCATAATTCCCCATTTAAAACTACAATTAACCTCAAACTCCGCTCTCTTCTCAATTTGAATTGTAAAACTGTTCTTAACTTAGAGTGTATCAGCCCGGTGGCCCTACCCCTAATTAAAAAGAAACTACAGCAACTTGACTTCTCCAACACAGCTTCTTGTGCAAGAGGACCGTGTTCAGGCCTAGCCCTAGCTATTCCACCCCTGAAGGGATCCTCTATACTGCTTCACAATTTCTTCGGAGACTAAGCGAAGGGCTTTTACCTGTGCCTGCCTCAACTGTTTTCCTACAGCAGTTCTGTCGGGTCGTTATTCCAGAGTTCCCATCGCAAACAGAACATGCTCCTGTAATGACACGGCCCTGGAGACTATGGAACATGTAATGCTCTTCTGTCCCAACTGGACAGATGAAAGATCTCGGTTTTTAACTCCCTCGTGAATAAGTTCCATCTCCCAATCCAGCCTTGGATAGTGTCCTCTTTTTGCAGGATTCTGATTGTTGGATTACTGAGATGACAGCTAACTTCCTGCTTAGTGTGATGAAGAGGAAAGCGGCACTAACTTCTTCCTTAACACCACAGATGCAGTCGATACGCCGCACAACCGAACGAAGTTCCAAGTAGCCTTATTGTACAAGGACAATCGAGTTAGGACAAATCTGAGGAGCTGAAGGACCCTTCAACGGTCCTCCTCCAGCCTCAGCAGCTTCTTTTTTTTTTTTTTTCACTTTCTCTAAGTATTCGCCCAGGACGATGTCTACCTCTACCTCCCCACCCCCATTTTATGTTGTTATTTCAATGTATATCATGCTATGGCCACTCGGCTAATGCAATAAATCTACTTAAAAAAAAAACTGGGTTGCAATGGAAACGCCATTGGTTTTCTGTGTTCCTGTTAACTTAAGACTCGAAAACTGGGGAAATGCGTTGACTTTTTGAAATACGTTTTGTGTAACGGTTTACTATGATTGGTTCTAGAATGAAAGAGAGAATTTGGAAATTAGAGGAGAGAAGGGAGGTTGAAGCAGTGCAGAAGTATGAAAATGCCCTGACTGGGGATTTGAACTTGGACATACAAGCCAAACACTGTAGGTCAGCTTTCCCCAACTTGTGTCATCCCAATATTTTGGACTGTAACTTTGATCAGCCTCTGCCAGCCTGAGCAGCAGTTAGAGATTTTGGTAGTTCTAGTCCTAAACATTTGGGGGGCACCAGTTTGAAGTAGGCTGCTACATCTCACGGACTGTGTATCCAAATAATCGTATATCCTTTCCTTTTCTTTCCATTTTAGAACTTCTACAATCAGTTCAAGGAAATGGCAGCCGTCCTTGAGACAGTTTGAGCATCTGATGTGCAGCTTGTTTTGAAGCAAATGAGCTGTTCCTGTTTGCCTTAAAACATTGTGGTTTTTGCTAAGAGAAGGTGTCATTTCAATTTCCTACGCGACTTTGCCCATCTGCTGGACTCTTCATGTTCAAAGGCCTGTAAAATGCCTTCTTATATACTGAAATGCTACACATATGTAGAAGGATGTGCTGCTTAAGAGCAAATGTAGTGGGCATAGGATTTTCACCATACAGAAGAACCCAGAAAAGTGATACTGTGTAGGAGATGTTGCCTGAGTGCTGTCAGGCCACAATTATAAAGCTTGTGGTTTCTGTTAATTTTTAGCTCAAGCATATTGATTAGCCTGTTACCCATGAAACGTGGCATACCACATATTTTGGAAATGCTCTTGTTTTCTATTAAATCTAATGGTGGGGAAATCATTGCACCTTTATTTCCCTGATTGTCTGCTGCCTTCTGCTTATGAATCTTAAGACTGTCTGCGTGTGAATGTACTTGTCTGCTGCTAGACGTTTTAAACACAGCAATTTTAGGCTGGGATTTGTAGTTTTCCATGCATGCCCCAGACTGCAGAACCTTGGGCCTTCTGAAAATCAGGAGTGGTCCAAGGAGGCTGCATCTGATAAGCAAAACTGTCTGGCTGTCACCTGTATGCATGCATGTTCCCTTTTTTAAAGATCCTAGCTAGCCCATGAAAGGTAAAGGGACCCCTGACAGTTAAGTCCAGTCGTGAACGACTCCGGGGTTGCGGCGCTTATCTCACTTTACAGGTCAAGGGAGCCGGCATTTGTCCGCTTCGCAGACAGTTTTTCCGGGTCATGTGGCCAGCATGACCAAGCCGCTTCTGGCGCAATGGAACACCAAAACCAGAGCAGTGCACGGAAACACCGTTTACCTTCCCACCGGAGCGGGACCTATTTATCTACTTGCACTTTTTGGCGTGCTTTCAAACTGCTAGGTTGGCAGGAGCAGGGTTCGAGCAAAAGGAGCTCACCCCGTCGCGGGGATTCGAACCACTGACCTTTTGATCGGCAAGCCCAAAACTCAGTGGTTTAGACCACAGCGCCACCCACATCCCTTAACTAGCCCATTGTTGTTGTTGTTGTCATTTAGTCGTTGAGTCGTGTCCAACTCTTCGTGACCCCCTGGACCAGAGCACGCCAGGCACTCCTGTCTTCCACTGCCTCCCGCAGTTTGGTCAAACTCATACTGGTAGTTTCAAGAACACTGTCCAACCATATCGTCCTCTGTCGTCCCCTTCTCCTTGTGCCCTCCATCTTTCCTAACATCAGGGTCTTTTCCAGGGAGTCTTCTCTTCTCATGAGGTGGCCAAAGTATTGGAGTCTCAGCTTCAGGATCTGTCCTTCCAGTGAGCACTCAGGGCTGATTTCCTTATGGATGGATAGGTTTGATCTTCTTGCAGTCCATGGGACTCTCAAGAGTCTCCTCCAGCACCATAATTCAAAAGCATCAATTCTTTGGCAATCAGCCTTCTTTATGGTCCAGCTCTCACTTCCATACATCACTACTGGGAAAACCATAGCTTCATGGATCACTCACTGCCTTGCCGTGGCGAAGGGGCTTGAATAACTCAGAGAAGCTATGAGCTATGCCGTGCAGGGCCACCCAAGATGGACAGGTCATAGTGGAGAGTTTTGACCAAGCGTGATCCACCTGGAGCAGGAACCGGCAAGCCACTCCAGTATCCCTGCCAAGAAAACTCCATGGACAAGGACAACAGCTAGCCCATTATGGGCTATTAAATACAGCTTTGGTTCTATTGCAGAGTACTTGCTTAAAGTGATTGCTCTCTTCTTTCCTGATGTATAACCCATGTCCTTTCCTCCCAAACTAGCCCTGAAGCAAGCAGTGAATGCTGACCCAGCAGTTAAGTTTAGGAAGTTATAATTTGATGCATAAGCCCTCAGTCCCTGTCTGCTGCTGTCCTTCCACAGTCATGGTCTCTTCAATGGAGGGTCTGGGTAGGAGTCAACAGTTCATCCACTCTGTATTTCGACAAGTTTCTTGCCTTGTCGCAAACCTGTAGAAATTACTAAAAGGCCTTTTAACTGCTGCTAAATGACCTCCAAACAGCTTATTGTATCAACGGGGCAGTGAATATTTTAGGGCAGTGTAGAATCCTCTAGAATTTTGTAGAAATTGAAATAATAAGGCCAGTGGCTCACTGGAGAAAAGGCTTAAGTTGAAGTCACCTTTGGCTATATTCTATCATCTCTTGCTGCTATCTATCTATCTATCTATCTATCTATCTATCTGATTTTATAGATGAACGTACAGCAACCAGGTAGAAAAGGTGGGAAAAAATGGAGCACAGTGTAAAACGCTGTAGCACCAGCAAAAAAAAAGCTACTGTACTAGTTGCAAACTCCATAATGAAACAAGAATTTAAAGTGCTTAAGTCCCATCTTCTGTTTATCTAAGCCAGCCTCTCCATAGAAAAACCTACTGAGTAGGTCACAGGGGTCAGCAAATTTTTTCAGCAGGGGGCCGGTCCAGTGTCCCTCATACCTTGTGGGGGGCCGGACTATATTTTGAAAAAAATAACGAATTCCTATGCCCCACAAATAACCCAGAGATGCATTTTAAATAAAAGAGCACATTCTACCCATGTAAAAACACGCCGATTCCCGGACTGTCCGCAGGCTGAATTTAGAAGGCGCCTGGCCCAGATGCGGCCCCCAGAACTTAGTTTGCCTACCCATGGAGTAGGAGGAAGATCTGTATCTCAAGCTGTTGTGACAATAATGACTAATAAGTAATTCTTGGGCTCCATCACACTCAGCAAAGAGCCAGCACAAGCTCTGATGCAGAAGTCCCTACCTGCAGTCTCCTAGGATGATGGGTGCTATTCTAGTGCTGCAACTGGCCCTTTCGGCATTTGAGGGCAGATTCTAGATGCTGCGCCAGCAGCCTCCCCAGGGAACTGGATTCGAGGATAGTTTGAGGATTACTAAACTAGCTGCAGAGCTGCACAGCCAACCTGTGTGTGTGTGTGTGTGTGTGTGTGTGTGCGCACGTGTGTGTGCTTGTGTTTTAACGGTCATGATCGCAACCTAGCATACCCAAATATGAACCCTAAACACTGACTTCCATGAGCAAAATGCCATTGAAACACTTTCTCCCAAGTACCGAGCCACTGCAGGGCTTTGAGGATAACAAATGGTAGGCGGATTAAGGGATAAGAAGCCAAATGATGAAATAAGTGGATAAGCCTGTCAGGAGATGAGGGGGGATTATTGGATGGGTTGATGTGAACGGATCCCCGGATCATGAGACATGAGAGAGGGAGTGCCTTTTACTGTTGGGGATGTTACATCCTGATCATAATGGTATTTACCCTCAAAAGAAGGCTGCTGGTTTCAGTAGTTCTTGCTTTCAAGTAAACAGGCTTCAGTAGCAGCCTTTAATTGTTTTAAAAGGGGAAGGCGAGGGTTTGGGAACCACTGGTCTAGTGTATAAGATGTGCAACCATAGTCTTTAAGGCGCCAGCCCCCAACCTACAAATCAAATACAACACTACCTCTTGGAAATCTATAGTATTTTGGAGGAAGAGTACCATATAGGCTATAAAACCTTAAAATGTGAACTTTGGAGGTGGCGGTTTGAGATGGACAGAGACCAATCTCCTCCTAGGTATGAATGATTAAAACAACACCCCTACAGAGCAGGATTGTCCTTTAGGCACCAGCCTCAATCAGCGGCCAGCCAGCCAGTCCCCACCTGCCTGCTTTCAGTTTTCCTCAGCGTTGTCCTCAAACAACTCGGCACGGAGGCCAAAACTAGAAATAACCGCTCTGCGGTTCCAATGGGCACCAGCCACCACTGCTCCTCAGACGATTCATGGTCTGGCCTTGGGCGCAAGCATTGACACACCAGGCAGACCTCGATGGGGCTTCTTACGCCCTGAACTTGACCTGCTGCAAGATCCTCCTAAGTGGGCTTGTTTCATACGTAAGTCCCTCTGACTTCAGCATACCAGGTCGTCATTCTTTCTTAGCAGCACCTCCACAGGGCCTGGGACCCCCGTCCAGAGGAAAGCCGAGCAGGAGTTGCCGAAAGACCCCCACCCAACCATTTCAGGGATGGGTGTAGGGTTTACTCTTTAATTTCTCGTGGAAAAATTTGGCAAGGCAGCGGAGGTTTAGGGTCAGGGTTTTTCTTCTCCTAGATGGGCAACCTTCCCAGGTTGACAAGCCCCACCTGCCCCTCACTTCCCTCTACAGCACGTGCAGAAACCATATTTTCCACCCTTGGACCTGCTAATGGTCTCATCTGCTCAATCCATTGGAGCCTGTCTTCACATGCAGGGAACGTCCCTAACTCAGGGGTTTGAGACCCATCGGCTACCCTCGCCTACAGATCATAGCTTCATTTATTTTTAATATTGAATCTTGGGTGTTTTTCTTTCACCTCAAAGCACCTCAGGGAGTAATAGCCAGCAATGCTCATTGCATTACGACAGGGCTGGGAATTATGCCCCTTGTGGCGTTATTGTGGCTTATGTCACAATAAATCCCTCAGTCCATCAGCTCCTCCCCCCCCCTTTGTTTCCTCTCCCTCTCGCCTCCCCGCCCGCCTAAGTAAGAGTAAATTAGAGCCTTGACGCGTAAGTTGCGCTGGTTCGACGGCGGCGACTACCAAGCAAGAAGGCAGGCGCGCAACCCGGGCGCAAAAGACGCCACTGAAGCCCGCGCTTAAACTTCCAAGTTAACCCGCTCAGGATCGCGCTTGCGACGCCTCTGCCGGATCTTGCCGCTAGATCCGCCCTGCGGCAGCCAGCGGACCGCGAAGGGTGCGTGCATGAAGCCGCCGACCCCGCTCCTTGCTCCCCTTCCGCTGCTGGGCATGTGCGGCCCGACGCGCACACATGCGCGCCGGGCGCGGAGGATGCGCAGACGGCGAGAGGACTGTCGCTTCGCCTAGGCTGGCTGGAGCCCGGATCGGCTTCTGCAGCCGCGTCGAGGCGGGGAAGGGGAGCCTCCGGGAGCGAGGGAGGCGCGTCTCGTTTGGTTTTGGCCGTCGGGAAACGACGCGGCGAGTCTCCTTTGCGGGCAAACTGCAGGGGAGGGCGGGCCGAGCCATCCAGCCCGCCTCCCAGGCGCGTCGCCTTTCCGTGCGCCACCCCTCGCTCCGAGGAGGCGGGAGGAGGCAGCCCTCGCGGCCGCCTCACTGGCGCTGCCCGGCGGGGTGGGCGGGCGCAGGAGGCGGGCGCGGACGGCCGTCGCGCAGCTCCAGGCGAGACCCGCAGGAGCGCGGCGGGTGCTGGGAGAGCGTCGCGCCCCGGAGCCCTGCAGCACCCCGAGGGATCGCGGCACCGGGATCCATGCGCGAAGAGTCCGCCGCCCCCGACGTGCTGCCTCGCTGCTTGCGGCAGGGCATGAGATGCCCCCTGGCGGCACGTTTCCTCGCCCGGGAGCCGCGCTGAGCTGCAGGTGACCTGCTTTCCGAGGGCCGCGCAAGGCTGCGCTCCTTCTTCGGACGCCGCAAAGGAAACCGAGGACGCCTTTGGCGGGGGCTCCTGCCGGCCTCATGGAGAAGGCGAGCTCGGACGGGGCGTTCTCTCACCCCCTGGAGCCCCCCGCCGACCCGCTGCAAGGCGTCGGCAAGGCGCCGTCGGGGGAGAAGCGCTTCAGGCTGTGGTACGTGGGCTGGTCGTGCCTGGACCGGCGCACCACGCTGCCCATGCTGCCTTGGCTGGTGGCCGAGATCCGTCGGCGCAGCCAGAAGCAGGAGCCCAGCGCGGTGCCCGCCCGGGAAGTGCTGCTGCTGCTGGGCTCGCCCAACCTGCGCTGCATCCCGTCGGCCAGCAGCGCCGCCAACCCGGCCGTCTTCATCTTCGAGCACAAGGCGCAGCACATCGCGCGCTTCATCCACAACAGCCACGACCTCACCTACTTCGCCTACCTGATCAAAGCGCAGCCCGACGACCCCGAGTCCCCGATGGCATGCCACGTCTTCAAGGCCACCGACCCCAGCCAGGCAAGTCCAGGGACGGGGGGGAGGGAGGGCTGGTGTCGAGCGACGGGCTGCGCCTCTTCCGCGCTTTGGCCGCGGGCGCGCAAGGGATGAAGAAGCGGCCCGCGCCATGCGGCGCAGCGGCTTCCTCGGCCCGCCTCTGCAATGTCGCGCGCGCCTCTTCCTCCTCCTCCTCCTCCGCCCTCCCCCGAAGGAAGGCCACGCGCGGGGTGTTGCCAGTCCGAGTGTGCAAACAAACCGCATTTGTATCCTTGCAATGGTCCTGCGTGGCCCCCGGCCAGGCTAGGGCCGCCGCAAAGGTCTGTAACTCAAAGTGAGATTTGAACCCAGCTCCAAGGGTTCTTGCACCCAGACTTGTGGGGGAAACACCCGGATTACCCCAAAGTAGAATGAATTCACAGACTGAGAGAATGTGCTTTGGTCTAGTCTCCTAAAGCAGACTAGCATTCTGGTGAAAATGATCTGAAGGCTACAGCAAGGTGCACGGGAGCTTGGGAAAAAGCATCACTGGACTCACTTGAGCGTCGGAGGAAACTTGCTTAGAATTGGGCTGCAAATGTAATGCTCAAAGGCTGTGATGGATAGCTGTGATGCACACCTTTCTGAAGCTGTGAACACCTAGCTAATAATCCAGGAGAGTAGCATTGTGTCCAAGGTGGTTCTTTGCAGAGTCTGTTCTGCCCTGTGGTTACATGCAGAAGGGAAGGTAACTTTCTGGTGAATCATGATAGGTTTCCAGATTTGCAGAGGTGTATATTCCTGTTAATGTATAGCCAGGTGAAATATTTCACTTAGGTTAGTGTGGTCCTGGGGATCGCAGTGGAACTCTGGAAAAAGCAGTGTGAGAACGGCAGCCTGTACTTCCCTTGAGTTCTGTCTCCTATACAGAATGAGTCCCACAAGTGACTGCATTCATGAAGGAGACTCTAACCAGGCTGTTCTCTGAGCCAAGAGTCAAAATAGGGCAGTAGCGGGTGGAGCAGTAAACTATATGCAGGTCCTGATGTGTTTCTAATTAAACCCTAAAAATATGCCATCTGAATGCAAAACACACCTGTGCTTTCATTGCACCTATATGAAAAACAAATTCTGGTGCAGCAGCAGCAGCAGCAGCAGCTGTAAGGGGGAAATAATATGATTTGATTTTCTGAGTATTGCACAATGCATGTTTACTTAGAAGAAAATCCCCACCCCTGAGAATAAATGTATATGTAAGAGCCTCAGTACTTAATACTGGGTAACTGTCACTTAAATGCTAATAGCAGGAGTATCCATCTTTGCCACTAAACCTTCCCTTCCAAATCTTTCTACTCCAATAGGACACATTGTGGCCTTGCTGTACTTAATCTTGGTTCATTCCTTCTGCTACCCAAATATTGTTGGGTATTTTCAGTTACCTTTCCCTAGAGATCCCCCCATGTTACATCCCACCACTCTCTCATTACATTAGCTTTAGACAACTCCAGCTAAGGGGATTAAAAAAAACACAACTACAGTGGTACCTCGCAAGACGGAAAACTCGCAAAACGAAAGGGTTTTTGTTTTTTTGAGTTGCTTCGCAAGACGATTTTCCCTATGGGCTTGCTTTGCAAGACGGAAACGTCTTGCAAGGTTGTTTCCTTTTTCTTAAAACCGTTAATACAGTTGCGACTTGACTTCGAGGAGCAACTCATAGCACGCGGTGTGGTAGCCTTTTTTGAGGTTTTTGAAGACTTTTGAAGCTTTTCCAAAACTTTTCCGACACCGTGCTTCGCAAGACGAAAAAAACCGCAAGACGAAAAAACTCGCGGAACGAATTAATTTCGTCTTGCGAGGCACCACTGTATGCATAGATACGGAGAATTAGTATATTTGAAATCAGGACCCAAATCTAGCTCAGATGTTCCTTTTGAGTAGTGAAACCTCCGTAACCGCTGCTTCAGGTGACTGGAGAGGAGGAAGGAAACACAGAGGAGATGTGAGATACCAAGTTGTGTTTGCTATGCAGGAGTATGCTAATTCTTAAGACAAATGCATTCAGATACAATGAAGGAGATAGGTCCATGGTTTGGAGACCATGAGGTCTCCCCTGTTGGAGGCATATCAGTTGCTGGGAATCACAAGGAGAGTGCTGTTGTGCTGTTGTTGCACTTGGGTCTTGCTTGTGTTTATCACAGGCATCCAGTTGCCCATTGTGACAACAGGATGAGGGACTAGATGGGCCTCTGGTTTGATCTTCCGGAGCTCTCTTTAGGACCTTGTATCTTGGACATGCATTTTCCTCATTTTTAATGGAAAAAACCCCATCAATTCCCGAATCTTCAGCTATGGCGGTTGCTTCAAGGTGCAACCAGATGGGCAGTTTCTTGGTTTGGCACTTACAGTTACAGGACAATGACAAAGAACTAACTTCATTTGTGTTGCCGGCTCATAGTGCTGCTTCTTGCCAATATGTGCTATCCCAGCAATGTGCAATCTGTCCGGGTTGCTTCTGTGCCGTAATAAAACACCAGCTGCACCTTATCTGGAATACCCTGAAGGTTCACGCTGCAGCTTTGTGGCTGAAGTTGAGCACCTGGTCTTGGCTTGCTCTGGCCTCACCATATATGAGATTATCCGGGAACCAGGTGTAAGATACTCTGAGCTTCTTGAGAGAAGCGTGGGTCTGGGGTATCAGATACTCAGTAGCCACTAAATGCTTGGCTCTGGTGACTTTTACCAGGGCTGCTTTTGAGGTCACATCTGTTGCCTAGAAAACTTGGTTGGCTCTATAAAGTTCTGGAGATCTTTACAAGCTTTTATTAATGCCTCTCAGTTCATGTGGCCTGCAGCAGTTTTGCAATCGCAGCTGCCTGCAATCTGTTCTATTTAGGGCAGAAACATGGAATGAAATGGTAAGTTCTCTTGGTATAGATGCTCTACTTTGGTTAAACTAGCATGAATTTTCTGCAGAATGTCTTGAAGCACAAATCTATCCCAAGTTTAACCACCTTTAAGCAAGTTAAAGGCTTATGATTCTAAGATAACTGCTGTTATAATAAGCTGAGTTGTCTGAGGCACTGTGTAATCAAAATGCAATGAATTTCAAACTTTTTCCGGTTCTGATTCAATGTGATCCACAATTACCCTTACTCAGCTAAATAGTTGAAATGCCAAAACAACCCGCTTCAGACAAAGCTTAAAGGGAAATAATGCAAAGGAAGCAGGATATTTTTTTTTAAAAAAAATCGGTTTTCTAAGAATGGCTGGGTGCTTTGTTTTGCTGCACAAGGATTGAAAGCCAGCTTGTTTGAAAAGTCTTGCTGCACAGCTAGTTGACCACTCCTGTGTGGAATGCTCAAGAGAACACAGGTAACACAATCTTCATCACTGTGCTAAACTATGGGATGGAAAGCTGAGGACCAAGCCCCATGTTAGTTTTGAAGTGATATATGCCTCTTACAGAGCTTCTCACTTTAGCTGTATAGTAGATGCACAATGGGTAGGAGGTTTATCTAGAATTCTGCCCTTTTCATGGATGGGTTCTCTGTTTCACAGATCTGGAAAGTGAGTCTCAGGCTTGTGCTACAGCAAGTGCATTCTACAGGTTCAGCTTCACCAGAAATGATTTAAAGACATCACTGTGACTGAGGATTTGCTGTGAGGTAGCTCATTCATTTGGATTTATTCCATCACAGAACTGCTTAAGCCGAAGCTCCTCTTTCTTCATTGTGACTTCCAGGAAGTATGAAATAAATGTCCTTGTGCAGAATATTAACTTGCCCAGCATGCGGCAACACATCTGCACATTTCTCCTGTGAAGGACGTTTTGTGTCAAGCAAACATTCATGCCACCTGCCTGACCTATTAAGATGCAGGACTGGACTATAAATAGGTAACTCATTGTAGCCACGGGCAGGTCTGTCAAAAGTTGGCTTTTTAAATAGTAAGTTAACCTGGGAGATCTTAGTGCATAGTTTGTGATCAGTCACCAAAACAGTTCTTAGTAGAATTATTCACTGTACTGGTGTAGTAAGAGAAGATGCATGTGTGTGCGCATGCGCAAAAGTGATGATAAATGTTTGGCTGCAGAAGCTATTACTTTAAAACTGCCCCTTCTATTTTCAGGCATTATATAGTGTCTTCCTGTGGCCAAAATACACATTATGGTTGCCAGTGGTTGCCATGTGTATTTTTTTTCCTGCTGCGCTGCCTCATGAATCAGCTGATTTGCATGTCTTTTGGTGCTGCTCTGCTGCACAAATCAGCTGATCTGCAGAGTAGCGCATTTTAGTTCATGCTTTTCAAAAAGTATAAAGTGTTGCTGAATATATGTGTGCAACTATACACTTTGTTTTGGCACTCACAATCCAGGAGCCTTGTGGCAAATAGCTTTTCTATCACAGTTTCTAACACTGCCCTGGCTGCCTTAAAATTAAGGGAGGTTTCCAACATTTAACGTAGCAACATATAAAAACATCGACTCAAAGTGCCATTGTGAAACAAATTTTCAGAAAAGGAAGCTAAATATTCCAGGACATTAGGAGATTTCTGAAAACGTTTTCAGAAATATATGCATAGAAATTGCCTGATATGTTAAAGGAACAAAGTACCGTATTTTTCGCTCTATAAGACGCACCAGACCACAAGACGCACCTAGTTTTTGGAGGAGGAAAACAAGAAAAAATATATTCTGAATCTCAGAAGCCAGAACAGCAAGAGGGATCGCTGCGCAGTGAAAGCAGCCATCCCTCTTGCTGTTCTGGCTTCTGGGATAGCTGCGCAGCCTGCATTCGCTCCATAAGACGCACACACATTTCCCCTTACTTTTTAGAAGGGAAAAAGTGAGTCTTAATAGAGCAAAAAATACGGTACTTTATAGATGCGCCCTAGGCTTTGCTGTGTTCCAGCTCATTTCCCCATGTAGCTACCCCTAAATGACAAAAAACGCAGCATTGTTCCGAAAGAACAAAACATTATGAACAACTTGTGTTTCTCTGCTGCATGACCTGAGAGTCAAAAGCACATTTAGAAAACTTCAGCCTGAGCAGTTGTGATGGAGGCTAAGAGACTTCTGCAAGGTTCTGCTGGAATAAATCAGCTTGATGGCAGAAAGGCTTTGTGTAGGACTGAGATCTGCCAGACTGCGCATCACATCTGTTTCCTGGAACTCTGCCAGGAGCCTGGGAGGGATCTGTGTTCTGAATGCTTCTTTATTAGGATGTACTGGGTACGAGTTTTGACCTCTTGTTTCAGGCATGTCATAGGAGGAATGGGAGCAACAACTTTCGGTAGTTGTTCAGAATTAACTAGCAATACAGACGCAGAATATTTGTGTGTGTGTGTGTGTGTGTGTGTGTGTGTGTGTGTGTAAAAGCAGATGAACTTTGCTTTTCCGGATATAGTTCCGGGTAGCTACTGGAAGCGTCACTTCCAAATCAAAGCCCAAAGTAGCAATGGACTTCCTGCGTCTCAACATTTGAGTCCATGAGTGTCGCTCTGTGCTAGAACACTACTTTATTCTGAAATGATTTTTGCAGCCCACATTTTGTTGGGTAGGTGCAGAAATTCATCGTTCCCGGCCAGGGTGGATTTGATTTAAATCACGATTTAAATCACTAGTCAGTAAGACTTGGTTTAAATCATTTTTTTACCAAAAGACTCATTCTTGCTGCTATAATCTTAATATTTACAACCAGATGAAGGTTTTGTTTTTGGAATAATAAATTTTCAGAGTAGCTTTTACAGTTCTATCAAAAATTACTGATTTGGTTATACTATTAGAAATACATAGACCGATAATTATGAAATTATTGTGAGGTTTACTAAGTTAACTGTTTATATTTGGACCACTTTTCTGCTGTACTTTATTGGAAGGAGAAAAATAATCATTTCCTTACTAACAATTTAAACAGTTTGTTTAACTAAAACAATAACATTATAGCATATGTATCCATGTTTGTTAACTGGTTTGGTTAAACTATTAAAAATAATGTAACTTAAAAAGAAAACTATCTTTAGAAAGATTTCCTCTCCAAAATCATTTTATTTTAAAAATCCAATTTAAATAAAAAAAAACCATTTTTTAAAAAAAATCATTGGTTTTTATCCACCCTGTTCTTGGCCCATGTCGTATTTTGACACCGAAGGGTCCTCACATCTTGAGCCTTGGAAGACACAGGTGAGGGCAGTTGTCTCTCCCCTCACCAGAGTCTGAGATTATTTGGAAAACAGCAAGAAATGTTGCTGTTTCTGAGTGATTTGAAAGCTTAGCAGGATGCCAGGCGATATCCTGAGTCAGAGAAAACACAGGGCTGGCTGATGGTAACCATAGATTTTGTCTCTGCGCAATGGGCATCCCAAAAATGTGGACCCCCGCAGTAGCTCAGGGCTGGGGAAGATGTAGCCAGTAGTCTTCGGACTCCAATTCCCATCAGTCCCAGCTAGCATGAAGGATGATGGGAGTTGTAGTCCAAGAACATCTGGAGGGCCAGATTCCCCTCCTCTGTGTATTCCTAAATTGTACATACACTCAGATTGAGGCGTTATGGATGTTATGGAGGGTGCCTTAACAATTTTGGGTTACATTTTGCACGATATAGCCTATCCTTCAGTTAGAGAAGAACAATTGCCCTGTTTTTGAGATTTCTCAAGCAACTGGACTGTTTTGGATTCTATGTGATAGCAAAGCTGAGGGTCATTCCCTAATAAATTTCAGCGCTGCAGTTTCCACGAGTCTATTCGTGGGGCCTGAAAAGTCTTTATATTAGCAAGCGGGAAACTTCAAAGTGAGCGTAATTTTAGCTTGGCAATGCTTGGTTTAATTTATGGCTTTAGAATAGCTTTCCTTATAGAGGTTATAATTTGTAAGTGGAAAGAGTTACTCCTTTTAACCACACATTAAAAAGCACTCACAAAACTGTAATTTCTATTTTTTATTTTTCTGACTGAAGAGGACTGTAAAGAGAGCGAGTTAATTTTTTTCTGTAAGACTTCACAATAAAGAGACGTGTGATCTTGTACAGTCATAACTTGGGTTGAAGTAGCTTCGGGATAAGTATTTTCTGGTTGCGCGCTGCGGCGACCCGGAAGTAACGGAGCATGTTACTTCCGGGTTTTGCCGCTTGCGCATGCGCGGACGGTCAAAATGACGTCATGCGCAGAAGCGGCAAATCGCAACACGCGGACGCGGGTTGTGTTCGCTGCTGGATGCGAATGGGACTCCGGAACGGATCCCATTCGAATCCAGAGCTACCACTGTAGTTCACTTTTTCTTTCTTTAAGGGTGGACATTAAATCTGATTTTGTTTTGGTAGTTGTACTAGTAATCCTCTTCCTTCTGAAAAATAAGCATTAAGGGGACAAAATAGATAGTTCTGGCCCGGGGTATCTCCTTGTCTTTTCAAACAAAAATATTTGGGTAGAGTTGTATTTTCCTCATTTAGAGTTGCAGCGTCCTCATTTTCTGCAGTGGGCTATGGAGAGGCTGACGGATCGCCTGTGCATGGCACTGTGGCTCAGGGTGGAAACAGGGGCAGTTAATTCTCAGAAGAGTTGTGCATTAAGTATTTAGCGGGTCATTCCACGTCATTTCAACGAGGTCAGGTCACCCTCCATCTTGGATGTTGATGAAATTTGGTGTACACTCTTACCTTATGGTTGAAAAAAAAAAACCCTTAAATCTCCCCCCTCTATCTCAAACGGTTTAAATTTTATAGCACTTCAAAGTTTCGTTAAATCTGCGTTGTCTGTCCCTCTTGAGACCCTCGGTACAAGATTCACTTGTGTACATTTTATTTTTTTCCTCCATAACCAATGATCAGAACGCTTTGAAATTTTACACAGAGCTCAATAAAATGATGATGATTTCAGAAAAAAATACACCAGCACTCAAAAGATCTTATAGATGCCTAATTTTTTTAAATAAAAGCAGTTGTGGCCTAGTTTTTTTGGTGGAAAAACTAGGTTTAGAAAACCTGAATTTACAGCATGTGGGCATGATGTAACCAAAAGTTTTTGATGTTGAAAATTATTGCAAAGACATGCTCTTTCTCAACAAAGAATGAAATTTATGGGTTTTTTATTCCTTGTAATGAAAATTTTACTTTTTTTAGACATCGTGGGGGGGGGGGAATGGCTACCGGGTAGCCATTTTGTACAACTTTCCTATAAGATGGTTCCTGGAATACTGTAGGAGGAAGTTGGAATAAAAATTAGAAGTTCTAATACAAGCCATTGTAGGATGATACCATAACAAGCATAAAAAAATTCAAATGGCAAGCTATAATCTAAAATTTAAATATTAAAGAACAGTTTTCTAAAGATTATTTTTATTTCGTTCCTGATCTGCACAGAGGCTCTGGCCATCCAAAGTAGACTGCCAGCAAGCTCCATTTAGCAGGGATACCATTACTTCCACACACCCCTCTTGTTTGTGAAATTGCAACAGAGGAGCCAGCAGGTAATCAGATTTGCCCATGGGGCCTGCAGTAGCTAATCTGTATTTTTCTGGTTCCCGGTTTATATTTTCTGTTTTAGAGTCTAAAGCTGAGAGTATATGGTAAGCAGATTTAGCAATATATCTTAATTGAATGTGAATTGCAGAATCGCCTTCCTTAGGGTTGCCGATGTTTATCAATGTGTGTGTAGGGCATTATTTATCGAAGATGATAAATAATGGGGATCTGAATGTACAGAGTGTGTATCACAAATAGGATAGTTTGTCCAAATGAAACAAATAAATTGAGAAAAACAAAAAAACAAACCAGATTGGCTCTGAAAAATTGGGGGCTCACTCAGAAAGGAAGCAGTTCATTTTTGCGAATTAACTTTTTTTTAGTAATCAATCACATGTTATGGATTCTGGACATAACCAGCCAGTCTTGCAAGTAGCCTGTCTAGAAGGTTCTGAGTTCAAAAGTGCCCTCAGCACTAGGCCTCTGTTTCCCCAGGAGTATATGAAAAGAAACAACACAAGGAATCTTAGTTGTGAAACTGTGCAGTAGCTTCTTCTATCAAGTTTTTCATCTTCCTCTTGGACGACTGCACCTTTGCATATATTTTAGGCACCTTGCGTCGGTGAGTCAGCATAACCTACTTAATATTGCAAAGAAAGATAGCTGGCTGCTAACATCATAGGATTTTAAAGGACACTGTATTTGCCTGATATGCATGCACTAAAAAAAATTATTAATCCTGGAATTCTATATAAAAATAGAAAAATCTGCGTGTGGATCTTTTTGTAGGCAAAAACAGCACCATCTAAGCCCATGAAAGTGGTATCAGTATGCTTAAAGGTACCCCTGACAGTTAAGTCCAGTCATGGACGACTCTGGGTTTATGCGCTCATCTCGCTCTATAGGCTGAGGGAGTTGGCGTTTGTCCGCAGACAGCTTCCGGGTCATGTGGCCAGCATGACTAAGCCACTTCTGGCGAAACCAGAACAGCACACGGAAACGCTGTTTACCTTCCCGCTACAGCGGTACCTATTTATCTGCAGTGGTACCTCGCAAGACGAATGCCTCGCAAGACGGAAAACTCGCAAAACGAAAGGGTTTTTGGTTTTTTGAGTTGCTTCGCAAGACGATTTTCCCTATGGGCTTGCTTCGCAAGACGGAAACGTCTTGCAAGTTTGTTTCCTTTTTCTTAAAACCGTTAATACAGTTGCAACTTGACTTCGAGGAGCAACTCATAGCACGCAGTGTGGTAGCCTATTTTGAGGTTTTTGAAGACTTTGGTGATTTTTGAAGCTTTTCCAAAACATTTCCGACACCGTGCTTCGCAAGACGAAAAAAACCGCAAGACGAAAAAACTCGCGGAACAAATTAATTTCGTCTTGCGAGGCACCACTGTACTTGCACTGGTGTGCTTTTGAACTACTAGGTTGGCAGGAGCAGGGACCGAGCAATGGGAGCTCACCCCGTTGCGGGGATTCGAACTGCCAACCTTCTGATCGGCAAGCCGTAGGCTCTGAGGTTTAACCCACAGCACCATCCGCATCCCAGGAAGCTTAGGAAACAGCAAAACTTACGGAGGTACAAAATAAAAAATTGGGGGGGGGACCCTAAGGTGGAATCCCCCTCTGCGCCCAAAAAAGCATCCCAGTGAGGATTGAAAAATGCCACAGCAGACATGGAATGCTGACTGTGAGGAGGAGGAAAAAATAGAATGGAGGATCCCTAAAGAAGGCATGGCTGGCTGGAATCCTGAACAGGAACACTGCATACTGTAACATTTTGTTGCAGGACCCACTTCTCCCATATGCCTGGACTATACTGTTGCTTTGTCAATGAAACAGCCATCTTCAAAATTGGTGTGTCACGCGTGGATATAATTTTAAATTTACGTCCAGGGCTGCAATACTTGTTCACAATAGCGATCCGATTGGCTTGAGGTTGGAGATTTGACAGTGTCCCAATTCATGCTTGTCCTACGTAGCGCTGGTCCTTTCCCTTTTTGTAGTCTTCCAGACCTATGTCCTTTATTGTGTATGTGGATATGCTTGCATTTGATTTGCAGATAAAAAGGTAAAGGTAAAGTGACCCCTGACCAATAGGTCCAGTCGTGACCGACTCTGGGGTTGCGTGCTCATCTCGCTTTATTGGCTGAGGGAGCCGGCATACAGCTTCCGGGTCATGTGGCCAGCATGACTAAGCCGCTCCTGGCGAACCAGAGCAGCACACGGAAACGCCGTTTACCTTCCCGCCGGAGCGGTACCTATTTATCTACTTGCACTTTGACGTGCTTTCGAACTGCTAGGTTGGCAGGAGCTGGGACCGAGCAACAGGAGCTCACCCCGTCAATGGGATTCAAACCGCCGACCTTCTGAACGGCAAGCCCTAGGCTCTGTGGTTTAACCCACAGCGCCACCCACATCCCGCCAGACATATCAACAGTCAGCTGGGTTGAAAGGGTTGAGTTGTTTTCTACGCTTGAATATTTGTACGAAATACTTGGATGACCACTTATCAGAACAGAGTCTACCTGTTTTCCAGGCGAGTTCCTAGTTCAAATGATATTGTTGGAGATCCAAGCCCTTGATAGACAAGGGGCCTTAGCATGACTCATAGTTGGAGAGGAAGGTGGTTGGAATCAGAGAGAAGAGGGGCATCCTGGGAAGTCACTCTTGGGCAATGACTTCACTTGCATGAGCGAAGCTGCATCACAAGGATAACTTGAGTCATAGGGCAGTGGGCCTTTGCCATAAGCCATTACCGTGGTACCTTGGTTCTCAAACTTAATCTGTTCCGGAGGTCCATTCCAGAACCAAAGCATTCCAAAACCAAGGCGTGCTTTCCCATAGAAAGTAATGCAAAACGGTTTAATCCATTCCAGACTTTTAAAAACAACTCCTAAAACAGCAATGTAACATGAATTTTTCTATCTAACGAGACATTGATCCATAAAATGAAAGCAATAATCAATGTGCTGTACTGTAAAATAAATAAGACAGTGTTGTAGATGATAGAAATTAATATTATTTTTTCTTACCTGCACTGATGATAATCATTGTTTGGATGGGGGGCTTTTATCCGTTTCCGCAGTCACACAATCAATCAATCAGTAGCTGAACTGGGTTCCACACAGTCACAAAAACAAATGAACCAAAAAAAGCCTCAAAAACAAATACACAAAATAAAAAGGAAAAACATAAGCGGCAAACTTAAATTTGTTCCGGAAGTCCATCTGACTTCCGAAATGTTCAAAAACCAAGGCGCAGCTTCTGATTGGTGCAGGTGCCTCTGAAAGAATAAATGACAGCCGCATAGGACGTTCGGCTTCTGAAAAACGTTTGGAAACCGGAACGCTTACTTCCGGGTTTTCAGTGTTTGAGAACTAAGGCGTTTGAGAACCAAGGTACCACTGTATTTGCAAGCTAAGCTCTGTCCAAGGCGACCCTAAAGAGAAGACCAGTGAGGACAGACCGACTTCCTTGAACAAGGACTTGTCCGCCATTACCATCCTTCTCCCCCACTATGCTCAGCTCCCAGGGGTGTTGGGTGTTTTGTTGGATGCAGACAACTGCATTTTCCGCACAAGTGCAACCCGCCAAAGCGGACGACTGCCTTGTGTGAGCTGAGTGGAGGCTGTGCGGATGTTGGTGGGACCAGAGAGTTCTCATCCTCTCTGGTCATTAGCCATGATGGCTGGCTCTGATGGGAGTTGTGGTCCAAGCAGGTCTGGGGGGTCACATTGGGGGCCCTGCTCTACAGACCAGTCACTGTCAAAAGGGACTGCTCAAGGTGCGAGAGAAGAGGGAGGCCGCAGCGAAATAATGACGGGGGGGTTGGTGAAAAGAAAGGAAGAATCAGGTGCTATAAAACAGTAACTTTCTTTAATAAAAAAGCAACCCACACATTTTAATCATAGATCTGCCTAAGAGACAGTAAAACAGATGAAAACTTGTGTTGTCTTCCTATTATTATTTGTATTAGTATTATTAGGATGGGGTTATTATTATTATTATTATTGTATAATTATTATTGTGGGACGCGGATGGCGCTGTGGGTTAAACCACAGAGCCTAGGGCTTGCCAATCAGAAGGTTGGCGGTTTGAATCCCCATGACGGGGTGAGCTCCCCTTGCTCAGTCCCTGCTCCTGCCAACCTAGCAGTTCGAAAGCACGTCAAAGTGCAAGTAGATAAATAGGTACTGCTCCGGCGGGAAGGTAAACAGTGTTTCTGTGCGCTGCTCTGGTTTGCAAGAAGTGGCTTAGTCATGCTGGCCACATGACCTGGAAGCTGTATGCCGGCTCCCTCGGCCAATAAAGGGAGATGAGCGCCGCTACCCCAGAGTCGGTCACGACTGGACCTAAGGGTCAGGGGTCCCTTTACCTTTATTATTTTTATTAGAGTGGGGGTGGTCCTACTTGTGTCTCCAGCACCTGTTAGAGAAAGCTTTTGGGGGGATAGTTTTATAATCTACCTTTTACCCACTGTTTTTATGTTATGCTTCTCTCTACTTATTGTTGCTATTTTGCTTTGAAATTGTGATCCTAACTATTGTAAGCTTCCCTGAGTAATATTTGCATGATAGAAGGGCAGGATTAAAGTTCTTGTATAAATAACCCTAGCGTAGAAAACCTCTGGCCAGTAGCAAGTTGTCGCTTCTGCTGTAAGTAAAACAGGGATAAGCCAGCTGGGTAAAAGCAGGACATTGCTTTCCAGATATCCTCATGTCCCTTTTCCCTGACTTGCCTTGAAAACAATACTTTGAACGATCCCTTGATTGATTATCAAAGTACTTGTGCTAAGTGTTTTTCAAGCTAAATTAACATGATAACTGTGAATTTCAAGAACACCAGCCATATGGACCTTCTAACCTGGCATATTGAATCACATGCTGTGTCCCGTTTTTCTGAAGTGTTAAGTTAAACTTGATTGTTGTAAAGTCAATATTATCCCAGTTAGATAAGAAAAGCCTTTTATTCCTCCCAAATGGACTCTGGTGTAAGGAAGCAAAAGCTCAGCGATGATGGCTTTTTTTTGTTGTTGACATAGTTGAGAACGTACTGTACTTGTAACATTTAAAATTACTCCCATTCAGCGGAATAGAACAATGTAACAACAGGATTGTTTTTTTGCAGGTGGTAAATATGGATGTTCTGTTAATAGTGAACTCCGTGTGCTTTGGGCTTGTTAAAGGGGCTCTTTAAACACCCTCCTCTAGTTTTCTTCTAGTTCTGTAGTGTTGCAGACAAATTGGACTTCTTTGGAAAGTTTAATTGATTTAGCTATAATTGATTTAGCTATGTAGCAGGAACCCCCCCCCCCAATCATTCAGTTTGTACAAACTTCACACACACTCACACTCACACACTACATACGCTACACTTCTGTTATAAATTCATAGAAAATCAACCATACATCGGATTTGCACTGTTCCACTTTTATTTTACTCCATGAAGGAAGGACTACAAAATGGGGAAGGTTTGATACAGGGCAGCCATAATCCCTTCAGCATACCATCACATCCACAGGAGCCCTGCCCAGTTGCTATGCCAACCCTGATGGTCCTAGACAGAAGACCATCAAGATCACAAAGAACTTGCATATGGGAGTGAATTCAGCACAGACTGGAACAAAGGACAGTAATCAGCTCTTCTCTCTGGGGGCAGGAAACTGCAAACTCCCCTCTGTCACCTGGAAAGTACTTATGGGGAGGGGGAAAGGGGGAACTAGCCAGGTGACAGGACACTCAGGTTACCACCACAACTCCTCCCTCAACCCCTCCTTTCTGTGATGTATGTCTGATGTTTCTGGGGGTGGTCTTGATCTACAGGATGGGAATTTAAAAAGTCTTTATAAGACCTTGCACACCATTTTTTCTGTGTCCTTCCTCTCTCCTGCAAGTGAGGGGAGCACCCTGTCGCAACAGTTCAATAAAGGCCAAGCCTAGAGGCTGCTGTTTTGCTCCAAGTTATCCTGGTTGGTGTCTTTGTTTTTGTCCAAGGGAGCCCTCGGATTTTTCCGTTAACAGCTACATAGGCTGAAGGCAACATGATTCAGCTGCCCAAATTTGACTGCCAACGAGAGCCAGTTTCTGATATCCCTAATGTCAGTGTTTGAGATAAAATACCACCAATAATAATTCTTGTCCGGTGCACTTGAAATGTGCCCTTGAAAAATGTCCTAAATCGCTCAGAAATTCTCCTTGGTGTCATTAAATAGCAATCAGTCTACAGCAGTGTTGCGATCTTATCTTTATCCTTCACAATATTATTTCTAGTGCAGCCAAGGATAGATTGCACAGCACCGTATGAAACATGAAATTTATTACGGTCAGAAACCAGCTTGAGAAACACAAATGGAACCAAAATCCCAATAGCAAAACAAACATTTAAAACAATATACAACAATAGATTTTAAGTTTGAAAGTGCAATAGGCATAAGGTAAAGGTAAAGGGACCCCTGACCATTAGGTCCAGTCGTGGCCGACTCTGGGGTTGTGGCGCTCATCTCGCTTTATTGACCGAGGGAGCCGGCGTACAGCTTCTGGGTCATGTGGCCAGCATGACCAAGCCGCTTCTGGCAAACCAGAGCAGTGCACAGAAACGCCGTTTACCTTCCCGCCGCAGCAGTACCTATTTATCTACTTGCACTTTGATGTGCTTCCGAACTGCTAGGTTGGCAGGAGCAGGGACCGAGCAACGGGAGCTCACCCCATCACGGGGATTCGAACCGCCGACCTTCTGATCGGCAAGTCCTAGGCTCTGTGGTTTAACCCACAGCGCCACCCGCATCCCTGCAATAGGCATATAAACACATAAAAACTTTAAAGTACACTACCTTACAGAAATGACCCAAAGTCGCCCATGGGTCCGGGTTTGGGAATTTTCTTAACAAACTAGATTGAATTGGGGGGTGGTCTGCGCCTACAGATCTGTGCGCAGAATCTGGCGACAGTCCGGGTCATCTTGTGGCCTTTGCCTAACAGAAGATCAAATTTTTGCTTTACCGGGAGGTCAGTAAGCCTCACCAGCAGGGGGTCAGTGGTTTCTCTATGTGCCTCATCATAAAAGGGACATCTAAAAAATATGTGTTCAGGGCTTCCTATATCCCCCAATGGACAGGCGCAAATTCTCTGGTCATATGAAATGTATGTTTCAAGCTGATTGTAAGAGAACTTTATTCTTCGTGGTTTCCGAAATCCACGGTGTAGCTCTACTTTCTGATAAATGTGATGGGGAGATGCTCATGACCCAAACCAAATCCATCCGTGTTATTTTAATACATTCATTTGTGTTACTGCACTTGTCAGGGCAGTGTTGGCAGGCTCCATCCTAAGAAGGTTTTCGCTCTGTGTGGATAGCTTAGTTGGTTAGAGTGTGGCGCAGATAACACCAAGGTTGCAAGTTCAATCCCTGTAAGCGGAAGTTGCATATTCCTGTATTGCAGGGGGTTGAACCTCTTTGTCAAGTTACACTGCATGGCTGTATAGTTTAGCATGGGGAAAGGAAACAGGTGGCTCATAGAATAGAACTAGCGCATGGGTAGGCAAACTAAGGCCCGGGGGCCAGATTCGGCCCAATCGCCTTCAAAATCCGGCCCACGGATGGTCTGGGAATCAGCGTGTTTTTACATGAGTAGAACGTGTCCTTTTATTTAAAATGCATCTCTGGGTTATTTGTGGGGCCTGCCTGGTGTTTTTACATGAGTAGAATTTGTCCTTTTATTTAAAATGCATCTCTGGGTTGTTTCCGGGGCATAATAATTTGTTCATTTCCACCCCCCCCCCCAAAAATATAGTCCAGCCCCCCACAAGGTCTGAGGGACAGTGGACCGGCCCCCTGCTGAAAAAAGTTTGCTGACCCCTGAACTAGCCCTTGCAGTCTTTCCACCAAGCCTCAACCCCTCTCAAAGGTCCTGCCCACTGCAGTTAGTTCACTCATTATGAATTATTATTATAATTACTATTATCATTATTATTTTATTTGAACCACAGCCATCTGTCTGGGTTGCCTCAGCCATTCTGGGCAGCTTCCAACAAACATAAAAGCATAATAAAGCATCAAACATTAAAACTTTGCCATACAGGGCTGCCTTCAGATGTTGTCTAAAGGTTGTAAACCTTGGTTCTCAAACGCCTTGGTACTCAAACGACTTGGAACCCAAACACTGCAAACCCGGAAGTAAGTGTTCCGGTTTTCGAAATTCTTTGAAGCCGAATATGCTCCGATTTGAGTGCCACACTTCCGATTTGAGTGTTACGCTGAGGCCTGTCTGCTTTTGCTATTTACGTATTTTGCATTTTTGTTTTTGCGGCTCTTTTTTGTTTTTGTCACTGTGACCGTGTGGAACCTAGTTCAGCTACTGATTGATTGATTGATTGATTGTGTGACTGCAGTCCATTGTTTATCGCTTTCATTTTATGGATCAGTGGTCTCGTTAGATAGAAAAATTCATGTTAAATTGCTGTTTTAGGGGTTGTTTTTAAAAGTCTGGGACGGATTGATCCATTTTGCATTACTTTCTATGGGAAAGCGCGCCTTGGTTTTGGAACGCTTTGGTTTTGGAACGGACTTCCGGCACGGATAGTTTGAGAACCAAGGTACCACTGTACTTATCTCCTTGACATCTGATGGGAGGGTGTCCCACAGGGCGGGCGCCACCACCAAGAAGGCCCTCTCCCTAGTTCCCTGTAACTTAACTTCCTGCAGTGAAGGAACCACCAGAAGGCCTTCGGAGCAGAAATCGCCACTTTCTATATTTTGTAGGTATGTAGCGCTCTGTTTTTCAGACCGTAATCTGGGAGCCCGTGCAGTTGGGACTCCACCCTCCAAACTCCACACACACACACATGAGTAATTTCTTTTAATACAGTTGGCATTACCAGACAGGAAGGGCTTTTCAAAAGGATAATTTTGGACTAGAGGACAATTATGTCACTTTTGGTAGTACCAAATGCTAGGTAAAAATAAGCAGGGTGAGGTGTGGTTTTTTTCCCTTCCCCTTTGCAACTTTGCTATGCCAAAAATATCATTTGATTGAATTAAAGCACGGGCACAATTGCAGCCTTGAAACAGCAGCTGTTCTCTGTGTGTTGCTGTTTGTCACGGGAGTTCCCGCAAGGTCAGTAAAAGACTCTTTCCTCTCAGAAATGGCAGGGATGAATGCATCCCACGTGGCAAAGGGTAACCTTGCTGTTTTTGAGACCTGAAAAAGCATCATGGCCAATCCAGTGCCTTTTTAAAACGTGTTTTTTTGAGGGAAATATTGGGTTACTCTTGTTTTTATTATGCATTTTGTGATTTTATTTTGTGATTTTTATGTTGCAAACGGCCCCGAGACCTGTGGTTATAGGGCTGTATAAAAATTTAATAAGTAATAATAATATTAATAATACTTTATGTGGTGGCTATTGCTTCCCCACAGGCACTGATTAGGGAGCCTATATTTGTGGAAAACAGAGGCCACCTTATTGCCCAACTGGACCATTAATCCAGCAGTTAGCATCACCAAGGGATCCTCTACTATTTTGCTTGCCTATTTCTGGTCCACACTTTACCATGGGGAGAGAGAGCTCTTTACTGCTGACTGCACAGCATGGAAAGTAAGAGAAACCACGTTAGTAGGTTTGCCACATTTCAAAAAGTGAAAATCTGGACAAAAAAAGTTGCTGAGCATTTTTGGGCAAAGCTGTTGGGATTGCAAAATCTCTCTTTAAAATGTAAGTTTTTGAGCTACTTTTAAGGAAATTCACCCCAAACCTGCACTTCCAACATGGGTTGCCCTCTGTCTGGATTTTCCTGGACACTTCAGCAAATTCTACCCAGACACTGTTTGCGATGGCCGAATCCTGGCTACGTCCGGGAAATTTTAATCATAGATCTGCCTAAGAGACACTAAAACAGATGAAAACTTGTGTTGTCTTCCCATTATTCGTATATGGGTATTATTAGGATGGGGTTGTTGTTATTATTATTATTATTATTATTATTAGGGTGCAGGTGGTCCTACTTGTGTCTCTAGCACCAGTTAGAGAAAGCTTTTTTGGGGGTAGTTTTATAATCTACCTTTTACCCACTGTTTTTATGTTATGCTTCTCTCTACTTATTGTTGCTGTTTTGCTTTGAAATTGTGATCCTAACTATTGTAAGCTTCCCTGAGTAATATTTGCATGATAGAAGGGCAGGATTAAAGTTCTTGTATAAATAACCCTAGCGTAGAAAACCTCTGGCCAGTAGCAAGTTGTCACTTCTGCTGTAAGTATCACAGGGATAACCCACCTGGGTAAAAGCAGGACATTGTTTTCCAGATATCCTCATGTCCCTTTTCCCTGACTTGTATTAAAAAAAAATACTTTGAATGATCCCTTTATTGATTATCAAAGTACGCAGGCTGAGACCCTACCTGCCCGCAGACTGTCTCGCCAGAGTGGTGCATGCTTTAGTTATCTCTCGCTTGGATTACTGCAATGCGCTCTACGTGGGGCTACCTTTGAAGGTGACCCGGAAACGACAGCTATTCCAGAATGCGGCAGCTAGACTGGTGACTGGGAGTGTCCACCGAGACCATATAACACCGGTCTTGAAAGACCTACACTGGCTCCCAGTACATTTCCGAGCACAATTCAAAGTGTTGGTGCTGACCTTTAAAGCCCTAAACGGCCTCAGCCCAGTATACTTGAAGGAGCGTCTCCACCCCCATTGTTCAACCCAGACACTGAGGTCCAGCTCCAAGGGCCTTCTGGTGGTTCCCTCGCTGCGAGAAGCCAAGTTACAGGGAACCAGGCAGAGGGCCTTCTCGGTAGTGGCACCTGCCCTGTGGAACGCCCTCCCACCAGATGTCAAAAGAGAAAAATAACTACAGTGGTGCCTCGCAAGACGAAATTAATTTGTTCCGTGAGTTTTGTCGTCTTGCGATTTTTTTCATCTTGTGAAGCACGGTGTCGGGAAAGTTTTGGAAAAGCTTCAAAAATCACCAAAGTCTTTAAAAACCTCAAAAAAGGCTACCACACCGCGTTCTATGAGTTGCTCCTCGAAGTCAAGTCGCAACTGTATTAACGGTGTTAAGAAAAGGAAACAAACTTGCAAGACGTTTCTGTCTTGCGAAGCAAGCCCATAGGGAAAATCGTCTTGCGAAGCAGCTCAAAAAACGAAAAACCCTTTCGTCTAGCGAGTTTTTCGTCTTGCGAGGCATTCGTCTTGCGGGGCACCACTGTACCAAACTTTTAGAAGACATCTGAAGACAGCTCTGTTTAGGGAAGCTTTTAATATTTAATAGGTTATTGTAGTTTAGTGTTTTGTTGGAAGCCGCCCATTTTATTATTTATTATTATTATCACTTGTGCTGTTTTTCAAGCTCTTATGACTGTAATGCTGAAGATAAAAAAAATTCAAAAATGCCAAACTGTGTGCTCAAGAGAAAAAGCAGAATTGCACGGCCTTTATTTAATGAGATTCTTGTAAGCATTGCTTTGCAGACTTGTTTGCAAGTTTACTTTAAACAGCAAGATTCAGATTTTGCACATGTGCAGACACTTAAGCCATGTACACATTACTGGCTTAAATCATAGCTGGCTCGTTTCCCCCCTGAATTCAGCTCAAAGCTGGTTTGGGGAAAACAGCTTCAAAATACAAGATACACATGGACTGTGGTCATTGTCGTAAGTACTCTTCTTCTAAAACCAGCTCTGGACGCAGGAGAAACAATTCCAAAAGGAGTTAGTCCAAGCCTAGAAGCGATGGTGGTTCCAGTAAAACTGATATTAGTGTGTTTCAAGCTTGAATCGAAATGCCAATGCATAACTTTAAAGCTGGCCAGCAGTTGTGGGGAGAAAGGAGGAACCAAATTTAGGGGACACTGCACCCGGTTCTGCCTTAAATAAGATGCCTTCTAGATTTATTCCAAATATCTGCAACTTCTGTGGCATAAATTAGTTATTAATCAAATATCATTAACAACAAAGATTTAAGCGACAACTTGCTTTTCAGTAAAAATGTACAGATTCATCTTGCAAATTATCGTGTATTCTTGTGTCCTCAAAGTAAGCCCTGTCAGCTTGTTCCTAGGTAAATGTGCATAGGCTTGCAGTCTAATTCTCCCTTTTCTGTCATACAGCCTGTAAGGTATTGGGAAGTTTTTAATGTTTGATGTTTTATCATGTTTTTGTATTTTGCTGGAAGCCACCTGGAGTGGCTGGGGAAACCCAGACGGATGGATGGAGTATAAATAACAATACAGTGGTACCTCGGTTTTTGAACGTAATCTGTTCTGGAAGACCGTTCGACTTCCAAAATGTTTGAAAACCATTTCAAACATGCACATGGTACCTCTGGTTGCGAAAGGGATCCGTTCCAGAGGCCCGTTCGCAACATGAAAAGAGCGCAACCTGCAGCAGCGCGTCTGCGCACACGCGGGTTGCGATTTGCCGCTTCTGCACATGCGCGTGACATCATTTTGCGCGCCTGCACAAGCGGCAAAACTCGGACGTAACCCTTTCCGGTACTTCCGGGTTGCCACGGGACGTAACCTGAAAGAACATAACATGAAGCAAACGTAACATGAGGTATGACACTATATGCGCAGAAGCCGTTCAACTTCTGAGGTGCGTTTGAAAACGGAAGCATTTACTTCCGGGTTTTTGGCATTCAAAAACTGAAACATTCAGCTTCCAAGATGTTTAGAAACTGAGGTACCACTGTAACAATAACAACAACAACAAGTTTGATTAGTGTTTAACATTGGAGTACAGTGGTACTTCAGGTTACATACGCTTCAGATTACATATGCTTCAGGTTACAGACTCCGCTAAGCCAGAAATAGTGCTTCAGGTTAAGAACTTTGCTTCAGGATGAGAACAGAAATCATGCTCCGGTGGCACGACTGCAGCAGGAGGCCCCATTAGCTAAAGTGGTGTTTCAGGTTAAGAACAGTTTCAGGTTAAGAACGGACCTCCGGAACAAACTAAGTACTTAACCCGAGGTACCACTGTAGTCCATCATTTTCTAGCTTTCTACCTTCAGGGAGCCATTCCCACAGTGTCTCGTCTTATGAAAAACCTCTGTGTGCTGCCCCCAGGACTCTGCACATTTCAGAATATTCTGGTCCATGTTTTCAGGGTGTGCTCTTTGCTCATGGAGAGCATTGCCCAAGCCTGTTTCTCAGCACTCGCCTGGGGCTTTATGTTGCAAAGTGAGATCAGGAACTGTGGCCAAGATGCCTTTCAGCATTGCTCCTCTGCCACTATTGATCTCACGGAGGAATCCCAGATTTCCCTGGCACACGGCATGAGAGCCAGAGGCAAAAAACAAACACCGTTGATAATCAAAATAACTTTTTAGTTATTCCAAATTTCTGAACGATTTCTCAAACCCTCATGTTAAATATTTTCCACTACACAGCTTTTTATATTAGGAAATAAATAGGTTTGCTAGCTTGTTACAGAAGAGGCGCAGCGCAATTCTATGGGTGTCTACTTGGAAGTAAACTCCATTGAGTTTAATTGGGCTCATTCCCAGATCCGAGTGCAGAGGATTATATTGTGCAGATTTTAGTGCGTTAATCGGTCAGTTTGAATACATATAAGTAAAAACAGAATTTTTGCAGCAAGAAAAAAAATATTTACTTTTATTTGCACGTTGCTATAACAGGCATTATCAGAAAAAGCATTCCTTCTGTGTGGAGGATAACCAGTTGCAATGGAGGAAAAAGCTCCTGCAGCTTTAATAATGGTGTAGAAGCAAGAATTTGAGCAGTTGCAGTTTGTCAAGCAGCTACGAAAAGTGCACATATGCTTTCTCCCTTTGCATCTGACCAACCTTTTGTGTGGAAGGAGAGAGGAAACAGTTTGTAAGATGGTACTTGCCACCTTCAGTTTATATAAGCAGAATGATTTATTTATATAGTAATCAGCAACTCAAATAATCAGGACAATTGGATTTTTGTCAAGTGCCTTACGTATGTGTTTATTCCAAAATCCAAGGGGGCTTACTCCTAGGTAAATGTGCATTGGATCGATGCCTTAATTGATTAACCAGCGAATCAAGTGAACGCTACACCCCTAAGCGTAAATGTCGGAGTGACCTGAATTTTCTTTTCCAAAACAACTCTTACATCAACAAGTTCGCCCCAGCCTGCAAGATGACTCTGGTAAAATAATTCCATTGATGATATTTATACTGCAACTGTGCCTATCTTTAGTTGCTGCTGCTGCTGCTGCTTAAAGTCCTATTTAGAGCCACAAGATGAGCTGACACTCGACACCCCAGCTCTATCACCCTAATACTTGTTCTTTTAAAAAAAAGTAGGCCAGAAATGCAGACTTCCAAGTAGCCGATTTGCTTTAATTAGAAATGGCCATGCATGAGTTAGCTTGCTGAAAACAGAGTCCGCAGCTCAGCACTAGAAGTTATTCCATTTGTGTGTCCCTTTTACAGTGGTACCCCGGGTTACATACGCTTCAGGTTACAGACTCCACTAACCCAGAAATAGTGCTTCAGGTTAAGAACTTTGCTTCAGGATGAGAACAGAAATCAGGCTCTGGCGGCACAGCAGCAGCTGGAGGCCCCATTAGCTAAAGTGGTGCTTCAGGTTAAGAACAGTTTCAGGTTTAGAACGGACCTCTGGAACGAATTAAGTACTTAACCTGAGGTACCACTGTATTAAGTGTCTGTATCCCTTTCCACACCACTTAAAGGTACAGTTTTCTCCATGTCTGTAGGGAGCCTAATATATAGTGTCTGGTTAAAAGAAGGAAAACGGGCCCCTCGTGGTACCTTTGGCAGTGTGGAAAAGAGGGAATTTCAGCAAGGGTACATCTCACGACAATTGCATCTTGCCCTCTTTTCCGTGTGGCCAGCCTAGATTCCCCCTCTCCCTGTAGATCAGATGTGGGGAACCAACCCTTGGCTCTCTTGATGTTGCTGAAATACAAACTCTATCATTCCTAGCCATTGGCCATGCTTGTTGGGGCTGTTGGGAGTTGCAGTTCAGCATCTGGAGGGTCAAAGATCCCCTGACCACTGGTCCTGCCAGCTAGGGATGATGGGAGTTGTAGTCCAACAACAGCTGGAGACCCAAGTTTGGGAAACCCTGGTCTAGGCCCAGTGTTTGTAAAATCCACTGGTTGGCCTATCTGCTTCCCTGATCGTTTGACCCAGATCTTTGCTATTGGGATTCCTTCTTGGTAGTCCTTGCGAAATGTTTGAAATGGTACTCCCCTCCGCGATTGAATTATGTGCCTCTGATGACATCTCTATACATAAATCAGCTTCCATTACACTCTTCCACCTGGTCTTTCTCAAGTGACTTACATACTAGAGTACGAATTACGTACGCCTGCTGCTTCTGAGCTTTTTGAAAAGAGCCATGCCGTTGCAAAATAAAGCAGGATGCCAATAAAAATGTCCATATCATGAGACTACGTGGAAGGCATGTCCACACATGGAACAATCTGAAATGCTCTTGGACAAAGTATGCACGTCTTTTGATGACATTGCCTGATGTAGCTGTTCATGTATATCTAGTGTATTGTTATTTGTTTTGTTAACAAAAATGTTCGCAATAAAAAAGTGTTTTCTAAGAGGCACGCCCTTCGTTCTGCAAGCAGGTGCCCTCCTGTTTCAGAAACTGGATTTCTTCCAACCTTAACTTGAGTGAGTAAGGATTTGAACTTACGTCTCTATAATTTAGTCTTTTGTTCTGAGCTAGTTTGGTGGTGGTGGTTGTTTTTAGATTTAAGAATAATAATAATAATGTATTATTTATTTATTATTTATACCCCGCCCATCTGTCTGGGTTTCCCTAGCCACTCTGGGCAGCTTCCAACAAAATATTAAAATACAATAGTCTATGAAACATTAAAAGCTTTCCTAAACAGGGCTGCCTTCAGATGTCTTCTAAAAGTCTGGTAGTTGTTGTTCTCTTTGACATCTGGTGGGAGGGCGTTCCACAGGGCGGGTGCCACTACCAAGAAGGCCCTCTGCCTACTTCCCTGTAACTTGGCTTCTCGCAGTGAGGGAACCGCCAGAAGGCCCTTGGCGTTGGACCTCAGTGCCTGGGCAGAACGATGGGGGTGGAGATGCTCCTTCAGGTATCCTGGACCGAGGCTGTTTAGGGCTTTAAAGGTCAGCACCAACACTTTGAATTGTGCTTGGAAACGCACTGGGAGCCAATGTAGGTCTTTCATGTTATGTAAAAGATACTTCTAGTGGTGAATGATACCCCACAATTTGGAGTGGCACATCTTGAACTGATAAAGCAAGTGGATACGCAGTGGTGCAAAAACAGGGAGGAAAGCTGTGATAGCTTGCAGACTGTGTAGGATCAACCTTGCTTTGAGGGACAACTGAAAGTCATGGTGATGTAATGGGATTTAATGGGCCCATTGGGATTAAGAATTAACTTTCTCTTGGCAGTACTAATTAAGTCAATGATTGGCATGTAGAAACAATAGTGTGAAGAACAGAGGGCTTCTGTATTTCAAGGATCCAGGCAGGATACGATGTGCAGTGTTGTAGCCCTGGATAGACTGTGTATTTTAGGAGGGGGAAACCAATGTGGGATCTGTTTTTAAAAGGTGGAAATACACTGTCCAACTTTACAGCAAAGCTGCTCTGCCATATATTTGAAGCCAAAAAATAAAATGGTGATTAATTGTGGAACGCCTGCAAGTCAGGTTAAGAATTCAGTGGTTTATGTGCGTGTTTGGTTCTGTTTAGGATGTAGTCAACTTCATTTGCTGAAAAAGAAAATGCAGTCCTCGGCACACATACTCGCGAGTAAGTCCTGCTGAACTCATTGGGAGTTTCTTTTGATTCAACATGCATAAGGCTGAGCTGCCAGAGTGGGAGCGGGTTAATAGAATTAGCTGATTCTTTCCGTTATTTGTGGCTGTGACTTCAACAACAGCTTGATGTGCAGAAATTATTTGGTGATGACGTTGACCTGCTGATTTCTGGACATCTCATTGCTTGCAGAAGCACTTGAGCAGCTGGCCTTGTTTACTGAATCATTTGGCCACCCCTGTATGTAGGGTAGCTTAATTGCTTCCGTCATCTTGCTGCTTAAGAGCTGAACTAGAAAACTTCCCATATGGTTTAAATACTTTTTTCTGTCTGTAGTCTCCATCCTATAGTAGTATCCTTAAAATAGCAACTCTGAGAATGTGTTCTGCCTTACTCTTCTTCGGATACAACATCCTTTGCTTTCTGGCTTTTTTACCATGGAAGCTTGTGCTGTATTTGAATTTGTAACCAGATACAGAATAAAACGTTTAGCTAAAGTAAGTACTCATAGCTCTGGTTCTTTTTCTGCAGCCTTGGAATGATTTATCATAAATAAATCTAAATAAGTCTAACCGAGGGCACATTTAAAGAGGCAAATGCAACTTTCCACATTTCTGGAAACTTGTAGTTAGATATCCTTGTTTGTAATAAATATAGAAAAGGGGCCTTGTACGTTTTCTTTTATGTGATTGGGAGTAATGTCAAGGTTTGGGTCTCAATTCTGGCAAAATTTAACTAGTACTGGCTTTTCAGGAAGTAACATTAGTATGAACAAACCTGAAAGGAAATAAAATAAACCTAAGCTTTTCTCTTTTCCTTGAGTAAATGGGTGAAATCAAAGCAAGTTTTGCAATGATTAGTTTCTTCCTTTTTAGTGATAGAAATATAGCTGCTTCAATGGCAACTCTTTCTCACTCTGAGAGTACATAACTGCATCTTTCTTACAATTGGAGTTGGTGTCATTGCAAGTGCCATGTTTAATGCTGTTACGACCCCTGTTAATGGCAGGTAAAGGAAAAACATTTAAATTTAGCCATCCCTTTTATATGGTGCTCTTCTTTTGGAGTGGTGCTGGCTTCGGAAACTTTTGGGGAACCCTTCGTATATAAACTTGTCTCACGAGGAACCTGGCCCCAGTGACCCAGCTTGCACATCTTGCTTTGGATTCTAGGAAGTGTTTGAAGTCAGGTTACCAGATTTTTTTTCAAAGAATCTGGGAACCCTTTTTTTTTTTTAAAAAAAAGAGAGAGAGGAAAAAAGGTATTAAAAAAAGAAGCCACGTGTCCTTGCCTTCCCGGTGCTCTCCTGCCTCTCCTCCTCAGTGGTTGTGACACGACAAGTTTGGGGCTCCCCTCTTTTTTCTTCTTTCTCTCTCTTCCTTCTCCTTCTCCACTCCTCCTTCTGCCTGAGTCGGCTCCAGGGTTTTCCTGGCGCTGGAGCGCCGCTGGCAGTCGGCTGGGTGCTCTCACTCCCGGCTCGATTTGGGTCGCGCGGGGGGGGCTGCCAGCGGTTCCCCCAGTTGACGCACCAGGCACCCCCGGTTTCCCCTCAGCAGTGGTGGCAGCAGTGCCAGCAGTCTCAGCAGCCCGGAATCATCCTGGTAGCGCAGTTGCCTCTAGCTAGCTTCAGGAGCTGCTCGCTGCCGTGGCGCCCGCCATTTTGCCTCGCTGGAAGTCCCCATATGATGTGTCTTGTGCCGTTGAACCAATCACGCAACATTCATTCCCTACTAATATATCTACATCTGTAACACTTAAAATATAAATCCAGGGACATTCCAGGGATTGGTTTTGTCTGGGGACAGATTTGTAAATCTGGGGACGTCTGCTAACCATAGTTTGAAGTGCACACTCAGTTTATTCAGTGCATTGCCCTGGCTTGTTGGGGCTGTCTATCACATTGCATAACCTGTGGGAGGGACGCGTTGTAGGGGGAAGATCTGTAACAAAGCTGTGCCTTGCAGAACTTTATCTGGTGCTCTTGGTCCTATCCGAGGCTTCTCAATGAAAATCTTCCTCTGAATATGCCTTGAGCTGTTCTAAACTTCAATCTTCAAACATTTACTAATATGGTAAACAAGATTTTGCGAGCCACCAAGTCTCCAAACACCAGAGATCTAGGATTTATCAAAGCATGCAGTAGCTGTTCATCATTCTTCTCCCTGTTTAGTTACTGGGGAAGGGAAGAAATGTGAATACAGGCAGCTTAATGGGCTTCTGCTGACACTTTCATGTCAGTAGCATTACTCTAGGGTAACGTGCAAGTGTTAATGGATTTTATGCCTTATCGTTGCAGGCAGCATGTTCAAGTCTGCGGTGTAGCCCAGTGTTTGTTCTATAGCTGTAGCACTAATTGGAATCTGTATGCCACCTTGATGGGCACTCCTTGAATTACGTGTTCTGTACCCTGGCAATAACCCCTTCATGCAAAAGGTCTAAGTTTTGTAAGTAGCTAAAGCCTGCAGACCTCTTGAGTTCAATGGAATTCTGTGTGTATAATAAGTTTTATGTTGATGCTTCAGCCAAGGACCAAGCTAAAATTGATAAGGGGTGTGTAGATGGAGGAAATAAACCTAGTGTGTAGCTGCAAGTAGGTAAATCAGTGGTGAGATTGTGTATTGTGTAATTACTGTCATGGCACCCTTGGCTCCATCAGGATCTATGACCAGACATGGTTTAGCAGCCACAGTTGGAAGAGGAGGAGAAGCAGATTTGGAAGGCTTGAAGCAGATGGGAAGACTTGGGTAGAAGCAGATTGGCACCATACGCACCAACTCTGTGGGACTGAGGGCAGCTTACCCCCCCCCCCCAAGTATGTGAGGAAGGGGCAGAGTCCCTCCCCCAATCTTGAGGAGGCTCGCCTTAAGAAACTTTAGTATAATCAGTCGGGTGGCTTCAGACAGAGCAGACTGGATATTTTTTCCCCTAACAAAAACAGATTTGAGGTCAAAGCTTAACAAATATACCATGGCATAAATCAGGCACTGAAAATATTTGAAAGCAGTAGGGGAGCATTTCAGTATCCCAGGCCACTTCTGTAGCAGACTTTAAAATTGCCAAAAGTTTCTAAAGTTACTAAGTCGGACTTCTTCAGCGGATAGGCCCTGTGGTTCTTGGTTTGAACAGAGACTAGAAATGGCCTCTACTGAAAGTAATCGTGACTCTTAAAGCATATTAAACTATTCACTTTGCAATGCTTATTTCCCACTAGTGGATCTGGAATGGGTCACCCACACTGACCGAATCTTGGATACATCTTGGTTTGAACCTGTTTTTGTTTGTGTTTAGTAGTAGGCATGTCACATTACGATATGATCTGTTGAATTGCTTGGCCTTGCTGGTTTCTTTATTTCACAAATGTGATTTTTTTAAAATAAAAAAATCTGCAATCAATATGGATACTCTCTGTCCTATCAATGTGAGAGGACTGACCCACCGAAGCCAACGCCCCTACAATCTTGAAGATCCATCAAAACTGTTCTAGAAATAAAGAAGCTGATGTTCTTCTTGGCACCTAAGGCAGTGGATCGCAGCCCATAATACACTTGCTTAGTCTTGAGCTGCTGCAACACTTTGTTATTCCTGGCATGGGCAAATGCCAGGATCCAAGGAGTGTGCCAAGGAACTCTGCCTGCCTCAGGAGGTTTGGGATGACTTATTCTCAAGCAACCTCCTGTTCTCCACCCCTACCCCACTCCCAATCCTATGCAGCATGGACCACTTATGGGACTCAAGAGAATTAATAGAAGCACTTCCCTCTGTAAACTGGGGAACCATCTATTCAGATTGGCGGACGTTAGGTAAAGCTGAGGAGTGTCTCAAGTAGCTCTTCGATCAAGACCAAAGTACTAACAAAAAGTTTTGCTTGCTTAATTCTGTACACCAGGCTGCTGTTAAAGACCAATGATTTTCACAAATTTAACACAAGCCCTGTGTACTTGATAGAGCGTCCATTCTCTGCAAGGACCAATTTTCTTGAAAATAAATAGTTCACCCCGTCTAAACTAAATAATACTACTTTGATGCAGATGAGAATGTTCTGAAATAAACGTTGACACTTTGCTGTAGCCGCAGTCCAAAGCTGGTCAGATCGGTTTTATCCTCGTCTTCTCCTCTTCCATTTTACTGCCATATATGAAAATATACGTTCAGTTATTATGTAAACCTGAGTGTTTTATTGCTTGTGGTCCAGATGAGGAAGGAAAGTAGACCGCATAATTGCAAAACGCTGTTGGTTTATTAAGCCTCGTAACTTTACTTGGGAAGGAACGCTTTTCTTCAGGGAATGAACGGACTTACAGTGTTTACAGTGCAGTTTCTTGCAATATGTTAATTTCCAAGAATAACTCGTTTTGACGTGTGGCAAAATAGCGGCTCCTCAGCACTGACATTGGAGTGACCTTAAGGAAAGGCACTAATAAGCTCTTAAGCTTTACTGAAAATGGTGGGATATAATTATCAAAACATCTCTTTTGTACAAGGGTGAGGAAGCCACAACCCGCAGGCGTAAGTTGGCCCAGCAGACGTCCCCGTTTGACCTGTGGGTCTGTTTCTTCCCAACCGTGGCTCCATACCGCATCCTTGACATCGCATAAGACATCGGGTGGGAGGCAGGTATAGGTGCAGCCTTCACTTTGAAGAGCGTTTCCTAGTGGTTTCAAGAGAAACTTCCTGGAAGTGCATTTCAAAGGCGATGTCTCTCAGCCAGTGCTAGAAATTCCCCAGGCATTAGGCCTGTTTTACAACTGGTGCTGGTCCAGTTTCAACCACATGGAGATCTCTGGATGCCAAGATTGCAATGAGATCTCTACCTGGCTGGCCCCTCCAGCTTTCTTAAGCAGAAGAGCTCATTTTTTGCATTTAAATCCCAACTTTTCCTCCAGGAGCTACATGGTTCATCCCCTCCTCAGTTTCTCCCTACAGTGACCCTGTCAGGGAGGTTAAGAGGCTGTGACTGACTCCATCTGAAATATTTTCCTTGAAGCTTGAATTTGTTTTATTCTGGATTGTTTTACTTGATGTTTTAATGTGTTGTAAAACACGGAGAGATCCCCCCCCTTTAAAATATAAAGTGGTATAGGAATGAAAGTAATAATAATACAGTGGTACCTTGGTTTTTGAACGTAATCCGTTTCAGAAGACCTTTTGAATTCCGAAATGTTCGAAAACCGAGGTGCAAAGGGCGGCCTGGAAAAAATAACAGGTACATGCAGCAAAAGCCGTTCGACTTCCAAGGCGCATTGGAAAATGGAAGCATTTACTTCTGGGCTTTCGGCGTTTGAAAACCAAAACATCCAGCTTCCAAGACGTTCAAAAACCAAGGTACCACTGTAATAAGAATAAATTTCATGATTACAACAATGCCACCTAGACATTCCTTTGTGGCAACCGTAACCAAGGTTTAAGATGCCATTTGGCGATTAGCTTCTATATCTGAGTTTCTAACACAGCTTTGAAGTGTGTTTTCAAGTAGTTTCTCTTGAAACTGCTTTGAAACACACTTCAGATTATTAGATTGTTAATGCAGGGATTACGGAGATGACATTGTCGTTTTAAGGACTTCATGACGACAAAGTACTGTATATGACAATAGATGTGTTTTTATAGCTTGACATTTTTCTGACTTACTAGATTTATCCTTTTGGTAAGTTTTTTTGGTGGCGTTAACAGCTTATTTTGCTTATGTTTAATATATTCCTTGTTAACGCTGTAACGATGTGTGAAAGAAAGAAAAAACTGGCGTGTGTTTTTATATTCCTTGCTAAGGAAAGGAACATTTTGATCTTCCCTTTCCCTTTCACTCAATCGACTTCATTCGCCTCCGTGATGTAATCCATGTAAATTTAATTATACATTTGTGTGATCCCCATTTGGCTGAAATCACTCTGTGATTAATTCAGCACTTTGTGTTGAAAACTCATGATATCATATCTACCACCGGTAGAAGCAATGGCACCAAACAAGACTGAAAAAAAGCTGTGCTTAAGGAAATAGTTCTATCAAGTGCTATTTTTCTAGAAAAAAGAGGGGCCGGAACAAACCCTTGTTCTCTTATAATGGTAATGGCGCCCACCTGAGAGGTGCCAAAACTGAGTCCCGGTCAGAAAAAAAGCCCCAGTTCTACCCTACCAGATTGCTATTGAATAAAATTGAAACTAGATGTCATTGGTTTTTTGTACAGCCCTGGTTGAGAGCAGGATGTTTCAAAAGCAAAATCTGGATGATGGTTTAAGCATAGCAGCTAGTGTTGAAGTGGGATGTGTTATTATGAAATGTTGTGCACAAGCAACGAAACTTATATCCTGGTTTCTGTTCTGACAAAGAAAATACTTGAGGAATATTTGGCCATCAGAGTTTAACGGTCAGTTTTCCACTTGGTCATTCAAAAATGTCAGGATTCCGTTGCCTTTTGCCCTAGAAGTTGTTGTCTTTTACAGTTCTTTTCCCAGAAGTGATGTTGCTTTAAAAAAAAGGGGGGGAAGTGATTGATGAAAGTTAAAAGGCTGTTGATGGGAAAACTAATTAACCTTATATAGTTCAGTTCTTGTTAGTAGGAGAAAACGTTAAGACTCTGAAGAGCAATAAATCAGATTAATTATCCTGCTGGATGCAAACATTTGAGGCCAAGAACCAAATCATCTTGATGTGGGAATTGTATGAGTAACTTGGTTGAAAGTTGGCTTCATAAGTTATGAAGCAGGGTGCTTTGTATATTTGCAAGATGGATTAAATGTAATGGCTGGGATCCAAACAGTTGCATTAGGCGTGCCCAAGAGCTTTGACATGCGCAGTAGGATTTTGCATTGTTTTTTCGCAGTAACCTGCAATCCCATTTTGCAAATGCCTTCAAAACTTGCCTTGGTTCTTAAAGCAGTTTGTTCAGTGGCAAAGAGGACCAAAATAAAAAAAAAAAAAAAATAATGGCCAAATTCAAGCCTTGAGCCCTATTAGGCACTCAGAATAGTTCTCTTGCTTTCAGACAGTATTAGGCAGCAGAGCAATAGGTGCCGCTGGTCGTTTTAGTCAGTTCCATGTTCCGATTTAGGTTCTTTCCTCTTCAAGCCTCAGAAAGCTTGAAAACATTAACTTATTAAATGCACAACCCATGTTACATGGATGCAAAAAGGAGGAGGAGGTTTCACCGTTCCATAAATGTGCAAACTTGGAAGATTCATGTCCGAGGATAATTGCCACGAGAAAATGAGCAGCAGAAAAACACACACCTCTGATTCACTGCTCACTAATGCTTGAATTAGACCTTTTGGGATGTACAGTGGTCCCTTGGTTCTGAAACGCCTTGGTACTCAAACAACTTGGAACCCAAACACTGCAAACCTGGAAGTAAGTGTTCCAGTTTGCGAACTTTTTTCAGAAGCTGAACATGCTCCGTTTTGAGTCTTACGCTTCCGTTTTGAGTGCCACACTTCCGTTTTGAGTGTTACACTGAGGTCTGTCTGTCTTTGCTATTTATTTTGCATTGGTTTTTTTTTTGTTTTGTTTTGTTTGTTTTTTTTGCGGCTCTTTTTGTTGTTGTTTTTGTGACTGTGTGGAACCCAGTTCAGCTACTGATTGATTGATTGATAGATTGTGTGACTGCAGTCCATTGTTTATTGCTTTCATTTTATGGATTAATTGTCTCGTCAGATAGTAATATTCATATTAAATTGCTGTTTTAGGGGTTGTTTTTAAAAGTCTGGATCAGATTAATCCATTTTGCATTACTTTATATGGGAAAGTGCACCTTGGTTTTGGAACGCTTTGATTTTGGAACAGACTTCCGGAACGGATTACGTTTGAGAACCAAGGTACCACTATATAGCTGCAGCAGAAAACGGCAGCTTTATGTCTCTTTTGTTCTGTCTTACTCTAATAATAAAAGGGACGCGGGTGGCACTGTGGGTTAAACACAGAACCTAGGACTTGCCGATCAGAAGGTCGGTGGTTCGAATCCCCGCGACGGGGTGAGCTCCCGTTGCTCGGTCCCTGCTCCTGCCAACCTAGCAGTTCGAAAGCACGTCAAAGTGCAAGTAGATAAATAGGTACTGCTCCGGCGAGAAGGCAAACGGCGTTTCCGTGCACTGCTCTGGTTCGCCAGAAGTGGCTTAGTCATACTGGCCACTCCCTCGGCCAATAAAGCGAGAGTCGGTCACAACTGGACCTAATGGTCAGGGGTCCCTTTACCTTTACTCTAATAATATGTCTTGACTAGTTTCCTGTTCTTATAAGTGATGAGCAGTGACACCTTGCAGCATGGAGATGTCTCTCTCTCTCTCTCTCTCTCTCTCTCTCTCTCTCACACACACACACACACACACAGAGAGAGAGAGAGAGAGAGATGCTGTTTTGCTGTGGTGTTTGGTTCTGACTTAAATTGCAGCATGCAGCTGTGATAATGATTTCTTCATAATACCTTCTGTAAGTGCTACACGGGCTGTTGGTAAAATGCATTTTTTCACTTGCAGAATTATCTTTTTTATTTTCTTAAGGACCCTCCTGTTCCTTTGGGAGCACTCAGTTCACTAAAGTTCTTAGTGAGGTTTTGGATCAGGCCCAATCCTGCAGATGGAAGAGAGCACCCATCTCTGATCCAGGTAGTGCAGAGAGCAAGTACTTGGCCTAGTTTTCCCCATGATAATAAACCCATGCCCAGTGTGTACCACTTCTGACTTCAAGCCCTGCTTGGAGTCCCTTTAATAATTTAATTTTAAAAAATGTTTATTTTTACCTCGCCCATCTGACCGGGTTGCCCCAGCCACTCCCAAATTCTCAATCTGAAAATCAGTTCTAAGCATTACTACAGGAAATCTGCCTTAAAAAATTAAAAACCTGATGCAAACTTGTGCCTTTCAGTGTGAATTTCTCCTGATGAACACATTATTTGTTGTTTTTCTTAATAGAGTCATTTTTAGAATTCTGTTTTCCTAACATAATGCATTTTCTTGTGATTTTTCACATTTCACCAATATATGCAATCTTATGTACACTCATACAAGGGTACCCGACATGGTGGCTGTCGTGGACTACAACTCCTATCACTCCCAGCCAGCTTGACCACTGATTGGGGATGATGGGATTTGTAGTCCCATACATCTGGAGGGCACCATGCTGGATACCACTGCCCAAGTATATGCCTTTTCGTACATATTACGTGACTGGAGAACTGCATTGCAAAATTCAGAGAAGTGCATATTTATAAAGATGTGACTGTGCTTCAGTTCACAATTTTTTTTTGGAAAGTGCAAATCTGCTAGGTTTGTCTTTAAATGTGAACTTACTATCCCCAGTCGCTACATGCTAGTTTCTCTGCAAAACCTTTTCTACTTTTCCTGAAAATGCATCTCTGTAGAACTGAATGGGCCTAAGTTATGCTCTGGTGGGGCTTAAATGTATGAGATTCCTGATCATTCTTCAGCTGGGAAGTGATTGTTCCATATAGTTAGTAAACCTTCTTCAATTGGTCAGTGGCCGTATCTCACAATTGAATTGCTTGAGGCAGCAGTTGGTGGAAAAATTTGGGGTTCACTGAAGGACACCACGAGCTGCCAGGGGGTTTATGCAGGAAAAACCTTTTGGAGGCAGGAACCTCTTGGAACTGGAAACAACCTGTATTCCTGTAGTATCCATTAATTGAAGCTCCACTGCACATACCTGTATTTTTTTTTAAATCTGGAGACGAGCCAGAACAGCCAGTCTTTCAAGGCCACAGATAAAATCACCTTGATTAAAATGTGTGCAAGACAAGTTCTTGCAGACCTAACTCTGTAGACAGCTATGCCCACATTCCTACTTTGGGTTATGCAGAGGGCAGCGTTTTAAAGTACGTCAGACACAAATTGCTAGGTAAACAGAAATGCTTTGCCCAACGGTTCAAGAGTAGCTTTCATATTGCTAGGACTGGGTTCGGAAATAAAGCTGAAATAAACAGGAAACTGTACCAGGGACTGCGCTTGCCTGGAGGGCTTGTGTGTGTGTTAACTCTGGCCTGCTTGTTTATTGAACTTAAGATGAAGAAATCTACCTTTACCTCTATTAGGCTGAAGCCTAAAATGCACCAGTTGTGTTTTGTGGAGTCCTCTTTAAAAATGAGTGAATAGGATGACAGTATCAGGGGTTGGTGTGGAAGCAAAAGAAGTTATATGCCCATAAAGGAAGCAAATGTGTTGGACATCTTGGTTTCGTGAGGGTTATTCTTCGTCACTCAGTTATATTTTGGGCATGAAGTTCTTCTGCCTTTACTTCTTACGTCTTGTCTTCAATAATTGCTGCCAACACAAGTATAATTTTAATGGATTTCTAGCAGGTGTTCAGGGTTGTGTGTTGTAATATAGCAGCCTCTTCAAAAGATCATTACGAGGGAGGAAGTCTGTGTTGATGTGGTAGTGGAACATTAAGTTTTCAAATATAGATGCAGAGCTCAGAAAATGAGAAGTAATATTGATTGCAAAAGCTGAGGCTGGCCTATTTTCCTCCTAAACAGAAGCAGAAATGTTTTCAGCATAGACATTCTGGATTGTGGTTTTGTGGAGAATAACGGCTGATAGAGAATCTGTGCTAGAGATGTGTAGTTCATTTGTTAATGATGAAGGATAAGCTTGCTATTTATCAGGATAAGGCTACATGGGGACGGGACCTTTGCACATGGTGCCACAAACATTCACACTTCAAGAAAGATCTTGAGGTTGGGGGTGATATCCTTATGTAATTGTATATACTTGTACTGTTATGAGTTTGTGGGTGTTTCTGTGTTTCACATGATTCCAGATATTTATTGAAGCTTAACTGAGTAAATACAGGCATGGCAATTCTTATCTCTGACCTAGATTCCTGCTCTGGGGATATTTCACTTCCCAGTATACCATATTTTTCGGCCCATAGGGCACACCGGCCCATAGGGCGCACCTAGTTTTTCGGGAGGGAAATAAAGAAAAAAAATTTATTTCCCCCCCCCCCCAGGCGTGGGGCTGGGGTGGGGGAAGCCCGAGCTTCCCCCGACCCAGCCCCCAGAACAGGCAGCTCTCCACAAGCCGTGGGAGACCTGCGCGACTTCACACAGCCCTCCCACGGCTTGCAGAGAGCTGCACGAAGCCTGGAGAGCGAGAGGGGTCGGTGTGCAGCTACCCCTCTCGCTCTCCAGGCTTCAGCGAAAGCCTGCATTCGGCCCATAGGACGCACACACATTTCCCCTTCATTTTTGGAGGGGAAAAAGTGCGTCCTATAGGGTGAAAAATACGGTATGTTGCTCGCCTGTTCTGACATATCTTGAAAAGAGCCTGCTTGCCTGGAGGTGCAGTCTGAGGCACCTGGGAGAGTTACATGCAAGTTAATATTATTCTTATTATCCACAATATATCCACCCCACTAAAACCACACTGCACCCCATAAAACTACCTCTGGAGCAATTCCCTGCACGTGGTTATTAAGCATGTCAGGAGGAAGGCTAGGCTAAATCCCTTTTCCCTGACACTGAAATAGTATGCACAGGGAATTTTTTATTTTTGTTAAGTACTCAGCCGCTGTCATATGTGGTCCATCCTAGAGTGGTTTAGTACTTCATCGAGAGTTGGGGCTTTATGTTGCCGAAGTAAACTTGAAAATACTTGCCACAGGTGCAGTAAATAAATAAAAAAGCTAGGATTTGATTTGGTGCAAGAAATACATGCGAGGATGGTTATTATGGCAGTATCCGACAACAAGATTTAGTTGGTTGCAATGATCTCATTACTTCAGGTTGGTATAGTATTGTGCATCAACATTGCAGCTGGAGTTACAAAGATGCCATATTGATAGTCATTTCCGTCTGGATTCCATCCTTTGATGGGAAGAATGAAGGGTGGAAATCCATCAAAGCTGCAACAAGTCCCAAACTGACTATAAGAGTTATATTATCTGCTTCACTTGTAATGTTGGCAGACAAGTTAGAATAAAACTGCAGGAGAGTTTTGTAATATTGCCCCCTTTCCACCTTCTCCTTCATTTTAATGTTTGATTATATTTCTCTCCTTTTTTTCTTCCATGTTTATGTGTATCATTCCTTTCATATATATATTTTGGATGAGCACTTTAGGTCCTCTTTCACTGCTCTTTTTTATTTGGTTTTAAGGGGTATTTTGTTGTTGTTGTTGTTTCTGGTTCTGTTACGTAAATTGCTTCGAAACACTTTGGCGTGAAAACGGATTGACAGAATAAAGTTGTTGAGTGTTTTGTACACAGATCAGGACAAACCTCAGTACTCATGTAATGGGAGAGGAGGGTTCAACACAAGATGCTGTAAGCAAGACAATTGTGATTTACTCTAGCTAAAGCTGATGAGAGGTTAAGAAGACCCAAAGGAGAATAATTGTTTGCCGCCACCCCAACCCCTATAAATAGGAATGGATGTGACTGGAAATTTGGCATAAATTGATGGAACTTGCACACTGTGCACTAAACATACAAGGTCAAGAATGTATGTGCTCTGGGTCATGAATGTATGTTCTGAACGCTTCCGCCATGTTTGAGTGTTGCTTCTGTGTTCACAGTTTGCAGTTGGTCTGCATGTGTCTGTTGTAATTCCTGCTTCTTGGTTTGCGTCCCTCCAGCAACTGCCCCTCTCTTTTGAGATCAGCTTGGCCAAGGAGACTGCTGGGAAGCCAGTGGAAAGATTCCCCTCATGTCTACATCATCCAAGTGAGTCAAGTTTGCCCTAGCAAAAGGAAGAGCCTTTATCTATGGATCTTTCTTACTCTTTCTTCCCCGGTCTCCTAAGCAAAGCTGATGTCGTACCAAAAATCCATTTGGTCCAAACCTGATGCATCAATACCATTGGTTTTTTGCTTCTCTCTCTCTCCAGCCTGCTATCTCCTACAGGTTGTGCTCTCAATAAATAGAGGCTGCTAAACTAGCTCTGTGCCCCAATAGCTTTGAATTCAAAATCTTCTAAATTGCACCTGTCTCTTCATAGAGCAAAGTAATACATCCCTTGGCAACTGCAGTCTTGAGCAATCAATAAACCTGCTCCTTTAGATACAAAGCTTGTTTATGCTTGCTCACAGAAATAAGAATATGCTTTACCTACTTTATGTGCATCTTTATGATCAATATAATAACACTTAATGAGTAGATGGCAGACTTTCCACTTTGATCTTGGAAGCAGAGTCACGGTTGGATAATGCTTTTAAGCTGAAGTTTGAGTTAATGTTTATAAAATCATGTAATCCGAAGTGAGGGCTCTTTGCATCAGTTAGAACCATTCTCCAGTGTTTACTTGAGTGTAAACAAAAATAAAGTAATAACACTTGGGTTTATGTATTTCAGAGATGCTCCCATGTGAACAATTCAAGGGGAATTTTAAACATCTGTGTGCATGATACAATATATTACCCATAGTTTACAATCCATCCATGTTTATACCTGCAAAATACTTAAACTTTAGTCTGCTTATGTGAGTCAGACTCCTTTAGTTTAGTTTTAATTATATAGTTTTAAGAATGCAACTAAAAGGGCCTGTAGATAGTTAAATGCTTGACACATATGTGCTTCCTGTCTTTTAAATATCAGGAAACACTCTGCTTTTGAATCTGTAATGACTGTTCCTTGAAAAACCATGCAACTGTTGCTGTGAACAGAGTGTCTAAGGAAATGCCATGAAATAGCTGCCAATTCTGTAGCAAGAGAGACTTTTTTTCCTTGCAGAGGAAGAAAGTCTTTCTAAATAAAGTCCTCTTTCTGTTTCTGGGGTTCTGTAGAACTTTGAGAATGCCTTCACTGTTCTGCTGAAATGCCAATAACAAGGTACCACTTTGTTACATATGGGATAGGAGAAGCTTCTAGCTTACTAAATCTTAAAGCACTTACCTAAAAAATTCATAAAGAAAATATTCATGCAGCTAGTGTGTTATGTGTATAGCATTTCATCTTTCGGGGGAAATTTACTAGCAGAATAGCTTCAGCTTTTTATATGTGAGATGTGTGGCAGAACTAATACTATTCACAGGCTTCTTCACTTGAAGTATTGTATTGCTATGTATTTCCCATTTTCTGTATCCAAAATGGATATGGTGGTCAACATAAGCTTGCATCCAGTGGTGGTTTTGTGCTACTGTAAAGCGTCTCCCATCAAATGAAAATTGGTTGCCCTACCTTGTCCATTCCCACCACCACCTACCATGGTCGCTTGAATTCTCCAAAAATTGTATGTATTCAAACTCCAAATGGATAATTTTTATACTATGGGAGCATGTCATATTTTCCTTTGATAGGTCAACGCTCAAACTAAATAAATGAACTATTGGGTTGTATCTTTTCTAAACCTGTGAGATCAAGCTGATGTTGAAGTTCAAGTAGAAAGTCACCTTTATAATGAACAAATTTCTTATCCATACTCGAGTCTTTGAAATTTGAAATTGTTGCACAAATTCTACTGTCGTAAGAAAGGATGCTTTTTATGCTTAATAGTCATGATGGAGAATGTTTCTGAGGATTCTAGGGCTCGAACACTTGTGATTAGAAGTGTTGGTAGAATTGCTTAAACCAGTTAGGCATTTTTCTGCCTGTTGTAGCAATTGTAATGTGCTCTGCTAGGTGCTGTATGGTTTTTAATTATATTTCTATAATTATATATTTAACTTTTAATATTTAATATATTTTTAATTATATTTCATTACTTCTTTCATTTCTTTTACTGTAGTTTATTGTATTTCAGTTTGCATTCCATCGAATTCAAATTGCAAGTCAATAAAATGTAATATAAGAAATAAAAGAAGCAGTCAAATACAATTGTAATCAATGTAAACATGCTGTAGACTACCAGAATGAAGTTTGTGGAGTTCCAGTGGTCCATGGACCACAGTTAGACAATTTGTGCTCTTAACCCTCTTCTCCAATCTTGCAGTACTGGCAAATACTTCTCTAGTAGATGTCATTGTCCCCTGCCCCAACTGAAGTGTGTGTCTTTGTGGAGGGAGAGGTGATAACAGAGATGCACTCCCTGTCTTGGTTATGCTTAGATTTTTCAGTGTGTCCTGTTCATGAATTCATGAAGCAATTGATAACTACAGAGGCATATCTGAATTCTATTTAGAATCAATGTAGAAACAGAGAGCCTACAGTCCCTAATCCTCACGCTCTCCAGTCCAGGTAATCAGGTCATTTTATAGGTAATTGTTTGAATCTTCCATAAGATCTTCCTTCTGTGTAAGGACTGGGTTACCCCTTTTTCTGGACACCCATCCAAGGCAAGCATAAGGCAAACCTCCACTCCAGAGACAGCACCCTTCTCTTAAAGGAAGCGCCTCTCTTTTTGTTAAAAAGTTTTCTGTTTTCATTTTGTTAATGATGATTCTCTTTCTCCTTTTCTAAAGGTTCCAGATGTCATCAGCAGCATAAGACAGGTTTGCAAAGCAGCCCTGAAAGAGGACGCCAAGCCTAACAAAGACAGCGAAGATGCCTTCTACAACTCTCAAAAATTTGAGGTTCTGTACTGTGGCAAAGTGATGGTGGCACACAAAAAGGCGCCTTCCAGCCTGATTGATGACTGCATCGAGAAGTTCAACCTGCACGAGCGTCAGCGCCTGAAACTCTTGAGCGAGCAGAGGAATGCGGAATCGATCACGGATCTTATGGAGTGCGATGGAGAGCTTCCCTCTTCTCCCTTGGACAGTCCGTTTGAGGAGGTGGACGGCCTAAACGGTGGTAGCCCCGGGATGTTCATAGTTGGAAGCCAGCCCAACCTGGCCAGCTTGGCCAGCTCCCGCGTCTCTTTCCCCGAGCGCATTTTGGAGGATTCAGGGTTTGATGAGCAGCAGGAGTTCCGATCCCGCTGCAGCAGTGTTACGGGTGTCATGCAAAGGAAGGTTCATGACAATAGTTTGAAAACACAATCCCGGAGACGTCACGCAAGTGCCCCAAGCCACGTCCAGCCTTCTGACTCCGAAAAGAACAGGACAATGCTGTTTCAGGTATGATCTGTGTGTAATCCAGAATATTCGCAGCCGGGAGTGTGGCGTGAATGGGAATGGATTGAGGTAGACAAATTCACATACTACTGTATCTTTACTTCATATCTTTAAGTTGGAGTCCTTTTGTACAAACATGCTTGGAATCTGATCACTAACAAACAACAATTTATTATTTCTACCCCGCCCATCTGGCGGGGTTTCCCCAGCCACTCTGGGCGGCTTCCAACAGAACACTAAAACACAATAACCTATTAAACATTAAAAGCTTCCCTAAACAGGGCTGCCTTCAGATGTCTTCTAAAAGTCTGGTACTTGTTTTTCTCTTTGACATCTGGTGGGAGGGCGTTCCACAGGGCGGGCGCCACTACCGAGAAGGCCCTCTGCCTGGTTCCCTGTAACTTGGCTTCTTGCAGCGAGGGAACTGCCTGAGGGCCCTCGGCACTGGACCTCAGTGTCTGGGTTGAACAATGGGGGTGAAGATGCTCCTTCAGATATACTGGACCGAGGCCATTTAGGGCTTTAAAGGTCAGCACCAACACTTTGAATTGTGCTCGGAAACACACTGGGACCCAGTGTAGGTCTTACAAGACTGGTGTTATATGGTCTCGGCAGCCGCTTCCAGTCACCAGTCTAGCTGCCGCATTCTGGATTAGTTGTAGTTTCCGGGTCACCTTCAAAGGTAGCCCCACATAGAGCGCATTGCAGTAGTCCAAGCGAGAGATAACTAGAGCATGTACCACTCTGGCGAGACAGTCCGCAGGCAGGTAGGGTCTCAGCCTGCATACCTGATGGAGTTGGTAAACAGCTGCCCTGGACACAGAATTGACCTGCGCCTCCATAGACAGGTGTGAGTCCAGAATGACTCCCAGGCTGCGCACCTGGTTCTTCAGGGGCACAGTTACCCCATTCAGGACCAGGGAGTCCTCCACACCCGCCCGCATCCTGTCCCCCTAAAACAGTACTTCTCTATTGTCAGGATTCAGCCTCAATCAGTTAGCTGCCATCCATCCTCCAACTGCCTCCAGACACTCACACAGGACCTTCACCGCCTTCACTGGTTCTGATTTGAAAGAGAGGTAGAGCTGGGTATCATCTGCATATTGATGGACACCCAGCCCAAACCCCCTGATGATCTTTCTCAGCGGCTGCATGTAGATGTTGAAAAGCATGGGGGAGAGGACTGAACAACACAAGTTAGCAGGGGAAGATCCTTACACAGATCACTTATTAGTCCAAACAGACTCCCAGTCAGCGCATCAGAGTTGGAGAGGTACTGTTGGTCGCAAAGCACCAGCGATAGCTGCTCTAAACTTCTTGCAAGCTGCAGCGTGAACTTGCTCTCAGACAATAAGCTCTCTTATCAAAATTGTATTTGCACCTAAAGTTTCCTCAGTAGAACAAAATGAATCTTAACATCAGTGTTTAGTGGTACAACTGTGGTTTTCAGTCATAAGGCGAACAGAATAAGAGGCTGAAATTGTCCAATAGGTTGAAAGACAAGGCTCCCAACTTCTGATTAGTGGTCAGTGCTATGTTAAGAGTTCTTCTGCTTTCATTTTCTGTTATTTGTCTCCCTGTGCACTTGTTTCCTTTCTGCAGCTGAACAGTGAATATAACAATGGTTTCTCAAGTCAGACATCATGCCAAACTACGGTTTGCTAACCTACTTCAAAACGTATTTTTCTCAGTCTGATTTGCTGGCCAACTATAGTTTATAGCTTGGACATTGCACCAAGCCAATGCAAGATAATGTACAGTGGTGCCTCGCAAGACGAAATTAATCCGTTCCGCGAGAGTCTTCGTCTAGCGGTTTTTTCGTCTTGCGAAGCAAGCCCATTGACGGATTAGCGCTATTAGCGCTATTAGCGGTTTAGCGGCTATTAAAGGCTTAAAGGCTTAGGGATTAGCTGCTAAAAGGCTATTAAAGGCTATTAAAGGCTTAGCAGATTAGATAAAGGGGAAAAGCGAAAAAAATCTCAAGACTCGCAAGGTATTTTCGTCTTGCGAAGCAAGCCCATAGGGGAATTCGTCCTGCGAAGCAACTTCAAAACGGAAAACCCTTTCGTCTAGCGGTTTTTCCGTCTTGCGAGGCATTCGTCTTGCGGGGCACCACTGTACCATGGCAATCGAATACACACACACACACACACACACACACACACACACACACATATATGTGTGTGTGTGTGTGTGTGTGTTGCATTCCCAAAGCAAATCCTGAACAAGCAAATAATTATTTCTTGATGTCCTATCTGCCTTAGAATTTATGCCTAAAATAACCTAAAATAACCCAAAAAAGCAGGAGCCAAGATAAGGCTGTCATGCCAGTTCTAAGCATTGCTACACTGCATTGGGGAGAGTTCAGTCACCCAATAGCTTGCCAGGCGCTCATTGTTGAACACACAGTTAGCTATGTATAGTTTTAATTTCCTAATAATACAACATTATCTTTTACAGTCTGTGGTGATGCCATACCTCTGTATACCTTTCCTGTAGAGGCCTTAAAGGCTGTGCCATCACTACTAAGTTTAGCAGGCAGGGTAAAACTATTCTTTTTCCACAGGACTATTAAATTTTCTGCTGGCCAGGTAGATTACCCTTTAGGTTTTGATGCAGTTGTTGCCAGTATCTGATGCAGGAACTTTGCAGAAGCTAAACAGGTCTGGATCTGTTTAGTGCACGGATGGGAGACTGTCAGGGAACTCGAATGACACATGATGGAACTTAAGGCGGTACCTATAAAACAAACAAAGCTTTGTTTACAGTATAGCCCTGTTCATATTTACTCAGAAACAAATTTCCAATGTGACTTCCTCCCCAGTTTATGTTTCGGGCTGTAGCGTATAATTGTTCTTTTAATGAAACAATATTTTTACATATCTATATCTGCACGTGTACAAACACAGAGATATTAAACAGCCCTGGCAACTATTTTTGGCAGGCAGATCTGTTAAGAGATTTTAAAATTAAAAATTACACTTAACGTTGCAGACTGTAGTCCACAAAAACTTGTGCCATCAGTTCACAATCTTCAGATGCTGCAAGGCTCCTTGTTTTTATTACGAAACAGTGCAGTGCCTTACAGAAGTGAGCCCGGTTGAGTTAAATGGAACTTTCCCCTAACAAGTGTGTATAGGACTATGGCCAACATGAATGCTATTCCAGAATTTGCAGGCATTATAATAATAATAATAATAATAATAATAATAATAATAATAATAATATTTATACCCCGCCCATCTGGCTGGGCTTCCCCAGCCACTCTGGGCGGCTTCCAAAAATATTAAAATAATGTAATACATCAAACATTAAAAGCTTCCCTAAAAAGGGCTGCCTTCAGATGTCTTCTAAAAGTCTGGTAGTTGTTGTTCTCTTTGACATCTGGTGGGAGGGCGTTCCACAGGGAGGGCGCCACTACCGAGAAGGCCCTCTACCTGGTTAAAGGCAATAGTTTATATCAGGGGTTGGCAAAGTTTTTGTGGCTTGGGCCAGTTCACGGTCCCGCAGTGGGCCAGAGTGTGTGTGCGCACGCACACATGCACAAACGCTATTTCTGGCGCTCCTTCCAGCACAGAGGAGGTGTACGCAGCTTTCCATTGGCTACAGGAGCTTCCTGCAGCCAATGGGAAGCCAGCCAGCGTCGCAGAAGGCGGTCCCTGCTCTGTTCTGCGCCAGTTTAGCACGGGAGCCGACCAAGCTGGCAGCGGGGGTCCATGGACCGGTTAAACAACCCCCATGGGCCGCTTGTGGCCCGTGGGCCTTAGGTTGTCGACCCCTGGTTTATATGCTTACTATGAATACCCCATTGATTCTCACTCGTTAGATTGTCGGGAACTTGGGCTTTTATACCTGAAACTCAATTTTACTACAGCTAACGAGGAGACCCAGGACAGGGTTGGGCATTCGCATGCATGAGAGAGAGAGAGAGAGCGGAGACTGTAGTCATCCACGCTGATCCATGCTGCTCAAAGCCATTTCAGCCCTTCCTTTACTGCTTCTGTTCCTCCCCTAGATATTTTTTCATCTTTCCTTACAAATTACTTTCTCCTTCATTTTACTCACAGGCCTCACCCTTTTGTTACCTTATTACTAAGGATTCATCTACAGTGGTCACTTAAAACGTTAAAAATGCGTTATAAACCTGTGACATCAGAGGGCGCTATAGAGCAGTGATCCACTGCCAATGGAAAATTGCATTGAGAGTTATATTACTTTTTTAAAGCATTTTTACAGGTCAGTGTAGATCTAGCCTAGGTCTGGGGCTAGCATTGCTAAAGGTTGCTGGAAATCAGAGAGTTGTCTGTAACATATGCTGTATGCTTTCTCCTGGCCCAGTATGCAGGTTATAAATGGTAAAAAAAAGAAATAATATGTTCAGCAAATGGAGCGAGAGGAGAAAACTTCACAAAATGAAATATAAATTTTGATAGGAATATGTGATGGTTGGTAGGTTTTAACCTGTGAGTCCAGGATTGTAGTTTGTAGCACTGAGGAAGCAATGGCTCTAAATAATGGAGCAGTGTCTCTAAATTACGTTTTTGTTTGGTTGACCACCACCTTAAAAGCATACCAAAGCTAATTATATACTGAAAAAGATACTGTATATGTTCATCTGATAACACAGCCAGCAATTTGATGTACAGTACTGCTGATAAAATTCCTTGTCCTGTTCACACTTACTTTCTGCTTTTGGTGTTTGTTAAATCTGTAAACATGTGAGATTAGCTTCTGGATGACTGGTTAAGATGATCTTCAAGATCCCTTAAATTGAAAATATTTGCAGGCAAGGTTATTACTGTAGCATTTAGAGCAAATTCATCAATGTCTATTCTTAAACTGCATGCTGATGCTCTTCCTGGTTCCTCTTGACTATTTCTCTGTACCTCGTAATTCCCATTATTCATCTTCTGTCACCTAGTTTTATTCTGAATATTTCCAGTTGCCTTGACTTTTTGGAACATTTGAGAGGCTTGTTGTTACGGAGACTTCAAGCCTGTGTCTTCTGCGGGAGCTTGCATGACTGACTACTCATCCCACAGATAAAATGGAATCCTGAATAAAACAAAAGCAATGCACTTGTGAGGCTGAATATATTATATGCCTGTTCCTCTTTCTCTATTCCAATTGTTTTCAGGTGGCTTAGCAGAACTGTCACCCTGTCTTTAATCATTACTGTTGGCATAACATCAGTTTTTGATACGCTTCCCTTTGATAAACAGGCACGAGTAAAAATTTCTGGCGCCTCAAGTCTCAAGGATAGCTATTTGTCCATGATGTTCTGATTGCCTTAACATGGTGTTGTTGTTTTCTCTCTTTTCAAGGTTGGTCGATTTGAAATTAACCTCATCAGTCCAGATACGAAATCGGTTGTGTTTGAGAAGAACTTTAAAGATATCTCCTCATGTTCTCAGGTGGGTATCCAAGCTAGGTTAATAGTGTTTGGATAAAACAAGCTGGGCATCTTCAGAATAAAAACAGGTTTGGAAAATTAAGTGTAAGCAGAAGGACTGAGGTTGGAGGAACTATTTCTTAACATCTGCTTAGTTGTTCCTGCTTTTTACTGTAGAATTAAGGGAATGCCAGAGAATTATCCTGAAGTATCAACAACAGAGACATCTGTTAAGTTTCATGGTGTTTGCTGCTGATTTCTCATTTCCACTCCTCCTTGTGGTAATCACTTTTTCTTAGGTTATCATTTAGAACAACAATTTGAAATTAAAAATAAAATAAAATTGAATGATCAGTGGGTACTTTTAACATGCTTTGCCTACTTATTGAAAGAGAAGTTTCAGTTCATTCTCTTTATTAAGGTAATTGCAGGTGAAAATCTTAACTGTTCTTCACATCTAAAATTAAAAGTATCAAAGAGACAAATGATGAAATAGCGCGCTGGGGTATTTCTTGATCATTCCTCTGCCCCCCCCCATGGGGTCTCGTCGTGACAGCTAATCCTGTTACATGTGCAAAACAGATGGACCTGACCAGTGAATGTGCTTTGTGATAGAGATAGTGAGATACACGCTTCTGTGGGCTTTGTGTATGGAAGGCAGTTTCTGCTTGCAATTCTCAGTTGCTCGATTGCAGCCACTATTTTCCAACAAGACTTGCAGGCAAATACCTTCATCACGTCATCATCTTTCAAGGCGGTTGCTGCGTTCTTAGTTTCCTCATCACCGGTTTTAGAGTTCTCAAGCATGCATTCTCTTGGACTAAAATAGCAACGTCACTTCCAACCAGCTGTTTTCTAGTGACTGACACTTTTGCAGGAAGATTGCATGCATTGAATTTGTACAAGCAGATCACAAATATCAAAACATATCAGTATGGCGTTGCGTGTCAGAAGCAGCTGTGAGAGTTTCCCTGTACTGAGAACGATAAAACAAACTCACCTGTTGTTCTTGGGATGTTGAAAAACCTTCCCAGGGAAGACCTAAGAGGAGAGAACCTAACTGACAGGCACACCAGTTTTAAGTTTTAGGGTTTTTCCCCTTACACACAGTTGTCTCACTTACTGTGTTGTGGTAAGAAGCAACCCTGTGGTTACTTTCACTCCCTTAGTGCTGGTGAAGGAAAGAGAATCGTCTGCTTGCTTTTGATTCAGTACGAATTTCTGCTCCATTTCTGTTGTTGTCTGAAGTCCGTGCACTTCTCTTCTGCAAGGACTTTATGATATAACTGAGGGGATCCACGAGATGATGTTGGACTAGAACTCCCATCTGTTCTGGTCAGCATGACCAGTGATAATGTATGGGGAAAGCTATAGACCAGCAGCACGTGGAGGGTTGTAAACTGCTGGCAAAACCCCATAACCCCCACTGAGTTCAGTAGGACTTAACGCACAGATAGGCATGCATAGGATTGCAGAATGAATACCTTCCTCCTTTAAACTGTTTAGTGTGGTCAGTGCTGTTCTTGGCTTCTTAAAATCACTTTATTTTTCATGTTTTCCATTTTACTGCAAAACTACTTGAAACATAATCATCATTATTTTATTATTTATACCCCACCATCTGGCTGGATTTCTGGGTGGCTTACAGCATATATAAAACATAGTAAAACATCAAACATTAAAAACTTCCTGAAACAGAGCTGCCTTCAGATGTCTTCTAAAAGTTATGTAGTTCTTTATCTCCTTGACATCTGATGGGACGGTGTTCCACAGGGTGGGCACCACTACCAAGAAGGCCTTCTGCCTGGTTTCCTGTAACCTCACTTCTTGCAGTGAGGGAACCACCAGAAGACCCTCGGAGCTGGACCTCAGTGTCCTTGCTGAACAATGGGGGTGGAGACGCTCCTTCAGGTATGCAGGGCCAAGGCCGTTTAGAGCAGGCATCCCCAACCTTTGGCCCTCCAGATGTTTTGGACTACAATTCCCATCATCCCTGACCCCTGGTCCTGTTAGCTAGGGATCATGGGAGTTGTAGGCCAAAACATCTAGAGGGCCAAAGGTTTGGGGTGCCTGGTTTAGAGCTTTAAAGGTCAGTACCAACATTGGACCATAAAGAAGGCTGATCACCGAAGAATTGATGCTTTTGAATTATGGTGCTGGAGGAGACTCTTGAGAGTCCCATGGACTGCAAGAAGATCAAACCTCTCCATTATTAAGGAAATCAGCCCTGAGTACTCATTGGAAGGACAGATCCTGAAGCTGAGGCTCCAATACTTTGGCCACCTCATGAGAAGAGAAGACTCCCTGGAAAAGACCCTGATGTTGGGTAAGATTGAGTGCACAAGGTGAAGGGGACGACAGAGGACGAGATGGTTGGACAGTGTTCTTGAAGCTACCAGCATGAGTTTGACCAAACTGCGGGAGGCAGTGGAAGACAGGAGTGCCTGGTGTGTTCTGGTCCATGGGGTCACGAAGAGTTGGACACGACTAAACGACTAAACAATAACCAACACTTTCAATTGGAAACATACTGGGAGCCAATGTACCAAGACCAGTGTTATGTGGTCTTGGCAGCCGCTCCCAGTCATCAGTCTAGCTGCCACATTCTGGATTAGTTGTAGCTTCTGAGTGACCTTCAATGGTAGCCCCGGGTAGAGCGCCTTGCAGTCTCGGCCGGCGTACCAGATGAGCATACAAATTTTATACACGTACTAGTGTATACAAATAAACACTGCATGTGACCCATTTCAACTCCAGCTGAGGCTGCCGCCATTTTCATTTTGTATGCTGGGGCCTAGAAGTCAGAGCTATGCCAAGTAGAGACTTAACCATATTGGATCTTTTCATGCTCCCCTCAGAAAGAAAAGACACACATTATTTTGGGGTCCTTCTTGACTCACAGGGCTTTGGGGGAATGTCATAAATGTATACTGAGAGGAGGAATAGACAGTGGAAGCAGAAACAAAAGTCAGAAAAATGATCCTGACTCTTAAGTGTAGTAATTCAAAATAGGGATCTGTTTGCTTTGTTTCGTTTTTGGAGATTGTGTTGGAGCAAGGAGCATCACATATTCAGAAATGTTTGTATATATTTATACGCTTTCTTTAAAACCACAAAAGGATCATGGTTTTTATATCTATGTGATTGGGAAGCACTATACAGGAAAAGTAGGTTTAGTTACTCCTGATTTTTTAAAAAAATGCTAGAGTCCTAATGATCAGTAGTTGATGAGCATCAATTAATTTTTTACTGTATGTTTAGCTTTTCTTTTTATTTCTCTCCAGGGCATAAGACACATAGATCACTTTGGTTTTATTTGTCGGGAATCTGCGGAACCTGGGATCAATCAGTATGTTTGCTATGTATTCCAGTGTGCAAGCGAATCTCTGGTAAGTCACTACTGTTTACTGTATTCTTCCGTTCATCTAGTGATATGTATCTCAAGAGCTATAAAACTTCAAAAATGTGGTAAGATATTTGTGTTCCCTTTTTTTGGACAAAGGCCAAATCCATAGCGTGATCTCCTTGTGACTCTTAGTTCTGGACAGTGGGGGGGAAAGCAACACACGCTTCTAGTCTTTGTTTTCCTTCCCACATCCTATGGCAGTAATTTCATGTGCCAGGGCACATTCGGCAGATATTTCATACCCATTTTGAGCAGGGTAATGATCTTCACCAAGATATGGGCAGTGACATCATCACAAGGCCAGGAGGGAAGAGACTCTGGGATTCAAGAGTCTATGATGCTGCAGTAGCAGGGGAAATCCCAGGAAAAAACCCAACAGTACCCACCCAAAGTACTATAATCCTAAAAGATTATAATAGCTGCCTTCCCCACACGACCATAGTTGCAAAAAGGGTATCACTTGTTCCGATGCCTGATTGACATTACTTCCTACATGTCTCACAAATAACTTAATACACTAGTTTATGCATGCACAACTGCCTTCGGAGCTTCTATATCGGCAGGACAGAATTTTATTCTGTAATTTCAGGTGGTGAGAATGGCGCCAATTGTAACTAAAAGCTGTTTTGACAGAAGAGTCAAAACAGAAATCTGTGTTTAGGCTCCTGTGCCATTTAAGGCTTCGAACAGTTAGGATCTAAATGATAAAGATGATGTGATCTTTGGAAAGAGAAAATTGCACAGCCACCAAACCCTCTGCTAAGCAACAGTCCATAGACGAGGGCCTCACTTTCCTTGCATGGCAAATATTCTTCACAAGAAAGCTGTGGAACTGTGTCCAAATGCAAAAAAGAAGTTCAAAGCAAACTAGAAGCTACTGTAAAAAGCGAATCTTGTTCCAGATTTTTCCAGACTCGAGGTCTGGCTTTCTTAAACGGCACAACATAAAATATAGGAAGGGAAAGGAGATACTGAAAAGCTTCTTTGCAGGGGATGAAAATGGATTTGAATCTCTATACCACTTGAGGGGAAGCCTTGTAACCTCTGACCCTTTTCCTGACAGAGAATGCAAAGTTTGCCCCCCTCTAACGTGGGAGAGTGTGGGAATTTTGCCTGCCTCTATTTGCGATTGTGTCGGGGGGGGGGGGAGCACGGCCCAGACTGCCGTCTGGAAACAATAAAAGCTGGCGAGATGTTCAGTTGGTTACTAATAAGTTGGTAGCTTGTCTTCAGCTCCTTTTAGTCCCACTACATAAAGGCCCAGTTCTCTAAATTAAATTCTATCCAGGAGTAGGATTTAATAACTTCATTATACTTATTGGAAAAGTTAAGTTTCCGATCCCTATTATCAAACAATTCAGCTGTGTTAAAAAACAAAACAAAACACAAGAAAAACGGCACTTGTTTTTTTAAAAAAAACCAACAGCAAGCCAAATGTGAAACAGAGCCTGCAAAATCAGTCTAATTTTAACAACCCATTTAAATGAAAATAGGACACAGGACACTGGCAGATTCTTCCACAGACGCTGTAGTGAAATGAAAGGGTTCTTAGCCATTGTGTAACTCCTGTTCATTTCTGTAGGAGCATCACCTCAGTTTGCTGTGCTTTTTTATTTCTAATGGTAACTCAGTGGTTTGCTAGCTAGATTGAAAATCTAGTGTCTGGTTTTAAATATGTATGTATGTATGTATGTATGTATGTATTTTTATGTAACTGGTATTAAAATGCACGCATAGGATTCATTGGATTTAATCCTCCCTTTTCAGGTGGATGAAGTAATGCTCACTCTCAAACAAGCGTTCACCACGGCTGCAGCCCTCCAGAGTGCCAAGACTCAGATTAAGCTGTGCGAGGCCTGCCCAATGCACTCGCTGCACAAGCTCTGCGAAAGGATTGAAGGTAGTTGTGAGCCCTTGCTTGCTTTCTGAATCTGGAGCATTGTGCTTTGCACACAAAAGTGCCACGGGGCTTTGTTTTGCAGTAAGTCAAGCTTGTTTGCTTAGGGTGCCATGCTAAGTCTTCCAGTGTCCATATACACCTGATTAAGGCTGTAATTTACGTTAGATTGCCTTGCGTATACCATAACTGTGAGGGAATATAACTTAACTACCCGGACTCTGAGATCATCATCTGAGGCCCTTCTTCGTGTGCCTCCTCCTCAAGAGGTCCAGAGGGTGGCAACACGAGAACGGGCCTTCTCTGCAGTGGCTCCCCATCTGTGGAGTGCTCTCCCCAGGGAAGTTTGCCTGGCGCCTTCATTACACACCTTTAGGCGCCAGGCACAAACCTTCCTTTTTAACCAGGCTTTGGATGATCCGATTTACATCCTATGCCCTTTTAAAATGTGTTTTTTTGGGGGGGGGGCTCTTGAGTTGTTGTTTTTATTTTTATTATGTATTTTGTGGTTTTATGTCTAGATTTTATTCTGTGAACCACCCTGAGACCCCCGGGTATAGGGTGTTATATAAATTCAACAACAACAACAACAACTGCTTCTTGTGGATGTTTGGTTCTGTATCAAGAAGGCCCGCCCACCTATTATAGGCCCCCTTCCTGTTATAAGGTTATAGGATTCCTGTCACAGCCATAAATAGGGCATGTGCCAGATTGTCGCCTTTTAAAGGAAAGGAAAGGAAGAGGGGCTACCTTGAACTATTTGAACCCTATCCAGAAGAAGAGCTCTGCAAAATCAGACCAAGGTCTAGCTAATCCGTTCAGTTAACTGTGTTTCCAGTGGTGGCTAGAGAGGTTATTTTGCAAAACCTACACAACAGTTCATGAAGGCAACAGCTTGTTCCCTACAGACCAGTGGTGCCTCAGAAGTCAAACGGAATCCGTTCTGGAAGTCCGTTCAACTTCCAAAACGTTTGGAAACCAAGGCATGGCTTCCAACTGGAATGTTCGAAACCAGAACACTCACTTCCGGGTTTGTGGCATTTGGGATCCAAAACATTAGACTCGCAAGGCATTCGGGATCCAAGGTACAACTGTATTTGGTATTCTGAAATATATGGAGGGGTCCATTTGGTTCCTACCCTGGCTGGTCACTCCACCTGAACAGTGCTATTTTCCTATATATTTGTTTGATGTCTATAAAGGCTCATCCATACTTCCTTTTGTGCTGTGTTCCTAGGCACGGGTCTAGTATTGTTGTTTTTTGTCTTTGTGCTTTCACCAGGAAAACCCGCATCTTAGCAATGAGAGAAGAAACACCCTGGTGCACCCATAGCAGTAAAACCGGGCACCTTCCTCAGCCCCACCTGCAACAAAACCTGTCTCTCCCCTATCGGTCTCTACAGTGCTGTAACTCCAATGGTTTGACCACCCCCAAAGGCGCACTTATATATGGTCTCGTGAACAGGTGGATGCCAGCATACATACCACCGAATCAAGGCAAATGGCAGTCAGTGGGAAACACGATTGCCATTTGCTCTGATTCAGCAGCGAAACACGGGTTTTCCCGGGGGAAGCACAACATGGACCCTGTGCCTGGAAAGTGCAGAGCAAAAGGAAGTCTAAATGAGCCTTAACTCATCCTGGGCAACAATTTCCATCAAAAGGATGACTCACGCATTTTAAGAACGCGATATAGAAACCTTATTCAAAATGGAGGCCGTTGGAAGCTAGTCACTGTACTGACAGCATGACAAGGCTACCCACATGGTACTCCCCCCTCCCCCAGCCCAAAATAAAGCTTACTTTCTTCTATGCTGGCATGTGTTTATAGCAGAAGTACATATTTAGTTGTCGGCTCCCTCTGGTGGGCAGAGAAGTGTGCCAAGTCTGCGCAAGTGCAGCCCGTGACTTAAGCTGATGCTTTCTTCAAGAAAAGAAAGAGCTTTGTCTGGGGCGGGGAGCGGGTTGGCAGGTTCTGGAAGAGTGTATGTAGGACCTATAATCACCTCTCTCGAGAATGACTGACTGATTGAACGCTCAAACTGAAATCCTGCGGGACGCCTGGGTTTTGAAAGGGGTACGTCCTTGGCCTTAAGAGAGAAGAGGGGGGAAAACCCCACGGCTGAGTTACGATTCTGCCCTTGAGCAAGAAGAACGCACGCAAAACAACAACAACTTTGCATTGATTTAGCTACGCCAACAGCTTAAAGAAGATTTCTGTCACATGTGGTGGGTGGGTATTTATTTATTAAAAAAAAGAACTGCTATATCTTCTCTTGCATCTGAAAAGGAGGGCCCCCACAAGATCTTTAAGTCCAGTGCCCAAAACCACATAATCACATCACTGGTGGTAGTTCTCTTTACCCGCTTGCTTGTTTGAGACCCCCCCTTTCCCCTTCCATAAATTAAGAATGTAATAAGACTGAATTTGTAAAAGTTGTGGAGCGGAAACTTACAAACTGGTTTGAATTTTGTTTTTAGCATTAAATCTGGGTTTTCTTGACATTGTCATGACTTAATATACTGCACATTATTCAGTGTTAATGTTCTACAACAAGTATGGTGAGATGGTTTGTCACATAAATATAACTTACCTCATCAATGTCTGCCTGCCTCTCTGTTGTTTTTTAAGGTCTTTATCCACCAAGAGCTAAACTTGTGATTCAGAAACATCTGTCCTCTCTCAGTGACAATGAGCAAGCTGACATCTTTGAGCGTGTGCAGGTAATAAACCGAACCGGTTGGCATTCATTCTCTGGAACAGGACTACAGGATCAAGTTGTTAGCTCAGAGACACCAAAAATCAAAAGCACATTCACAAATGTATACTCAGAAGACTATTGTTAAACTGCTGTAAGCTGCCCAGAATGAGTGGGAAAACCCAGCCAGATGGGCGGGATATAATTATTATTATTATTATTATTATTATTATTATTATTTAATGAAATGAATTTATTTTGATACTTTATTTGTAGAAGAATGAATTGCCTATTGTTTTATAAAAATCAAGTTGAACCAGAATTGCAGGTATCAAATTTCCAAAAATATATTGCTTATTTCCCACCTAACAGAAAATGAAGCCCGTTACTGACCAGGAAGACAATGAGCTTGTGATCTTACACTTGCGACAACTGTGCGAAGCTAAACAAAAGGCTCACGTGCATATTGGAGAGGCCCCAATGGTAAGGCTCTTTATCCTGTTTTGTCGTTTAGTGATGGCGGAAGACATCTTAGAATATGAACTCAAGTGCTTCTGTTGGATGGTTTCCCATCACCATCTTAATACCTTCTCTGAGGCTGCAGCATACATCTGAGCATACATTTAGCTTTGTCCCAGTGAAATCCCTCTGAGTTAATGTATGGTCAGTGGTTTCCAAAGGGCAATTATGTGTTGTGCCAATCAGTTTCATTGGGTGACCCTAAGCTCTAGCCTTGTGAGAGAGGTGGGAAACTCTAGCCTTGGGGTGGGAGTTGCAAGTTGATTTCGTTTTCAGAATAAGGAAGACGGTGAATGATAAGTACCTTAGTGTAGAAATTATTGAGAGACCATCTTGAGCATTACAAGAATAGCTTCCTTTAATGATAAACCGCCTCTTGATGGAAATTTTGCTAAGGCAGCAGTTAAGTTAAAAACTACTATGAAACAAAACTTGGCTATAAAACCCAGCAAAAGTTAACTATGCCAGAGCAGTTAAACCAGGCTTCCTCAACCTTGGTCCTCTAGATGTTTTGAGACTACAGTTCCCATCATCCCTGACCACTGGTCCTGCTAGCTAGAGATCATGGGAGTTGTAGGCCAAAAACATCTGGAGGGCCGGGGTTGAGGAAGTCTAAGTTAAACTAAAGCCCTATTCAGTATTCTTTGCTCCTGTGTTGACAAGTCCCACCTACAACTTCCCAAAAAAATGTTTTTAATGTGAACGCCTGTAGCAAGGGAGCATGAGCCTTCATATTCATGCATGGAGACTTCCTGGTATCTGAAACCCTGGCTTTGCTTTTAGCAAATGAATGGCCAATGGGACCTTTTGATTTGCTTTGGGGTTGCAGTACACAAAAAAGGGGTCACTACTCCCCTGTGGCCCAGCCACAATCCAAATAGTTTACAGCAACAACATCAAGAAGTCAGTGACGAATTTTGCACCTCTGGTGTTGCAACTAGTTTGACCTGGTTTCCTTGAAGGTAAAGGGACCCCTGATCATTAGGTCCAGTCGTGGACGACTCTGGGGTTGCGGCGCTCATCTCGCTTTACTGGCCGAGGGAGCTGGCGTACAGCTTCCGGGTCATGTGGCCAGCATGACTAAGCCGCTTCTGGCGAAACAGAGCAGTGCGCGGAAACGCCATTTACCTTCCCGCCGGAGCAGTACCTATTTATCTACTTGCACTGGCGTGCTTTCGAACTGCTAGGTTGGCAGGAGCAGGGACCGAGCAACGGGAGCTCACCCCGTCGCGGGGATTCAAACCGCCAACCTTCCGATCGGCAAGCCCTAGGCTCAGTGGTTTAGACCACAGCGCCACCCGCGTCCCTACCCGCGTTTCCTTACGTTGCACTAAAAGCCAAAGTGTAGCATGTAGAAAAACTTAATGCAACGACCCTCTGCAAATTTTAAAAGGCAACATGAGATAAGTGCACTTTTTTCTGTTTTGCACTTTGTATATCTGTCGGTCAGTTTGACAGGGGTACATTTGGGTTGTCTTCTGTAGGCAACATCAGTGACAAAGCTTGCCTTTTTGTTTCAGCAGAATGCCTCCAACACGACAGTTCCAGAGAACGCAGCTAGTGGTGGCAGATTCAAACTTGACATTCTGAAAAACAAGGCCAAGAAATCTTTGACCAGCTCTCTGGAAAACATTTTCTCAAGGGTAAGTTGCTCAGGAGCGAGGACTCCTGGGATGTAATTGTCCATAAGACCATTGCAACCTTTTAGATATTTGATTAGATTCTTCCTTGACAAATTCTACCTATTAGGGCCTATTCTATTTTGCACCCCTCTCTTGAAAACTGAAATTTGTGTTGAATTGTACAGATCACCAATAATTCATTAAGTTGTCTTTGCAACAACTACTACAGAAATAAGAATTAATTTCAGTATGGCAAATGGTGGTCTGTTGCGAGTGCTGGTATTTTGCCTGTTGTGAATGTATTGTGCCCTACAGGAATGTGCTTCTTTCTTTCTTTCTTTCTTTCTTTCTTTCTTTCTTTCTTTCTTTATATCACAAAATTTATACATTACTTGGTAGTTGTTGTTTTTTTAAAGTGTTTTACGAAAAGATAAAACCAATAAACCAGATTTTTTTTTTTTTACTGTACATTAAAACTTGCAAGAAGTTTAAACACTAAAACAGATTACAATTCACACCAGCTTTTCTAAGCATCTGGATAGACTTGACTAAACTTCCAAGTTATAAAAAGGTTGATAAAATAATTGGCTTGGCACAAGTTAATACCAATTAAAACTTGGTTAAAATCATGTGATCTGCAGAGCTCTGGAGCCAACTTTCTGAGCTGACGCCATCTTAACTAGAGATTCGACTTGACTAAACAAGAATGTTTTTAGTGGATTCAGAAAAGAGTTCAGTGAAGGCGCCTGCTTGAAATCAATAGGCAGGGAGTTCCAAAGTGTAGGATTGGGTTCTAACAAATGTGGAATGGGTGTTATGGGGCACTTGTAGCAGTGCTAATTCTGCCAGTCGAAGCGATCGAGTAGGGCACATAAGGGGTAAGGCAATCTCATAGGTACACTGGTCCAAAGTTGTTAATGGCTTTAAATGCTAACTTTAAATACTAACTGGGCCTTGAACATGGGTATTCTATGCAAAGGGACGCAGGTGGCGCTGTGGGTTAAACCACAGAGCCTAGGGCTTGCCGATCGGAAGGTCGTCAGTTTGAATCCCTGCGACGGGGTGAGTGCCCATTGTTCGGTCCCAGCTCCTGCCAACCTAGCAGTTCAAAAGCACGTCAAGTGCAAGTAGATAAATAGGTACCACTCCGGCGGGAAGGTAAAGGGCGTTTCGCCAGAAGCAGCTTAGTCATGCTGGCCATATGACCCGGAAAAACTGTTTGCGGGCAAACGCCAGCTCCCTTGGCCTATAGAGCGAGAGGAGCACACAACCCCAGAGTCGTCCGCGACTGGACCTAACAGTTAGGGGTACCTTTACCTTTACCTTTATTCTATGCAAACAAGGGCTCACTCCTGTCAGCAGTCAGCACCATGCTCTAACTAATTGAGTTATACAGAGGCAGCACTCTGGTTTAACTACATCTTCTGGATCAAGCACAAGGAAGTCCCTCATAGAGCACATATTGAGTGTGTCATATAATATCTGCATGTTTTGATATTATTATCAAATAGGTATTAATAATTTTTAGGAGGTTTAGTGGCATAAATTGTATAATGCATGGCTTGAAGCTGCATATTTTAACATGAGTAGCTTGAACGGTGAATCACTTTGTATGTAGGTCAGATTTGAAAGTTAAAATTAACTCAGCACAGTGCCTTCTGGAATTCCGTTGCTTCCGAATGTGGTTGCTGATGGGTCACATAGTCTTAGAGGCTTGCATCCAGTTTCCCTCTCTTGCTTACTTAATTAGGCATCATGGGAGAAGATAGCATGGCATCGAAAGCAACAAATGTGAGGAAAACCTCAAGAGCAGAAATTGGGGGTGCATTTTGATTGGCGAAGGACAATCTCACTCAAACTAGAACGTTTGATTGATTGATGGCAAGCATATACGTTGCAGTTCAGTAAATATAACATGGAATCCAAACCGAAAGGCAAGGTTGACCCTGAATTATAGAATATTACTCCTAAACTGGTATCTTCCCCAATATAATATTGGAAACTTTGTCTGCCCAGGATGCTAGATTTGTTGTTTAATAAGCAATATATGGCCCTGGGCAGCAACTAGGTTTGCAGAAGTGCCATTTGTGAAGAGATTAAAAGTGGTAGAAGATGAACAACAGGCAAAGCCTACCATGCAACGAGACACCCAAAATGTATTTAGTTTCAAAAATAAACAAAAGTTGAGGCTTCCACAGTTGCAAGCTCTTATCTCAAGTGCTGAGATATGAGAGGGAAGGGGTTGTCTGGCAAAAATTGTTTCCAGTTGACTGAATAAATACAACCTATTAAACTCCAGGTTTCATAAGTATAGCATATTTCTCTTGTCTTCAAAGCATGCCATACTCTGTTTAGGGTAGCTTATGAACAGTCAGCACATTTTTTTGAACATTGAAAGGAAATCTTGATGCTTTCCTGAAGCAAAATCCTGAGCCTCTTAAGAATTTCATTTATATCTCCTGCTGTTTTGCTGCCAGATAAATATTTGCTTCCCTTAACAAGAGTTCTGTTCAACAGGCCTTAGTAGGTATAGCACCAATGCTCAGTTACCTTGCAAGGTTAATGACAAATGGAGTTGTCGTTAAGGGCCACTTCTGATATGTCTATCAATCAAACTCAATTTTGGGATGAAAGCACAATGGCCTCCAAGTTCGCACACATGGCTGTGGAGGGTGGGATTTGCATGTGTCCCAGATGTTCCTACCATTCCTACCCAGATGTTCCTGGCTGCCTACTGAAGTTCACGCAGCCCTCTGTACTAAGCCCCATGGCTTGGATCCTGTGCTTCACTCCCATTCACAGAAGGGCTTTTGAGGCAACAGGATCCCGCTGGCAAAAAGAGAGAAGGCAGTTTCATTAATTACTCTTCCTGCACCATCTATGCTGTTCTGGGTGTAGTGTTAGAAACTCAGATCTATTAACTAGGCACCAAATAATAATAATAATAATAATAATAATAATAATAATATACACACACACACACACACACACACACACACACATACCCCGCCCATCTGGCTAGGTTTCCCCAGCCACTCTGGGCAGCTTCCAACAAATATTAAAATACAATGGTCTGTTAAACATTAAAAGCTTCCCTAAACAGGGCCGCCTTCAGATGTCTTCTAAAAGTCTGGTAGTTGTTGTTCTCTTTGACATCTGGTGGGAGGGCATTCCACAGGGAGGGCGCCACTACCGAGAAGGCCCTCTGCCTGGTTCCCTGTAGCTTTGCTTCTCGCAATGAGGGAACCGCCAGAAGGCCCTCGGCGCTGGACCTCAGCGTCCGGGCAGAATGATGGGGGTGGAGACGCTCCTTCAGGTATACTGGGCCGAGGCCGTTGAGGGCTTTAAAGGTCAACACCAGCACTTTGAATTGTGCTCGGAAACGTACTGGGAGCCAATGTAGCTCTTTCAAGATCGGTGTTATGTGGTCCCGGCAGCCACTCCCAGTCACCAGTCTAGCTGCCGCATTCTGGATTAATTGCAGTTTCCGGGTCACCTTCAAAGGTAGCCCCACATAGAGCACATTGCAGTAGTCCAAGTGAGAGATAACTAGAGCATGTACCACGCTGGCGAGGCAGTCAACGGGCACGTTGTGTCTCAGTTTCCGTACCAGATGGAGCTGATAAACAGCTGCCCTGGGCACAAAACTGACCTGTGCCTCCATGGACAGCTGTGAGTCCAAAATGACTCCCAGGCTGCACCCCTGGTCCTTCATGGGCACAGTTACCCCATTCAGGACCAGGGAGTCCTCCACACCTGCTCCTTAAGCCAGGGTTGCAGTCACCAAAATGGAATGTCTACTTGCCATTTGGGGGCAAAGCGGCTCTGAAGTCTTAGCTTTCAAATGATGGGCTTGACTATGATTAATTCTCATTTAAACATCTGGCAAGAGCAGATGGGTTCTGAGAACTTGGGTTCTGAGAACTTAAAGAAGAAAAGTCACTTGATCCAGGGACAGTCTATATATATTCTCCAGCCTCTTTTTCTTAACATTTTGGTTCCTGAGATTCATTCCGATTGTACAGATAAAATATAACTGATAGAATTCTATAAGATGGGGTATTTGTGCGTGAAAACAGTCCAGATCCAATGATCCCCAGGTGGTGGAGATACCGGGCACAATCCTGGTGCAAGTGGTTAAAAGCCAGGTGCAAAATGTGCCTGGTGCCTAGCTAATTTTGAACACTGTCTGGATGGCTCCCTGACCCTGTGACATAGAATTTCAGGGGTTTAGTGACAGGAAAGGGGGAGTCAATGAAAATTGCCTTCCTATCTGTTCTCCAGCGGGAGAATCCCATGAACAGATTTCTGCTTATGGTATCAGAGGATTCGAGACTGTATCCTTTTTTGACACATGAATGCGCTAGAGCGCATGTAAGTTGCACAGGATTTCAGTTTTCAAGTAAGTGTGCCAATTTGGGGTTGGTCACAGCACGTTCCAACTTGGATTTGTTTATCAAGGATATTTCTTCAGCATGGAATTAAATGGCTTGCCTTTCAGCACTTGACAGCTATATTGGTACAGATAGTGCTAGAAGCACATTCAAGCACCACAGCACATTCAAGCACTCTGGCCTATTCTTGCCAGCTTCTCCAAGGGAACTACAAAATGGGAAAGTTCCCAATTTCAGAGGGGTCCACAGGCTGCTTCCGGCCTCTGCAGGCTGTCGCTGAGCCGTTAACGCTCCAGGCGAAATCCTTTTGTGAATTGTTTTCCTGGCTTTGTTCCCTTGTAGCCGAAAGTAAGCTGCTGTTTGTGAATTGCAGAGAGTGGGGAATGGGATCTTAACAGGTGGAATGCTTTATTGTTATTCCGTAGGGAGCTAACCGAATGCGCGGCCGGTTGGGGAGCATGGACAGCTTTGAAAGGTGCAACAACCTCACTTCTGACAAAGTAAGTAACAGGCTTTGCATGCGTAGGGGGTGGGGAATAAAGTGCAAAATTATGCTGGATATAGGAGCTTATTCAGATTTTCCTTTAAAAAAAAAAACTTGTGAGAAGCTCACTTTCTTATAGAATTGCTGATTATGGTTTGCTGACTATTTACTTTTACAGGCAAAACAAAACGACAAGTAGCCTTGAAAACTGCCCCTTACCTTGTAAGCTTATGGCTGGTTAGAGTCACTGCCTGGCAACCCAGCAGGGAAGAAGGTCTAAATTGGAAGAGTTAGACATTTGTGGTAACTCGATGGTTTGGGGGGAAAACAAGGAGCAGTGATGCAGGGCCGATATTTTATTTCTTGGTGGAAAACATTCCGTTTCATAAATTCATTAGTCAAAAACAATGGGTGCCAACTGCAAATACATATTAGGAAAGGCTGAGTTTTTAAGCTTTGTTTAGTAAACACAAGTAAAACAGAAGTCTGAATCGGGTCATTCTCTAGGGCACAGAGGTGGGGAACTGGCCCACCTTCCATGGGGCAAAAATATTTGGGCTTGAAATGCAAGGCCAGTGGTGGGGGTGGCCTGGAGAGAGGGCTCCATTTGGCCCCTGGGCCTCAGGTTCCACACCACTAGTGTAAGAGGATCTTTAGTTAGCTGAGTTGGTTAGAGCGTGGTGCTGACAACGCCACGGTTGTGGGTTCAAGCCCCATATGGGCTGGCTGCATATTCCTGTGTTGCTGGGTGTTGGATTAGATGACTCTCAAGATCCTTTCCATCGATTCTAAAATCCTACTTGCTTTTATGAGTGTAAACAGAATAACTCATTGCCAATTGGAATGAAACCTACTTAGGGGAAGTAAGCATGTAAAGCAGAATAAAACCCTGAAAGCCCTTGTTTATCCCAGTTGATACATGTCTCCTAAACAATGACATTTTAAATCTGTCATCCTTTGCCGTTAGCCTGCCTGTGCAGCGTGTGTAAACAGCTCGTCATACACTTTCCATTTATTTCCTCTTTTACATAGCAATTGCACATACACACACACATTATTATTATTATTTCTCCTCTGAGAGATGTGGAAACAGAGCGGTTCTTTTGACTTCTAATTTTCCTGTTGCTCTTAATGCAGCTTTTTATTAGCAGATCCCTCTTCCAGGAAAGAGCTCTGACAGGACAGGAAATCTGTACATGATAGGCCGAGAAAAGAAGCCAGTTTTGATTGGAACCTGGGCTTGAAAATGTAGTAGCAGTGCCAGTAAAGTATTTGGATTCTTTTTGCGGTATTGTTCGCGAGAGGTCATGGCAATTCCAGGGGCAAAGGATGTTTGGCATAGTTTCTAATTAGCATACAATGGGTTTGCTTTCGTTTTTTTTCCGCCCAGGAGGAGGAGGCTCAGTTTCATCTCCTCTCTTGTTAACTTGCAGGGATTACTCTGACATTCACTGTGTAGTTATAGGGTGTAAAAGGGGCGACCTCATTCCTGACTGTGGTTGACTTCTTCCAGGAATGCTCTTCTGGGGAATCTCCTTCCACGACGCCCCCGGCTTCTCCCATATCCTCGGCTTGGCAGCCATTCCCCGAAGAGGATTCCGATTCTCCCCAGTTCAGGAGACGAGCTCATACCTTTAGCCATCCACCGTCCAGCGCCAAAAAGAGGATTACTTTCCAAGATGGAAGGTCTCAAAGTGTCAAGTCTCCTCTCCTGAGACAGAACTCTGTGGAGCATAGCAGGTGAGTTTTGAGCCAAGCAACTGCATAGGAATCTTGTAGGCTTGTCTGGATATCTTTTATTTCCCCATTATTATTTTTTGATGGAACAAGGGTAAGAATCTTGGAATAGTTGCCTGGGTTTTTCATTCTATCTCAGGCAACCGGAGAGTAACAGTTTACAGCATATATCTTCAGTATATTTTACTCAACAGTAAGTTCCAGTTAGTTTAGTGAGACTTCTTCCTGTGTAGGGCTTTGCATCCTACAAATAGAGATTGAGTTGTTGTTGTTGTTGTTTTGTTGTTGTTGTTAATAAAAACACTTGCATTCGACGGCTGTAAAATATCTGAAGCAGTTAGATGCTTCTAATGATGATGGTCGACATTTTATAAATCAGAAAGCAGCTATAGCCAGCCAATACAAATATGGGTATATAAAGAGCTGCTCTTTGGACGTGGCTCACTCTTCTGCGCAAACCTCTTGAAATGAACGGAAGATGCACAAAAGCGATTGGACCCACTGATTCCTGGACTTTATTTATGTAAATCTTTAAGGCCTTTAATGCTTGCTATAAAGTAAAGTAACAGTTTTGTTTAAAAGAAGGTTTGCCTTGTTTTTTTCTAGAGTGGTTCAAGTCTTGTGCTTTGTTGCAGTATAGATACCTTTCTCTTTCCACCATTCAGGGATTTACAATACAATGGTTTTATTTCAGACTAACATTTTGAGGGTGCTTTTCTATCCCAAAATAACTCTCAAAGCAGCGTAGAAAAAATATACTTTTAATTATCTTGGGGAAAAATATTATTATGTAAGAAGAAGCAAACACTGAACAATGAGGATTTTAAGCAATGCAAAAGCAAAATCAGCAACAGAACTGTTCTGGCACCTCTCAGCCAGGAGAGGGGAGCAGAGACATAGCTCACCTAATCTCAAAAGGACATAGAATAAGTGTAGTCTTTTGATACTGGAGGAAGAGGAATTCCCAACAACTGCACTTCTAAAAATGGTGGGACAAAGGGAGGATAATGTGGGAGCAGGTGGTTCTTTAACTTCATTCCCAACCTGTTTAGGGAGTTTTAATTTATTACCAGCACTTTTGGATCAGGCTTCAAAACAAGCTGGAAGTATCAAATAATTTCTGAGTGACACATTTGCAAAAAAGGCGCCCCCTTTCATTCTCTCTGGCCGCTGCCTTCTTCAGTGGCTGCAGCTTTTGAGCAGTCAACACACAGTGCATTGCTGCCGTTGAACATGGATGTGGCCAAGGCATGTAAGACAACAGCCAAAGCTTCAGTACACTTTGACTAGCAGGCAGTGTCGCCATCCAGATACTGAACAATTCCTATGCAACAGCTGCAGTGTTTAAGATGTGGCCCAGTACTTGGAAGTAAGTTTCATTGAACATGTAAAGGATTGCACCTTAAGTGTCCTTAAATGCCTTCAAAACTAGAAACACAATAAGTTCAGTTAATTTAGGTGGTTTTGTTTGTAATCCTAAGCAAAACTTCCCCTTGAAACTGCAGAACACCTTACCTTCATAGAACAATGTGCAGAGGTGAATTGCGGTCTTCATGAGCCTGCATTGCAGACAGTGGCTATGCAATTTGAAGGAATCACAATACACTATGTTCTGACACCCACTCTGCCAGGCCTGCTGAGGAGATACATGGTGGTGCCGTTTTAACTCTTAGGAGGGCAGGATGAAGGCTTGGATTCCAAATACTCCCATAACCCCCCCTGAACCGTGTAGCCTTAATACCAAGTCACTTTTTAAATTAATTGAGATGAGAAGATTCATGCAAGGAATGAGCTGGGTTCAGGACACCTCTAGCTGAGATTTCCCCCCTAACATCTAGGGTAGAGAAAGCAAGCATTTTCCAAGTGTTTAATGTACCAAGCCTTTTTGTACTGTATTTCTCTGTTGAAATGACTGAGACGGCCATTTATTCATTTATTTCTAATTGTACAGTCAGCCCCACAGCCAGACCAGTTGTAACAGCAGCCCTTGCGGTTGAGATCCTTTCTTATAGAGATAGGTAAACCATTTTTCCCAGTTAGTGCTAATTAACACCATCGCCAAGTTGAGCTTCCCTTCATCCAGTGTTTGTGACCGGATCCACAATGGATTGCAGTGTGATTGAAGCCAGTCAAGTTGTTTCATCCCTAAAAGACTGGTATCAATCTTGGCCCGTTAAGCAGGTTGCCGCAGCTCTGTGTAGTAGCCACTTTCCAAACTTTCCAATGAATTGTCCCTAGTAGTAAGTCTGCTTGCCAAGAGGAGTATCTGTTGCTAATCCTCCCTTCTGCGTCCATGGTTAGTTGACACCTCTCAACACCCTCTTCTGGCAGTTTGTAGCTTGTCAGCAAAGTGACCTTGTCTTTCGCTGATTTGGTGTTAGGTTGCTCCCCCCACCCCCCACCCTCAGACCCTAATCATTACGATGCTGCAGTGAAACAGGAAACTTGAACAATAATTGTGTTAGACTTGCTGACAACATTTCTTTGCCCATTGCTGAAGAGCTGTTGTCTTTGCTTGCTCAGCAAGTTTGCTAGTCAAAACAGCAAGTCTTCAACACTTTGATCATAAGTTGCTTTTGTGCATGTGTGTAGACTCAAAAACGGTCGCCCCAGAAATATTTGATGGCGGAGGCTTGTAATGATTCACCTTCTAACAGCCTGAAATAATTCTGACGATACCTAAGTTTTTCCACCAACTCTAGAACACATTCATTTTGATCGACTCCATCATTTTGGAATCTATCACTGTAAAATAACTGCATGCTTTGTATCTCTCTACCCCCCCCCCCCCGCCCCCGGTAGCATCTTTCTGCCCACTCCAAATAATATTCTGGTGAAATGTTGTTTTTGTTGTAAGCCTGTACCTGAAAACAAGGTGGCAGTGTAGCACTTTGCAGGTACATAGCAGAAGGGGAAATCGCAAGTCAATGTGAGTTGATAGAAGCCTGATCATAAGTAAACTAGTAACTGAATCTATTACCGTATTGGCCCAAATATAAGCTACACCCGAATATAAGCCACACCTTTAAAATTCGGGGGGGGGGGAGAGAGAAATAAAAGACAATACCCGAATATAAGCTGCTCCCTTAAAATTCTGCAGACACTCACACCTGTAAATAACAAATGTAGAAGAAAATCTGTTGCACTGTAAATGCAAATAAAAAATCAATACTGCACTGTAAAATATGGGGAAAGCGACGAATGACATTAGAATTAATTGCACAACAGTCTCAAACTTGCAGATCAGCAATAAAACTTTTTTTTTGTTCCGTTTTCCCATATGTCTGTTTCAGCAGCAATATGGTAAAAGCCGGTTTTTGTAAGGTTGTGAATTTTAAGCCGCACTTTAACTTTTCACAGTCGGAATTTGGGGATGGGGGGTGGGAGTTTGGTTTATATTCAGGCCAATACGGTAAGTTTGAATAAGAGAAAATAAAAAACGGGCAGTTGTCCTGGGGACATAGGGAGCCCCTCTATGCTGCCTTACTTTGAAGATGCTGATTGTTAGACCTGTGACCTTTTGCATGCAAGGCAGGCGACCTCAAACTGAGCAACTTTCCCTTTCCTGTTTTGTGTTAATAGTTGAGATGCTGTAGGCTGAAGTACTGAATAAGCAGTTACCACCACAAATGGCAGACGTGCATCCAGCATCTCCCATATGCCCCCTTGTAACATGTAGCAGAACTTCCTTCTTGTCCGAATGTCAGGCAATGGGTAAATTCTAGGCAACGTTATAGGAGGAGAAGGATGAGTTAAGGTGTGGTGGGGTGTTTTTATCAGGATTGTGTCTTCAGTGCTGTCTAACCTTCCTGTTGGAATTACTGCTCGCGTGGTTTTTCTTAGTTCCCAGTATGTCACAAGACTTGCAGCTTCTTAAGTTTTAATGAAAGCGGAACCTTTAGGGTCTAGTACAGTGGTAAGGTAAAGGGAAAGGGACCCCTGACCATTAGGTCCAGTTGTGACCGACTCTGGGGTTGCGGCGTTCATCTCGCTTTATTGGCCGAGGGAGCCGGTGTACAGCTTCCGGGTCATGTGACCGCCATGACAAAGCCGCTTCTGGCGAACCAGAGCAGCGCACGGAAACGCCATTTACCTTCCTGCCGGAGCGGTACCTATTTACCTACTTGCACTTTGACGTGCTTTCGAACTGCTAGGTGGGCGGGAGCGGGGACCGAGCAACGGGAGCTCACCCCGTCGCTGGGATTCGAACCGCCAAACTTCTGATTGGCAAGTCCTAGACTCTGTGGCTTAACCCACAGCGCCACCCGCATCCCTACAGTGGTACCTCGGGTACAGTACTTAATTCGTTCCGGAGGTCCGTTCTTAACCTGAAACTGTTCTTAACCTGAAGCACCACTTTAGCTAATGGGGCCTCCTGCTGCCGCCACGCCGCCGGAGCCCGATTTCTGATCTCATCCTGAAGCAAAGTTCTTAACCTGAGGTACTATTTTTGGGTTAGTGGAGTCTGTAAGCTGAAGCGTCTGTAACCTGAAGTGTATGTAACCCAAGGTACCACTGTATATCCCTGAAAGGGGGAGGAGGGGGTAGTTTACCTTGACTAGATGTGCAGGTTGAGGGAATGTGCTGCCAAGTACATGACTCAGTTTTTCGGTTTCTTTAAATGCCCCCCAACTCAACTTCAGCAAAATTTCGTGGTGCATTAAACTTAAAGTGCACCAAATTTTCACACTGTTACTGTAATAATGGCATTTACAATTCAGGTCTTGACTGAACCTCTTACATGGTGAGTATGGAGTGTGGGACCGCTTTAAAATGTTGTACTGAAACTCATTTGCTACGCTTTTTCTTATTGCCTGCTGTCAGGCTGACAATTGCCCGACGCGCTCGCAGTGAGAGTGAATCATCTGCGCCGTCGAGTCTCCCTTCTTCCTTCTCTGCCCCATCTTTCCTGAAAAGCTTTTACCAGAGCTCAGGAAAACCATCTCCTCAGTCTGAAAATGAGCTCCCCCAGAGGTGAGAACACTGGTTTCTGCCTGGCCTGCAAGTTTGCAATTCCTATGCAGCCGGCTTGCGATAAGGAATTTTTGCCACTCGCTTCTAAGTGAGATACTTCACTTGTTTCGTGAAAACCTGTGAACAGAGCGTTCTTTGGAAATGCCTGCTGAGGGTTACAGCACAGAGATCTTGCGTAACTACTACACTGTTTTCTGACTAATGCCAAAATAATGTGAAAAAAAGATCAACATTGCCAAACCCAGTAAGGGAAAAATCATGAGGTTTCTAAATATACTGATTGTTGTTTTTCCCCAAATGGGATATTTTTTTTAAAAAACCTGCATAAATCTGTATATGACTTTAAATTACTCCTCTGGACAATCTCTGCATGTCTCCCTAGTGTAGTCTAGTACAAGACTTGGATGTGGAAGCACTTTTATTCCTCGAATAAAACGGATTTTCTGCCATCCTCATTACCCCATCCATAGACATGGGAACAATCTTGTTCTACCACACAGAATGGTTGTAAAGTTCGTTTGAGGAGATGATAACGAGCAGGGCATTTTACACTACACACTTTGAAGTGTCTCAGATTTTTAAAAATAAATGGCCTTTATTGCTGAGTTAACAATGTAAAGAAAATAACCCGGGCACTTTAAAAAAAGGAGAGAGAAAAATGGCAATGTTGATGATATTAGTTGGTATTATACTAATTAGCTGCTTAATCGTGTGCTGTATGGCAGGGGCAATGTGAAGGTTGCCCGTGTGTGACTAACATTGGCATGCTTTTGTTGTTTTTAATGCTTTAAATGAGGAATATAATTTGCACTGGGCTGCTAGTGCCTGCTATCAGGGAGGCTTGTTATAGGCTGTGTGAACTGACCTTCCTTTGGCCAACCTGGATATTTGCATTTTGAAGGCACTCGGTTACTGGTATGATTCAACCACTGCAGTTATGTTTAGATTCCCCAAACTGCCCTCCTTTCAGTACACAATGACACATACTATACAGCAAGTGTGAATTTCCCTCCACTTTCTGAGCATGGCAATGAAGGTTTTGTGAAGCCCCAGCGCATGAGGAAAGCATCAAAAAGTAACAGTGGTACATCTCGTTGGTGATGCACTTGAATGGCTTCAGAATTGTGATTTCACCACTTTTGCTGCTCGCGAAAGTGTAGGCAGTCTGCGGACCCTGATGTGGAGGATATTGTGCTTCGGCCTACATGTAATGTCTCTGTTTGGATTTTATTTTCACTGAACCAAAGCAATGTTCTATTTAACTGGAGGTCTACAGGCCCAGCAGAGTGTCCACTGGCCCCAGCCTGTGGCCTTCTGTCTCGGGTACCGTTCTTTGCCAAACTGGCTTGTGAGTATGCAAGAAACATTGGACCAGGACCCAAAGAGTCGAGGAGGCTGGTGGTGCACACTGATTCACACAGAATTAATTGGCTTAGCAGGATTTTCAGTGAAGAACAGCGATAACCGTAGTTGAGAAATATCATGGGGATGTGTTTTTCTTTCCTGCTAAACCCAAATGTCATCCTGCAGACCATCTTATTAGAGTGACAATGTTTGTCTGATGCAACCAAAAATTATTATTTAACCATATTATAACTTAAAATGTGATTAAATCTGGAGTACATCTAGCCAGCATCTCTTTCACGCCAAGGTCATTTGCTTTCAAACTCCCATCTCAAGATTTTTCAGCTGTGGTGATTTCAATAACAAACTGTTGCTCGTATCTCTTTATTTTGCAAGTTTGAAAACTGCAGTGAGCTTTGAAAACAATAAGTGGGTGTTAGCATTCTGGTTGATACGGATTTTAATAGGAGCAGGAGTGTTGTTCCTGATTTTAAGCAGTTAAAGCACTGTTGATGGCCGAAGGAGGCAGCAGAACTATTAAAACTACCTTTCTCATGGAAGTGCTTAAATGCCACAGGCAAAAGAAAAGCATTATTTTCTGTGTGAGGAATGCCTCTTATAAGATAACACATATCGTGCATGTGTCTTTCTTTAAAATTTACTGTAGGCAACTATATGCTGATTGAATTGATCAACTGTATCTCCTAAATTAGTGGACTAAGGCTTCTTTAATCTGGCTATAGCCCTACTTTTAATAGGTTCTCTTTTTATCTGTGTTATCTTATAGCTATCAGCTAAAATCCACCTACCTGGCGGAGGAAACCCTTTACTGTTCTCATCCTGATCTTGGCCTCTTTTTACTAAATATTTCTGCGGGGAGGAGCATCTTGGCCTCATCTTCTTAGCTTAGTCGGCAGAGCACGAGACTCTTACTCTAGGGTCATGGGTTCGAGTGCCACGTTGACCAAAAGATTCCTTCATTGCTTCATTCCTTCCTTCATTCATCCTAGACTCTCGTGGTTCCTTTTGGCTCCACATTTCTGTTATTCTATGGCCTCCTATTGCTCCTACTATGCATAACAGGTTATCGCTGTTAGTGATGGACTTAAGTCATGAGCACTCCAATTCATTGACTGGCCATCTTATTTACAAGTTATATATGTAATTGTAAAGCTGTTGAGTTTCATAATATTTCAGGCATTTCATCAGCATATCTATCTATCTATCTATCTATATCTATCATCTATCTATCTATCTATCTATCTATCTATCTATCATCTATCTATCATCTATCTATCTATCATCTATCTATCTATCATCTAGGGCCTAGGTTTTTCTTCTTGCACTTTTAGGGCAACCAGGAAAATTGGATGTGTGGTCTTGTGTAATTCAGAGTAATACACAGAGAGATAAGCAACATCATAGTCAACCCATCAGAGGATTAAAACTGATAGGAATCTTTCAGCCTTAGGACACATTAGTTAAAGGCGCAAGCATCTGAGCAGCTCTTTTCTATTCATCGGGTGGGTGTGTTTTCATTTTCAGCTAACATCAGTGAGTACATACACAGGCGAAGGCGTGAATTTCCCTTTTAGTTTTCTGCTTTCCTTCAAAGGAAAGGAGAAGTTGAACTGAAAGCAAAGCTGAGAGACAATGCAGATTTTTCATATGCGGCAGCCCTAAAGATTTACTTTTGGGTGAGTTACGGCTTGCGGGTTAAAACTCAAAAATGCTCCATTTGTGAACAAAATAAGGGAAATTATCTTTGAAAGACAGTTGTGGAACTGTGCTACCAAGAAATCTAGAGCCTGTTGCTCTTGTCGCTTAGGAAATCCCCTGCATTTATTTGGCGAAGCTCAATGCTTCTGCTGATGAAACTGGAAGAAGGAATAGAAAAGGGCTTTTGTAATTACAGTGTGGTTTTGGTACCAGATCGTTCTAAAAGAACCTTTTTTTCCTGTAAAAGTTTGCAAAAGTAGAGGCAAACTTCACACGATGTCACAGCTGGCTAAATGGAGACTGGGTTCATGGCCAATCAGGTAGTTTTAAGTGTTTTGCTAATTTCTAATGTTTCATAACTTATCAGCATCTTAAGAGTAAAAATACAAAGTGAGAAACTAGGTGGTTTTCTTTGCAGTTTTGATTTGGTTACTTTTATCCTGTTTTGTCTCTAAGAAGGTGCATGAAAACTTAGATGGGTTTAGTATGGGTTAATGGAAGTCCTTTTATTTGTGGTGTGTGCTTGTGAGAGCAATCGCTAAAGTAAAGGACGAGGTTGGAGCTTCAATGTAGGGCGTTTTTTAATTAAAATGTAGGGAAACGATAAACACATTTCACTTTCAGAAGGCAGTCTTACTTGCATTTACTTCACTCAAAAGCTGCTGTTACACTTTACAAGCAAAAGTTGGTAGTACTACTTACCCCCCAGAAACTGCTCTTGCTAAGCTCTAGGGGATTTTGCCATTTCTTGTTGAAACCATTTTTTAAAAAAACCTAGCGAAGACTTGCATTTGCTACCTGCTTGGAAAACTAGGTTACTTGGGATCAGAAAAATTAAAGGTCCACGGGAAGACATATTGCACAGCATTCATTGATCTGAGCTCAGTTTTTGCACAACTAAAGTAGGGAGCATTTATGGCTATCCTGTTTAGAAATTAGCATTTTAGTGATGAGTGTGGGGGCAACAAAAGAGGTCAAAATAGTTCTTTCTTGGTGCATTATTTATATAAAAGCTATCTCACGTCCACTTGCTATGTATGTAAAATATTTCAGATTGTCAAATAAGGGCATTCGACATACTTTTGATTCGTCACAATAAGGCAGTGCATTTTGAGAGAGTTTAGAGGGTTTTCTATGAAAGCCCATGTTTGTCTCCTTTTTATGGTTTCTTCCTCTTTTGTAGTTCAGTCTTTGTAATTCTGTGTTTGACTATATTCACTCTTCATTAGTCTGGAATACATCAGTCTGATTTTTAACTCTATCACAGCAGCCAAACTCTTTTAATTATATCTGCGTTGCTTTTATGTACTGATCTTGTACTGTTAGCTTTAAATATTAAGTAGAATATTAATGTAATGTTACATTAGTGGAGGTTAAAAAAATACTTGCATATTCTGTTTAGCTTAGAAATGAGGCACATTAAAGATCCTTTTTGAGGTGCTGGCAGAAAATACTCTTTGATCCTTGGCTAGTGCTTAGATAAGAGAGCAAAGGTCTCTAGACATCTTTCTTTCATTCATTTAATATGATGGGACTTGCTTTTATTAAGTTTCATTCTTTGTCATGGTGTTTCACTGCTTTGTATGCTGTACAAAATCATCTCCTGAAGCTCTTTCTTGTCTGCGAATTTCAGGTTCTAGAATATTTCAGTCATGATTCTTTAAAGCACACACAAAGGCCCAGGAATTAAGAATTTAACAATTGGCGGCTGTTCTGGTCAACTTCACGATGAAGAAAAACAGCTTTCTAACCCATTCACTGGACTTATAATGTATCTATTTACACCCCTTTTTTTTTGCTTCAGTTGCTAGGTCTGTATGTCCTCATAATATATAATAATAATAATAATAATAATAATAATAATAATAATAATAATAGTAATAATAATAATATTAAAATACAATAGTCTATTAAACATTAAAAGCTTCCCTAAACAGGGCAGCCTTCAGATGTCTTCTAAAAGTCTGGTAGTTGTTTCTCTCTTTGAGTCCAGTATTCCAGTGTTGGTGATTCCGTTTCATTAAAAAAAATCCTCAGTGTGGCTAAGCAGAATGACAGCAAAATTCAACAAAATAAAAACCATTCATATCAGCAGTTAAAATACGTTGAAAACTCCACAGATGAAATGCCAGGGAGATGAACAGCTTGGCAGGTCAAATTCCAGTAGGAAACAGAAGGTCTTTGTGCAATAATTTGAAGGTCTTCAATGAAAGCCTCCTTCTGCAGTGAGTTCCAAAGCCAGGACTTGGCCCCAGAGAAAGCCCTGTCTCATGTTCCAACCAATTGGAACTTGGTTGTTGGCAGCATGCAGAAAGAAAACCTTAATGAGCAGGCAGGTTTGTAGGGGAGGAGATGATCCTTAAGATATCCTGGACCAAAGCCCATATAGGCAGTGCTTTCCCCCCTAGAACAATAGATGCCAATACCCACCATGAAGTTATTACATTAAGTGCTACACTTTTTAACAACAGCAAAAAGGGGTGCCAGTACTGCGTGCCTTTGAGTACGCCCTGGAAAAAAACCCCACACTGCATCTAAGGCTTTAGAAAAGGTAGTGAACAGTCTAAATTAGGCTCAGCAACAAACTGGAAGCCTGTGAAATTGATGCACTTAGGAAATTGCAAATTCTTTTAAATTTATTATTGTTTTTAATGTGTCCAGCCCAGTTATCTTGACTTCCTTTTACCTGAAGATAGAATCTGGCATTGTCCCATATTCAAAGCAGAAGTTCTGAACTATGAGCCATAAACAGTAATATGTATAGCACATATTGATGCAATAGAGTGCTGGACGTGAGTATTTTTTTCCCAGTGGGTAACAAATCTACCTTAAATTTGTCATTTTGAATAGCCAAAGGATAATAACCAAACGTCTAGAAGGGTGTGGGGCTTAATTTCCACCAGACAATAGGCAACATGATTGTTCAAAGGTTGCTTGAATAAATAGGATCTTTTCTTTGTTTTAGATTGTACGCACTTTGGGATATTGGCATATCCTTGGCATATGTATTGTAAGGCAAAATAATAAATAAATAAATAAATAAATAAATAAATAAATAAATTTTATTTATACCCCACCCTCCCTGGCCAGAGCTGGGCTCAGGGCAGCTAACACCAGTAAAATTACAGTAAAAACATAATAGGGGGGGAAACCAATTTAAAATAGAGGTCAAAATGCAATTTAAAGTGCAGCCTCATTTTTAAAGTGCCTCCCGTGCTCGGGCGACAAGCTGCCGCCCGAGCCTCACGCGCTCGGCGGGACCTCCTGCCGGGCGCGCAAGGCTTGCAGACACTCGTCCGAAGCACGGGGAGCCCTCCGGAGGGCTCCCCGTGCTTCGGGCAACAGGATGCCGCCCGAAGCCTCGCGCGCTCGGCGGGACCTCCTGCCGGGCGCGCAAGGCTTGCAGACACTCGCCCGAAGCCTCGCGCGCTCGGCGGGACCTCCTGCCAGGCGCGCAAGGCTTGCAGACACTCGCCGGGGCTGCAGGCTGCTGCCTGCAAGCCTTGTGAGCCCGCGGGAACTCCCACCGGGCTTGCAAGGCTTGCGGATAGCTTCCTGAAGCCTGGAGAGCGAGAGGGGTCGGTGCGCACCGATGCCTCTCGCTCCAGGCTTCAGCGAAAGCCTGCATTCGCTCCATAGGACGCACACACATTTCCCCTTCATTTTTGGAGGGGAAAAAGTGCGTCCTATGGAGCGAAAAATACGGTAGCTGATAAATCAAGACCATAACGGGAGGGAAACATAAGGGTCAGACCGAGTCCAAACCAAAGGCCAGGCGGAACAGCTCTGTCTTGCAGGCACTGCGGAAAGATGTCAAGTCCCGCAGGGCCCTAGTCTCTTGTGACAGAGCATTCCACCACATCGGGGCCATTCCTGAAAAGGCCCTGGCCCTAGTTGAAACCAATCTAACCTCCTTGAGGCTTGGGACCTCGAAAGTGTTGTTATTTATGGACCTTAAGGTCCTCCGCTGGGCATACCAAGAGAGGCGGTCCCGTAGGTACGTGGGTTCTAGGCCACATAGGGCTTTAAAGGTCAAAACCAGCACCTTAAACCTGACCCTGTACTCCACCGGGAGCCAGTGCAGTTGGTAAAGCACTGGATGAATGTGATCCCGTGGCAAGGACCCCGTAAGGAGTCTCGCTGCAGCATTCTGCACCCGCTGGAGTTTCTGGGTCAGCTTCAAGGGCAGCCCTGCGTAGAGTGAGTTACAATAATCAAGCCTGGAGGTGACCGTCACATGGATCACTGTGGCCAGATCAGGGCGAGAAAGGTAATGGACCAACTGCTTAATACGGCGAAGATGGAAAAATGCCACCTTTGCTGTGGCTGCAACCTGCGCCTCCATGTGCATTGATGCTATAAAAATTATTTTTAAAGTTTCTCTTCAAAGGAGTTGGACAAGGAAACCATTCTTGATCAAACACCCTTGTTGTGCATTTCCCTTTTTGTCCATTTTGTGGTGGTACAAATTTGGGTGCAAATAAAATAGAAAGAAGTTATGGCAGGGACTTCTCCACTTCTGAGAGATAACAGTGTCATCTTTACCACACATTATCTCATCTACGAAAACTTTTGACATCACAGCTGCAAACAGAACAAACTCTGATTCTTCAGAAGAAGTAAAATTTTGATACTTCATTTGCTTTCATGCACATACAAGCCTCATGGAATGTGGATGCAATTTGAAAAAGAGAGACTTAATACGCTTGTTTGGACCTTCACGTCAAGTTCCTTGTGTTGTTTAGCCTTATCTATCCCGTAAGCCTAAGGCAATTGTTAACCTTCAGATAACCTAGAAGTTGAGATCAATAGCCTTTTTAGCTTAGATTACAGATATATGGACATGAGGGAAAAACACACACACAGAGTCTATTCCCAATTTTGATAATGAGGGTTCTCTTAAATACAGTTTTCCTTCTTCTAATAAATATGCAATGTGCAACATAGTTTTTCCGCAACTCTAAATATTCGTAGATTCCAAAATTGTATGGGACTTACAAAAAACTTGTTGGAGATTTGTGGATAAACTTCCAGGTTTCTGGTTGTAGAAACAGGACAGTGTCTAGGACAAAAATACGGCGAGAACTTGGGGCCAGATGAGGCCGGTGTCCTTAATGAAAAGATCTGGGAAGCCTCGCTATATGGCGATTACATTGAAATGATGTAATCCTTTGTGTGTTCAAGGCTGTTCCGCTGGCTTTGCATGGCCATGCCTAGGCTTCTGTCAGTCTTCCTTGACGCTGACTTGGGCTGTTGTCTTTTCCTCCTGATCCTGCAGTGATGGGGAAAGAAGAAAAAGGACCTCTTCTGTGTGCAGCAATGACTCTCTAAATGCTGGGGGAATTACTCTTACCCCCCGCCGGATTTCCTGGCGGCAGAGAATCTTCCTAAGGGTGGCATCGCCCATGAAGAAATCGCCCTCAGCAATGCAACTTCAAGGTCAGTTTTCATTTTGAGGCGGCAGTTTATGTCACGACAATTCGATTTCATATCTCTGTTGAAGAGTGGCAGTTTCCAGTCCTCTCTTAAAAGAAGTAGGCAAGTTCTGCAAGACCCAAGTTTGAATACTTGATATGCGTGTTAGGTGCGTGTTTCGTTTTAAGGTTCCAAATGGATTCTTTTTCAGGTAGTTGGCCTTTTTGTGGCAGTAAGCTATCGAAGTCAGAGTCAAGTGTATGATTGACTATCCCTGTATCTTTCAACATGTCGTTCTAAGAGTAACCACTTCAGTTATCTCCAGAAACACATGGCCACATCTCCTCCTATCTGCTTCCGAATCATGTTTCCTTCTGACCTCCCTGGTAACATTTGGTTAACAACTATATTATGCAACGTATCTTTGTCGCCAGCACTGCCTTGACCTCAAGTTACAGCTAAGGAAGTCGTATGGGGTGGTGCAAGAGAAGATGTCTGGTGGCAACAGGCTAATGAACATAATGCTTGGCAGGGGGTTGGACATAATGTTTGGCAGGGGGTTGGACTCGATGGCCCTTGTGGTCTCTTCCAACTCTATGATTCTATGATAAGAAGAGTCCTGCAGGATCTGATCCAATGTTCATCTAGTCCTGGGTTTCCCAAACTTGGGTCTCCAGCTATTGTTGGACTACAGTTCCCATCACCCTGACCACTGGTCTTGCTAGCTAGGGATGATGGGAGTTGTAGTCCAAAAATAGCTGGAGGGAACTCCTGATCTAGCCCAATAGCCTCCTTATGCACAGGTGCATCTGGAAAGCCCACAAGCAGAGTCTGAAGTAAATTCATTATGTCAGGCATGGCCAAACTTGGCCCTCCAGATGTTTTGGGACTACAGTTCCCAACATCCCTGACCACTGGTCCTATTAGCTAGGGATGATGGGAGCTGTAGTCCCAAAACATCTGGAGGGCCACGTTTGGCCATGCCTGCATTATGTCATTACTTCTCAGCTACTGGCAAATAGAGTTAATATTGTTACATGTAGCCCTGTCCTCCATGAATTTGCCAGTCCGCATTTAAGACCATCGAGGCAAGTGATCCTATCCCTTCCTTTTGCCTCTTCTGAATCTCCTGCCAGCTAGTTAAACCGGATGAAAGGAAGGGACAAAAGGGAGGGTCAAAAACGTCTCTTTCCTCTTTCTTCACCCCGTACTTGTCAACCACCTTGCATCATTTGGGGCTGTATCATATGGCCTTTCAGATGCTATGAATCAGATGTGATGCAGATGGTGTGGACCATCTTTCCTTGGTTTTAAAAGAATATGTTAGAGATACTTTGTGTCCTGTTTAATACAAATTCCTGGCATAGGAAAAGGCAGGTGTTGGGTGTGTGCCAGATCACCAGATCTGTCTCAGGTAATGAAGGCCAACTGGGCAAAGCTAGATCAACTCTTGGTTAAGATTGGCAAAGTTTCACCCCTAGAGGAAACTTTCTGCTAATTGCAAGTTTGCTGCAGTACTGCTTTCAATGCCTAAGTTGGATAATATCCAGTTATCATATTGACAGGCTCTGCTGCTAGGAGAGTGCTCTAGTAACAGTTCTGGATGCTAAATCAAAAGGAACACTAATTACATCTGGCAATTAGCAGTTAGGAAGTATTTATTTAAGGGAGGCCATAGGCCAGAAAAAAAGGGTTCAAGCATTTAAACTTTTGTCTTTCCCTAAAGCCAGTCTGCAGCTCATAAGGGCATATATAGCCTTGGCACTTTACTCTCGAGAACAAAACTTGCAGAATTATGTATGTCCGCTTGCACTTTCTGACTTGATTGTTATATTTAGCAGAACCACAGAAGATGAATGTTCATTAGCACTTGATTTCCAATAGGTGACACTTACTGTTAGAATGGCTTGTCTGTCTGTCTAGCAGGGAAAACTGTGGATGCAAAGAATCTTAAAACAAATTTGCTGACTGGTGTGTAAAGAAGCAGTATTGGATGAGATAATAATCCCAGAGTTAGGCTGTATCAGGGTGACATTATAAAAGTTTCATCTTGCTTTCTTATGAGGGCTTGTAGCAACATGTCCTTAGGTCCATGGGCTTCAGTTAGGGTAAAGGAAAAGGGACCCCTGACCATTAGGTCCAGTCGTGGCCGACTCTGGGGCTGCGGCGCTCATCTCGCTTGGCTGAGGGAGCCAGCGTACAGCTTCCGGGTCATCTGGCCAGCATGACTAAGCCGTTTCTGGCGAACCAGAGCAGCGCATGGAAACGCCGTTTACCTTCCCACCGGAGTAGTACCTATTTATCTATGTGCACTTTGACGTGCTTTCAAACTGCTAGGTTGGCAGGAGCAGGGACCGAGCAACGGGAGCTCACCCTGTCACGGGGATTCGAACCACCAACTCTCTGATCAGCAAGTCCTAGGCTCTGTGGTTTAACCCTCAGCGCCACCCGCGTCCCTTCCGTTAGGGTAGTATATATGTTATTGAGTGCTGGAGCACAGACTAAAAATACTACGTACTACTGTTATTATTTATAGAGTGTCATCAATGTGCATGGCAGTTCTGCAGAATAAGCAAAAAAACCAAAACCCCAGTAACCCAGGTCTCTCTCCTAAGAGGAGAAAAAAGGGAGATGGGTGAATGTTAGCATATGCAGTAATATAATAAATAAAACCCTAATGATGGATGTTCATGCATATTTCTGCCACCATACTAGAACTCTCAAACAGTATTGAATAAATCCATGTCTAATGCAGCGATATTTTGCAGATGGAGGTGATGTAAATGAATTGTTGCCGCTGTCTCCTCTTGCACGATCTTTTGACGAAGACCCCCTTGTTTCCTTATTGCAAAACGATGATGTTCAAGATAAGACTGGGGAGAAAAAGAACTCTGAAGAGCTGCAGAGCCTGTGGAGAAAAGCCATCCATCAGCAAATACTGCTACTTCGAATGGAAAAGGAAAACCAGAAATTGGAAGGTTAGTGAAGGTTAAGATAAAGAATGGTTGCTCTGCCTTCCAGGCTTGGACGTCCCAGGAATTAGTTAATGAATTCCCTGTGGAACTTGAAGCAGAAGTAGCTAACGAAATGGTGTTGTGCGACTGCCATATTTCATGGGCTTACATTTCGTCCTTCAATATAAAGGTTTTCAGTATGCATCACAAAATTAAGAAAAAACTGTTTAAGCAAATGACAAGCCCATCCTGGATAGCTTTTGGGTCTGGCTGGACCTGCGATCCCTGTTGCATTTCAGCACCTTAAAACTATGTTTTTTTTCCTTTATCTGTAAGATGATAGGCACTTCCTGCTTCCAGTTTTGCCTCCAGCTTCACAGCCCTCACACCCTCACTCACTCACTCATATATCTCTAATGAGGTGACTGAGACATAAGCAGGCCCTTAAATGGGACACTCAACTTTTCAAACATTACCACAGAATTTGGACTTTGTTTGTTTCATTTTTTTATTTTTAGCTTATTTGAACTGTCTACGAGGTGCATATGGGCATTTGCATCATACACCATTTAGCAGAGATGCTTGTGAAGAAAATGTAGACAGAAGTGCCTTGTAATCCCTTTTTTCATAGTTTTGTGGGTTTAAAAAAGCATAAAGCAAACACCTCTTTCTCTTCCTTCCATAAGAACGTTGAATTATGAAGTGGTGAAAATGAGAAAACAGATTGTGGCAGTGGGAATTCTGCTAGAGTGGAAGTTTCTAATCAGTCTGTTTCAGCTGGTTGATTTGCATCAGCTTCAAATTCTTTGTTATATCACATAGCATTTAACATTGCATCGTTCGATGGCTGAGACAACGTATAAACCTGCCTCCCTTCTTCCTCACCTTCCCTTGCACAGAGAGCTAAGTTGATAAACCAAGTTGCAGCAGAGTTCACTGCTGCCTTTGTGCAATTTATTCCTGCCCGTATCCCCTCTTTGCTTATTCATCATCAGATGAAATTTGTTGACAAAATACTAATAAAAATATTTCCTATTCTTCTTAATGCTGTCGAGGAAGCTTGAATTATATTTTCTTTTATAGAAGGTAAGATGCACGTAAGGAAAATCTTTTCTTCCCCTCCTTATATGTATCCCACTATTTGAAGCACTGCAGATAGTAGAATAGCACTAAATCCTTCGCAGTTGGAGTGATGGAATTGTAGCTTTACGTCTTGCATGTGCTGCTTCCATCTATTCAACCGCCATGTTCTTTGCAACTCCAACAAATCTAATGATTAGCTTTAGGACAGGATAATCACATTGTGAACCATACAGCGGAATTCAGATCATCGGCAGAAGGAGCTTGTGTACCAGGTTGGCTCAGGGGAGACAGCTGAGCGCATGTTCTCACCTTTCCACAGGTTTTAAGAAAGTCTTCTTGAGTCTTACTGAACTTTCTACAGCTTTAATAGCTGGTTGTACAAGGCTGTAAGTGTTGCCGAGCTTTTGCACAGTAAGAGAACAGTATTATGGGTAACTGGCCCCAAACATGCCTTCCTAAACCTCGGCCTGTAGGATGGTTGACGTGACATAACCTGATATGTGGCCTACATGCCAGACATACAGGGCATTAAATGCTGGTCTGTGGTGCATCATCTGAAATGGTCTGTGCCTTGTGTTCTCTCTTGCAGCAAGCAGAGATGAGCTCCAGTCCAGAAAGGTTAAGCTGGACTATGAGGAAGTTGGTACTTGTCAGAAAGACGCTATCAATATCTGGGATAAGAAGCTGTTGAATTGCAGAGCCAAAATCAGATGCGACATGGAAGATATCCATGCAACTCTGAAAGATGGTAATTTTGAGTGCATTTATTTTTTTTGAGACCTTGCATTTTTCATCTGTTTGAACACCACCATAGGCAGGGAATTAGCCTGATGCAAATCAATGACATTTTTCTGGTGATTTCCCCTCGCTTTTGTTGCCTTGCATTCCCAGTTGAAAACTGGGAAATTATAGTTCCTTTGAGTTTTGGGAAAGGAGTGGCTGACAAATAAAGATTTCTAGGCTATAACTAGAGAAAGGGAGTGCTCCGCTTGATTTCGGGTGGAAAAGTAAACTATTTCCCCAAAGCTCAGAAAATAGGTCTGAAAATTCTGAGTCTCCTGGAGAATGTCACTGGGCCAGCAAACGGATCCCATTTTTTTGCCCCATTATGAGGCTGCAATAAATGAGATGTTGAAAGTGTTCATGTGGAACAGAGTGTGTAGAAGTTCAAAATAATGACCCTAATGGTTATAAATTAGAAATGGGTAATTTTTATATTTGAAGGGAACTCTGTCGAATCACCCCACAATCCCCTGAATAATTTTGTTTTATATCTTCTGTGTTCAGGTGTTCCCAAAAGTCGCCGGGGAGAAATATGGCAATTTCTTGCTGTGCAGCATCGCGTAAGGCACCGGCTACCAAATAAACAGCAACCCCCTGATATCTCTTACAAAGAACTCCTGAAACAGTTGACGGCTCAGCAACATGCAATCCTTGTAGACCTTGGTAACTTTTTCCCCCATAGTCAGGACTTTAGGTCATGAACAGGTTGGAGGTGGGGGTATGTGCAGGGGAGGGGACTTGTTCCAAGTTAATCCGGTTCTGCAGATTGTATAAATTGTACAAGTGAAGTACCAGGGTAACACCTCTTATTTTGCATAAATTCATTTTTGTTTTGCTAGCCACTGGGTAAAGAACTACGTGAGCACTGAAGACTAACTCTTTCTCTCTTATTCAGCCACCCGCTCTGGTTTCTGGAACGTTAGGTGGCACTATCTGTAAACACGCAGCTGCATATTTTAGCCACGAGGCTTAGAGATCTGACGTTCAACAAAGAAAAGAGTTTTTTTGGGAACCTGAATTTTGTGCCTAGTGTTCAGTTCTGTACTTCTGCTGTGCCACCCAAATCTTGCAGCTTGCTTACAGTTATTATTTTATGGCTGCCAGTTGTTATGCCTGGAAACAGCCCCCAGTAATAAGCACCCCGTTTTTCATTTGCTTAGAATGGTTCATTTTCACACTTCTCAAGGCCGCGGCCCAGGAGTAGCACAGTGTAAGGAACCAGGAGAGAGGGGGAGACTTCCTAGTCCTGCCGAGAGACAAAAGAGAAGTTTAACATTCTGTTGCTATTAGATAATGGGGTGGTAGTCAATGAAGATTTACTCAGAATAAACCCATTGAAAATAACAAACATTAGTTAGGTCCATTGATTTCAATGGGTTTGCTCGGAGTAAAACATAGTTCTACCCAGACACTGAGGTCCAGTGCCGAGGGCCTTCTGGCGGTTCCCTCACTGTGAGAAGCCAAGTTACAGGGAACCAGGCAGAGGTAGTGGCACCCGCCCTGTGGAACCTCCTCCCACCAGATGTCAAAGAGAAGAACAACTACCAGACTTTTAGAAGACATCTGAAGGCAGCCCTGTTTAGGGAAGCTTTTAATGTTTGATGCATTACTGTGTTTTGATATTTTGTTGGGGGCTGCCCAGAGTGGCTGGGGAGGCCCAGCCAGATGGGCAGGGTATACATAATAAATTATTATTATTATTATTATTATTATTGTTGTTGTTGTTGTTGTTGTTGTTGTTGTTGTTGTTGCCCATGGTTAGGAAGTGTATATAACAAGGGTTATATCTGTGTGTGTGTGGGTAAGCAATCACTTTGGAAGCTAGTCAGTTAAACACATGGCTGGCTTCCCAAATGATCACATACGCTGGTAATAGAACTTCTGATGATTTTTATTCTGACTGAGTGTCCTGTGAGTTCTTCATTCCAGATGACATCTCTCTCTCTCTCTCTCTCTCTCTCTCTCTCTCTCTCTCTCTGCACCAGGGAGGACCTTCCCAACACATCCTTACTTCTCTGCTCAATTAGGAGCAGGGCAGCTCTCCCTCTTCAATCTTCTGAAAGCTTATTCCTTGCTGGACAAGGAGGTGGGCTACTGCCAAGGTATCAGCTTTGCAGCTGGGGTGCTGCTCCTCCACATGAGTGAAGAACAAGCCTTCGAAATGCTCAAATTCCTCATGTACGACCTCGGCTTCCGGAAGCAGTACAGGCCGGACATGATGTCTCTACAGGTAAGGCAGAAATAGGCTTCCACTTGGGAGAACGAAAGGAGTTGGAGGCAGCATTGCAGAAGGCTAAATGTGACCTGCCGCCTGGTTCCCTTTGTTTCTGATCTCTCGTCGTACTCAGAACAACCTCTCTTACCACTGTTTCCTGTATTGTCCCTTAAAAGTTCCCATTGGCTTGTTGGGCAGTTACCTTCCCTGTGTTTTTCTCAACCATCTCAGCAGTTTACTCCATTCACCTCATACTCTGCTGCCAAATATTCTGCTGCTCCATGACTTTATTAGGTACCTTCAGTGGAAGCGCTGAATGAGAGGAACACGGTGTTAGAAGCTAGCTCGCTTCATGGCCGGGTTTCGTCCTCGCTCAACTTGTTGCAGCGGCAAAGTGATGTGGCAAACTATTCCCTCACTCAGAAATAGCATCTTTCTTTAAGTGTAACCCTCTCTTGGCAATGTAATAAGACGTGGCAGCTGATCAATATCTCCCTGCTTTTCATTTCTCTATTTTGAGGGAGAGCTGTGCAGATCTCTCCCTCCTCTGTGCTGTTCTGGTTGGAATTCCTAAGACAAATTCCAGAGTGCTAGTTCACAGGAGAGTACTTTAACTGTTTCAACATAATTTATCAGTTAGAGTAAGGGACAAATGACACATTATTTGGGAGATCTGTGATCATTTTCTAGCTTAGAAAAACCAACCTGAAATACAACCTTGGGTGCTGCGAATCTGAAAAGCTGCATGCATTAGTGACTGTGACCACATCTTATGGCAGTGAATTCTAGCTATGTGCATACAGTGGTACCTCGCAAGACGAATGCCTCGCAAGATGGAAAACTCGCAAAACGAAAGGGTTTTTGGTTTTTTGAGTTGCTTCGCAAGACGATTTTCCGTATGGGCTTGCTTCGCAAGACGGAAACGTCTTGCAAGTTTGTTTCCTTTTTCTTAAAACCGTTAATACAGTTGCGACTTGACTTCGAGGAGCAACTCATAGCACGCGGTGTGGTAGCCTTTTTTGAGGTTTTTGAAGACTTTGGTGATTTTGAAGCTTTTCCAAAACTTTTCCGACACCGTGCTTCGCAAGACGAAAAAAACCGCAAGACGAAAAAACTCGCGGAACGAATTAATTTCGTCTTGCGAGGCACCACTGTATATACACGTGGTCACAACTTCTGGACAGACTAAGCATCATGTGAACAGCAGCCACAGGGAGAGGGGACCCAAACAGCCTCAGGATTCCCCCCTGGGGAAACTGTGATAGCAGGTACGAATTGCACAAGAAGTCAGAGAAATTCTTAATCTCTTCACTCTCCCGTATTTTAATACAGATTCAGATGTACCAGCTGTCGAGGCTACTGCATGATTACCACAGAGACCTCTACAACCACCTTGAAGAGAACGAGATCAGCCCCAGCCTTTATGCTGCCCCCTGGTTTCTGACTTTATTTGCTTCGCAGTTTCCATTGGGATTTGTAGCCAGAGTGTTCGGTAAGAAGCTTTTCCGTGTATTGGCTGGGCAGATCAATAATAGGCCCCTCCAAATTGGTGGTTTTGTGAGGGGGGGTCCTATTCTGCAACACGCCTTTGACGTAATCATAGTGCCGTTAGTGACAGATTTATACCAGACCAGCCACATTTAATTCTGCTTTACGCTGGCTAACATACATTGGCTTATTTGACATCAGCTTCTCATGTGTAAGAACGGTTCCCTAATTCGTGTGTGTATGTAACAAAACATCCTTTTGAGTAGTTTGGGCACTCGTTCTGCACTAGAACAATTGTTTAAGACTTCTTTTTTTCCTGAAACTGATCCTTCTGCAGGAATTTTTAAAAAGTGTATTGCAGGAACATAATCTACATTTCATTAGCTCTTGGGCCATGGTGGCGGTTCGCTGATGCTAACCAAGCCATGTGTTGTGCTTGGATTTTACTTGAGAAGACACGACACATTTTCTTGACTTGGAATATTAAAGCATGTGTGATGTATATGTTAATTATAAAACATGTTTTTAACAGATAAGTGTAACAACACAAAACAAATGACTTTTTTTTTATCCCCTTGAATCTTCAACATAAATATGTATATAAAACAACGTTTTCAATGGGAAACACAATCTAATCTACGTTTTGTTCTCTGCCCTAGACATTATATTTCTTCAGGGAACAGAAGTCATATTTAAAGTAGCACTAAGTTTGCTAAGCAGCCAAGAGGAACACATCATGATGTGCGAGGCATTTGAAAGCATCGTCGAGTTTCTGAAAAACACTCTACCAGACATGACAAAGCTCCAAATGGAAAAGATTATGACGCAGGTAATAATAGTCTGTTCCACCCCCACGCAAACAGTATAATGCATTGATAATGCATCACTTGGCCATTCAGTTATATGATAGTGCCTAAAGAACTGAGCTGTGAACCAAAGGCTCCTGGCTTGAACCTCGCTTCTCCCATAAATTCACGAGGTGGCTTGAGGCAAGCCACTCTCCAGCCACAGTCTAGGATACAGGGAATAATATCTGGCCTTCCTTACAGGGGTTTTTTGTAAGGATTACTGAGCTGATGTACAGGAAGCACTCTGTAAAGTTCACTGTTGTTCTAATGAGAAATATTAGGTTGTAATCCCGACGCTGTGAGTCATATTGCTCATACCCTGGTTTCCACCTCAAGCAAGCAGACTGAGAGCCAGTGTGGTGTAGTGCTTAAGAGCGGTAGTCTCATAATCTGGTGAACCGGGTTCGCGTCCTCGCTCCTCCACATGCAGCTGCTGGGTGACCTTGGGCCAGTCACACTTCTCTGAAGTCTCTCAGCCCCACAGAGTGTTTGTTGTGGGGGAGGAAGGGAAAGGAGAATGTTAGCCGCTTTGAGACTCCTTCGGGTAGTGATAAAGCAGGATATCAAATCCAAACTACTCCTCCTCCTCTTCTTCTTCTTCTTCTTCTTCTTCTTCTTCTTCTTCTTCTTCCTGTGAACAATTTCATGCACAAGCTGTTAGTGCCTTTGACACCATCCTGGGAGTGCAAAGCTCTGGTGTGAAGCCATCTTTAAGGAGTTGGTTGGTTAGCTTATATCTGGGTGAATGGAGGAGATTGAAAACTCTGTTCTGTGAAGGACTAACTGAAAAGAGCACTCTCTGTGGGTCAGTGCTGTAACTTTATCTTGCAGTTTCAAGATATTGCCATATTAGAGGTATTTTTAAAATCGATTTTTAAAGAACATTTTAACTGAACAGGATAAAAGAAAAGGTATACTATGTCATTATAGAAGTGAGCAATTCCAATTCCATATATGCCTATCTATTGTAGACGCATTCTTATTATCATCTGAATACATACATGTATATTTTTGGCCTGCTGTATTTTGTATAAATGTTTTACAAATGTCTAAGGTTAACAGCTAAATACATTTTAAACAAACAAATGCACGATTGCAGCATCCTCCAAATGTCATCGGAATATATCACAAATGTGTGTGCGTTTTAAAAATGTACATGTGCAATTACAAATGTGTGTGTGGTTGGGTGGATGGGTGTTTGTGTTTTTAACTGTAAAGGTACCCCTGACCATTAGGTTCAGTCGCGGACGACTCTGGGGTTGCGGCGCTCATCTCGCTTTATTGGTCGAGGGAGCTAGAGTTTGTCCGCAGACAGTTTCCGGGTCATGTGGCCAGCATGACTAAGCCGCTTTCTGGCAAACCAGAGCAGCTCACGGAAACGCCGTTTACCTTCCCACCAGAGCGGTACCTATTTATCTACTTGCACTTTGATGTGCTTTCGAACTGCTAGGTGGGCAGGAGCTGGGACTGAGCAACGGGAGCTCACCTCATCGCGGGGATTTGAACCGCCGACCTTCTGATCGGCAAGCCCAAGGCTCAGTGGTTTAGACCACAGCGCCACCCTAGTCCCTGTACTTAGCTGCTAATCCTTGAAACTTCTTTGAGTTGGCAAAAGGTCAAGAAAATTCCCCAGCTATCTCACTGACATTACTCTCTGCCTCTGGTAAGATTCCTCTATTTATTAGCCTGTCTAGAAAGTGTGTTAATGTAGCCACATCAACCCAAGTTGCACAGGTTCCACCAAACTTCAGTTTGGAACATACATGCTGCTGATTTTTCAAGATTGCATCTTTCAGGCTCATTATCCAGAAGCAGCTTCTAGTCTTGAGAGTCATCCCTTCTGGGGGAGAAGTGCAAACGCCTCCTTGACTCATGTAACCAGTTGGATGAGGCATCCTTGTAGTTGTTCAGATGGTCCAATTCGCCTGAATTAAACACGGTGGGACCTCTCATAAGGAAAATTGTTTTCTTTTCTTTTTTTACACACATTACAAATTGCACACATATACAAAGAATTTACAATCTCATACTACAAAAAGAAAATTTTAAAAAATTAAGAAAAGAAAATACAGATTTATGTACATAAAAAACTTAATCTTCCTAATTAATGCTTAAATAAACACTTAAATAAAAAAGACTTCTGACAAAATGAGTCTTCCAATCATTCTCATTGTACTGTTTATACTGTCGTTTTGTCCGCACAGTTTTATATTCTTTAATATTGTTCCCATCTACTCCACAAACGGTATTTGTTGTGTTTACAAGGATCACTCATGATCTACTAATATGGTGTGGTTGGTACAATATGATCTTATATAATCCTTAAATATTCTCCATTCTCCAAATATTTTCTCTTCTTTCGGTAGGTCTTTGAGATGGATATTTCCAAACAGCTGCACGCCTACGAGGTGGAGTACCACGTTCTGCAAGATGAACTGCAGGAGAACTCAAACCTGTGCGATGATGGGGAGGTTCCCGAGAAACTCGAGAGGGCAAACAATCAGCTGAAGAGGCAGAATATGGACCTCCTGGAGAAACTACAGGTAAACTACCAAGGGCCAAACTGCATGTTGTGACTTTATCCTGCATTGCAGAACCGGTGTGGCACATGGGGTTGGCCTAGGAAACCTAATAGATCCGTTCAGGCTCTCAGTTCTCTAAATGTTTAGCAGATCTGGGCTGGACTAAACAAAAGGAGAACCAGCAGGAGCAGGTACATGATGCCCTCCTGTATTTCCATATCCCAGCCTCTTTTCCTCAAAGGAAAACTCCCAGTCCTTTGTTCGGTGGCTGCGGAAGAGGATTATGGAGGAAGAGTGAGCCACTCCCGCCAACAGTTCTCCTCTTCAAATTCCATCCTCTCCCCTGTTTTTTTTACACATTTGCCAAACATCTTATGGTGAAAGCTTTGTTTGGTCTTCAGGTTCATTGAGGTAGGATAGGAAAACACACCAGGTTGTATCCATCTATGCCAGAGTAGAAGGGCCATAGCCCAGTGGGAGAGCATTTGCTTTGTGTTCAGAAGGTCCCAGGTTCATCCCCAGGGAGGGCTGAGAGGAACTTCTTTCTGCCTGAAACCCTGGAGAAATGCTTCCAGTCAGTGTAGACAATATGGAGCTGGGTAGACACTGTGGTATCGCAGCACACAGTTTTGGAATGGCTGTTGCCAAAGTGCAGTAGACTATGACTAGAAGTTAAGATCCACAATAAAATAGCTTTGTGCAACTAGTTCTTTTCAGTAAACTGGAAATTAAATGTGCCTGTATCGCAAGAACTACAGCGAGCAAACAGGAAATGCTTTATCCCCAATGAACCTGAAGGGAACAGCGAGCAATTTGTATGACGTATTTGCAAGCATTTTATGCAGGTAGGTGCTATGTGTTTCTGCTCTCAAGGACACTCGATTTTAAAAAATCATTTTCCTACTTTCCGATTAGGCAGCTCATGCTAAAATCCAGAGTGTGGAATCGAACCTGGAAGACGTCTTGGAAAGGGAGAGCAAGATGAAGAGCTTAATTCAGTCTCTGGAAGAAGAGAAGGCGCGCTATAGAAAGACTATTGAGAAAATCTGTAAATACTTGCCGGAAGAGGTGCTGCCTGACTGTGAACAGCTGCTAAAGGAAGCAAACTGTAACCCAAGCAAAATTTAGAAATAAGCCATAAGTGAAGCGTTGCAGGCAACACGGTTTCGAACAATAAAGAAAAGGGAAAACGACAAACGTAGACGGTATCTGCATAATCACACACGGGTACTGGGATTCTTTTAGCAGCGGAGAGGCCTTTTAAAATCTTGATATGCAAATCCCAGGTTAAATGTTTTTAATAATGGGTGTACATAAATAGCAATGCAAAAAAAGGAAAGAAAAAGACGATTGGGTCTAAAGAAGACAATTAGATGTATATTTAGGATTGGTGTAAAGGGAAAGAGATGAAAGTCCACCCTTTTGGACCGCTGGTAACTTAAATGTCAACTTCAATATGTTCTCTGGATCTAGTGAAAGGAACATGTTGTTGTCTTTATATACATTGATCAATACTTGAAAAGAAAACAAGAATGTAATTGTTCCCCTCCAAAGAACAGCATGTTTTCCATTTTAGTTGGGGATTTCTTTTGTGTTTCGTGTAAGGTTTTTTTCTGTGTGTGTGTCTCTGGCCATTTTTGTGGAGGACATCCCTGTAAGCTCTTACGTGCCTGCAGTCCATTCTGCTGACTTCCACATACGTCCAAGAATAACCCTGACCGGCTGTCATTCTGCGGCTCAGCTGTTGAGGAGAGTTCAACGGTGCCATGTTTCTCCTGCATGTAGAGAAGTGGCTATGCCTTATTCTCCCCAACGGAGGCAGGAAAAGCCAAAGTTGGAAGCCCTTCCTCTTCCTCCGTTCACTGTGGTGTGAAATTAAGAGCCGAAACAGGCTCTTGGAAATCTCGCATGATGTATCTTGCGGGAGATACACCATGATGAATAGCCAGTTGGCTGTGAAATGTGTGAACGCTCCCTCAAATAAACTACTCCCTTCATATACAGAACTAGCACGTGTTTCCAAGGTAGCTTTTCCCTCTGACACGCTAGCTCTGTAGGTGTAGGAATTATTTTATGTGGAGAAAGAATCGAAGTTTTCGTTTCTCGCCCTTTTTCTCACATGATGCACACCAACAGATACGTTACATGGAGTTTCTGCCTGTCTGCTGGCACATAAGATAACCTTCGATTTGAGTGCTGCTTCATGCAGTATAATATGTCATGAATACATGGTTTCAACGAGCCAAAGAAACCTTGTAAGAGTCCCCAACCTCTCTCTGTGCAAAGGGCCAATGACCCGTCCAGATTTTTCCCTTTATTGGGATATGGGCACTGACAAACCTTCAGGATTCTCTATGTAGACTATTACGATGCCTCAAAAATGCCCTTTCCTCAGAGAAGCAGATAGACGTGTTTACTCTGCAGGGAAGTCATCGTCCAAATCTAGTGGTTAGTACATTTCAGCTTAAGATATCTGTTCTGTGGCGTACCTTTTCTCATTTTGTTTAGAAGCAGGATTCAATACCAATAGACACAGTTCAATGCTTTTTCCGGGCTTTTCCCATTCTTTTATCAGTCTCTGCTTTTGCACAGCACTGAAGATCTGTTGTTTCTGGAAGCCATTTCTGTCTTGTAGACCAGACCCTGAAGTCAATCTTTGATCTGAGGGAGCTATGAAAATAGCAGTTAATCATGCGCAGGAAATTTGCATTTGAGGGAACATGCTTGAATCGAATTATCGTAACATCCAGTGGGGATTTATTTGTTATATTTTTCCAGGTATTGTTGTTTTTTTAAAAATAATAAGCCAAGTGCCAAATTCAGCCAAGTGTCTTACTCATAGGTGTGGGGTGAGCTGGAGAGAGTGCCAATATTTCCTTTGTAGAATGCATAATGCAAGCGACAAGCAAATCCGAGGGACAACAAAGTTGGTTTTCTGATTTAAAACGGCAGTATCAGTCTTTTCTTGTTAGTTGATAACAATGGTGTGATCATCACGGGGCACAGTCTAGCAGGTGACATTGTAGGAAATTCCACTGTGGAAGACAGATTTCTAATAGATTGTGCCTAGCATTATTTTCTTGCAGCTGTTGCCTCTTACCCAAATGAATAAACTCACATGGAATCCGGTGAAATCATACTAATAATTGCATTTTCCCAGATGGAAGGGGGAAAGTAATTCTCCTTTTTTTTTTTTTTTTTTTTGCAATTTCACTTGAAGCAATATTGTGCATACAGAACCAGTCCCATAGAACTGTTGAACTGTGTACTGCATTGATCAACTTGTTAAGGCGAACATTGCAATTTTTTTCAGAACTTTTTTTTTTTTTAGAGGCAGACACCCTAAGTTGGACTTATTCACATGTATCATTTGGAGAATTTCCAATAAATGTCATTGCTGCATTTCCTCTGGTTGTTTTCATTCGCGATACAGATCTTTTGCATGTGAAGAGAGGAATTCCTGTTCCTCTTGTGTATCAGCAAAACTCATACTTGGGGGGGGTGACCCAATTAAATTAAATGGCAGTAAGCTCAGGACTGGCAAAAGAGAGCATCTATTCAAACTGCTTTTTAACGGAAAATTAATTGTGGAACAATTCCATTAATTATGGAATTAGCTGCCAAAAGAGAGTGGCTTAGATTTGACACATCCATGGAGGAAATTGGTGGCTAAATTTGTTGGCTAAATGGAGTCTCTGTAGCAGTGGCTATAAACAAGCCAACCTCCCGGCTGGTTTATGAGCATCCTCAAGACACCTGACCGCCCAGCTGCTTTGGGAAATTGAATGCTGAACTAGATGAACCCTTGACCTCAAAATCAAATACGTGCTGGAAATGTAAGGAGAAAGAACGTACTTTTTACCATGTGTGGTGGTCTTGTAAGAGTGTACAGTGGTACCTTGGTTCTCAAACTTAATCCATTCTGGAAGTCCGTTCCAAAACCAAGGCGTGCTTTCCCATAGAAAGTTATGCAAAACAGATTAATCTGTTCCAAACTTTTAAAAACAACCCCTAAAACAGCAATTTAACTTGAATTTTGCTTTCTAACAAGGCCATTGATCCATAAAATGAAAGCAATAATCAATGTCAATAATAAATCCGTAATCAATAATCAATAATTTTTTTTCTTACCTGCACTGATGATAGTCATTGTTTGGATGGGGGGCTTCTTTTATCCATTTCCGCACAATTTCACACAATTAATTGGTAGCTGAATTGTGTTCCACACAGTCACAAAAACAAATTAACCGAAAACGTCTCATGAACAAAAACGTAAAATAAATAGCAAAAACAAAAGCGCCACACTTAATCTGTTCCAGAAGTCCATTTGACTTCCAAAATGTTCGGAAACCAAGACTCAGCTTCTGATTGGTGCAGGCGCCCCGGAAACAATAGCCGACAGCCGCATTGTACGTTTGGCTTCTGAAAAACATTCGAAAACCGGAACACTTAGTTCTGGATTTTCGGCGTTTGGGAATCAAGTCATTTGAGTACCAAGATGTTTGAGAACCAAGGTACCATGGTAAAAGCTTTCTGCAAAATTATTTATAATGAATTGAAGAAAATCTTTAAAATAACTTTTACTTAAAAAACACCAGAAGCTTTTCTTTTAGGATAATTGGTAGAGTTACCAAAATATTTTTTAAAAAGAAACAGTTTTTTTACCTGCACTGGTAAAAAGCCAGGATGATTTATGCTCTGGAATGGAAAGAAGATTCAGTACTAGCCAAGTAGTCGTCGCAGACTATGCCAAAATGGCAAAACTTACAGAGGAATAAGGAACCAAGAGACCGCGGGACGGGAGGAGCTTTATAAAAGACTAGGGAAATTTTTTGGATTATCTGAAATGTTACTGTACACATATAAATTCATTAGCAGGATTAACTTAAACCAAACAGTTGTATTTAATGTTAAAAGATAACTAGGAAGCAGTTAATAATGGGAGTAGTGAAGGAAATGCAGTTTTATAAATTTAAAAATATAAGAAACCCCAAAAGGAGTGGGGGGAAGTTCAAAACACATATATTAGTTGGAAAATATTGGATTGTATTTATGTCAAACTGTTTCTGACAAATTTGGGGGTGGTGTTAAAAAATAGATGGACTGTTGACTTAATCCAGGGGAGATGCTCTTATGTTATTAATGTGAACCAAAAATTACTGCACTGAAAAATAAAAACTATGCCTTAGTTAGTAAACTATAATAATACAAAAGATGAAAATCTCAAACAGCAGGGAACGCTGACAGCAGGGTCTCTGGAAGGAGAAATGTACTATGAAGATACACTGGACACCAGCAAAAGTTTCAAAACATTCGTCTAGACAATTGTCTTCTGCATTAAGATAAATTGTGAGCTGTTAGGAGTCTCTGGGAGTAAAATGAAGTTTAAATTTTCTAACTGAATCTTGTAGAAATAAAAACATGTCAGCTCCTTCAGTCATTAAAAAGAAAGTAAGTCAATACTCAACATTAGACTAGAGACTGTGTTATGAAAGCTACACTTTAAAAATAAAATACAGTAAAATATTTTAAAAATTAGATAGATAATAATGGTTATTGCTTTGTGTACTCCACAGCACGAAGAAATGATGTCCGGAAAAACAGAATTATTAAGCACACACATATTCTTTGGAACAAGCTTTCATTGATCTCACTTATGTACATGGTTCCATTGTTTTAGACAGTTGGATTGAATCTTCTACAAATCTAACCTTATCTGTAATTATTACTGCTCTTATTTTTATTGCATTTATTCATTGCTCACGACAGGAATGTCTCAAAGCAACATACAATTATAGGTTTCAGCCTCAAATCTCTGCCAAAATTCTCTTCTTAGGAATCGTTGACATAATTTGTTCAGTCAGGACCTCTTGGGTTTCTCTGATTCACAGTTCTGAAAGGATCAACTGGTGTACACCACATAAGAAGACTGGCTGCTTGTGGGGGAAATGATAGCTTAGATGATAACTTGATTGTAAGTACCTGAAAATCTGTCCATACTGTGGTCAAGAGATGGAGAGTTTTGCAAAACTGGCTTGAGTGCAAAAAATGAATATCTGCAGATATTTCTCTGAAAATCTGCCTTTGGTATGGAGCTCCTGGCAGACAGAGGGTTAAAACAATTTCTTCTTCGCTCTGTATTAGCCGCTAGATGGCCCTGTACCTTTCATATACCCTAGTGAAATTTCCTAGACATTTCCCTTCTCGCTGGAAGTGTTGATACGTATTCACCAGCATCGTGATTACTGAACCAATACTGAGTCAATACTAGGGCACTAAAACTTCATTGCTTAACCATGTTGTGTTAGTCACAGAAACATTTAGTGTGCCCCCCCACAAATCTATATGTTTTAACCTTCTATTCTTTGAGGTTCTTAGTATTAAGAAAATGTGGTGCTATATTAACTAACATGTTTTACATACAGTGTTTTTTGTGACCAACGTAACACCACAGCAGTGCAACTTTGACGTGCTTTCGAACTGCTAGGTTGGCAGGAGCAGGGACCAAGCAACGGGAGCTTACCCCGTCGCGGGGATTCGAACCGCCGACCTTCTGATCAGCAAGTCCTAGGCTCTGTGGTTTAACCACAACACCACCTGCATCCTTGCTTAAGTTAAGCCAGAGTAAAGTTACTCCAGACCCAGCTGGTTCATTGGGGCGGAGGGGGCTGGGTGACTACTGTTGCTGCCCTGCCAGAGCCTGGCAGTAGTGGAGCATAAAAAAGGTAAAGGACCCCTGGATAGTTAAGTCCAGTCAAAGGCGACCATGGGGTTGTGGTGCTCATCTCGCTTTTAGGTCGAGGGAGCCGGCGGTTGTCTGCAGACAGCTTTCTGTGTCGTGTGGCCAGCAGACTAAACCGCTTCTGGTGCAACAGAATACCATGACGGAAACCAGAGCGCATGAAAACACCATTTACCTTCCTGCTGCAATGGTACCTACTTATCTACTACACTGGCATGCTTCTGAACTGCTAGGCTGGCAGGAGCTGGGACAGAGCAATGGGAGCTCACTAGTGGGGATTCAAACGGCCAACCTCCTGATCAGCAAGCCCAAGAGGCTCGGTGGTTTAGACCACAGCGCCACCAGCTCCTTCCTGGCAGTCGTAGAGCATATGGTAACTATGGCAACTGTGGCAATAATGTTGAACAGCATGCCCATAATCTCTCTTGCTGTATCCTGAAGTGTGGCTGCTGTTTTCCCCACCCCAGAAAGAAATCGCGGCATTTTTAATCCCCTTCCTTTGTGCGTTTCCGAGTTGGAATGCAATCGTAAAAGTTAACGCAGCCCTTCATAGGGTTCCTCTTTCTGCAAAGCCGGAGCTTCATAATGGAGATTTAGTGGGCTGTAAACAGGATGTTGAGCGGTGCCCTCCGTCAAAAATTAATGATGGCAACGGAGATTAAACCGTTCTTCCGTGAAGTTGGAGCGCATAATGCTGGGAGAGGTTTTCAAGCAAGCTTAAAATAGGCTGTTCTCCCCCCCCCCCCCCGCAGGGGCAGCCCCAAGAGCTTCCTGCTGTCTCCTCCATTCCCCACAGAAGCTTCACTCCACAAAAGGGAGCAATTCCTAAGCCCTGTAGAAAACCAGGACAATGTTTTTGAGTCGTTCCAAGTGGGAGCTCCTTTATGTAACCATCCTCTCGTGTATATCAGTTACAGCAGCCTCGATGGCTTGGGACTGGCCATCTCTATGGTCTTGCCCTAATGGAGGTTAGCGATTTAATAACAGGACGGGATGGTTCACAGTGACTCACTCTGGATCCCTTCCCCCTTCAACAGTGCACCTGCCCAGGTGGGGTCTAGGTTCATGGCATGAGAGAACGTGAGTTTTAAATGGCGGGAGGACTTAGACTTTCAAGCTGGACTTTGCTGGAAAACCAGGACCGGAAAAGGGGTTGGGTTGGGTGGGAAGATTGCTTTCAGGAATCTATACCAACAACAACGACAAACCTGAAGCTTTTATTTTAGGGATGGTAGAGACAGAAGTCCCCAAAAAGATGAATGAGTTGCTTATGTACGTTACAACTGCAGCTAGGATTCTCTACGTACACGAAATAGAAAGAAACAAATAGCCACTGAAGAAGAATTGATAAGCAAAGCGGTGGATGAGGCAGAACTGGCAAAGTTAAGAGGTTTTACTTTCTTGGGCTCCATGGTCACTGCGGATGGTGACAGAAGTCACGAAATTAAAAGACGCCTGCTTCTTGGGAGAAAAGCAATGACAAACCTAGACAGCATCTTAAAAAGCAGAGACATCACCTTGCCGACAAAGGTCCGTATAGTTAAAGCTATGGTTTTCCCAGTAGTGATTTATGGAAGTGAGAGCTGGACCATAAAGAAGGCTGATCGCCGAAGAATTGATGCTTTTGAACTATGGTGCTGGAGGAGACTCTTGAGAGTCCCA